AGCCACATTCCGGAGGTCATTGTACAAGATGACTTGCCAGGACCAGGTCAGGTGGCCGCCTTTCGAAGCTTCAACCCTACGCGCACAAAATGGGCTGCAGGTACCTAGTTGGTGAGAGAGCACGTCCCATTCGACTATATGGGGTCCCATATATGGTCTGTTCATAGATATAAGAAAGTGGCCAATTGCTTTTGAATGGGATTATCCAAGGGTGGTCATTAACATTCAATGCAGAAAGATTATTACCTAAAATTTCGGAATTTAAATTCAGATAAAATTGTGGTCCGTAATAGAAAATAATTTTATACCTACCTGTGTTTAATATTCTTCGGTTTGGTATACTACTTAGTTTAAGTTTATTAGTAAGCATTCTTATTTCGTGCGTAATACAGTGTGTGTTGAATCGTGTGCGAATTATGCAAAATATGTGCGAGTCTAGGAGATGCTCCCCACCAAATGTAGAAAACACTATTCTATTGAGGCTGAGGAAGTTATAAACAATGTTTATTTGACTCTCATTGAACGTGGTGCCTGCAATTGAACATGTTTGGCACCAACTGAAATCTGTCATTTGTCGTAACAATGTGTTTCCCCGTATTAACCCCAGTGTCCTCAAACTTATAGAAACCGAAGGTTTTGAACATCCCTCCACAAAGTTGGGCAAATTCTGTTAAATGTATAGAAAAAACACAACAATCGTACATCCATATTGCAAATAATATAAAACAAATAATAATTAGAACAGGCGATGATAGCGATAGTGATACTGATAAATTATGTGAATAATTTCAAGTAATTTAAGCAGGTAATAAAAATAATTTGTAATTTTATTTTAGATTTAAACATAAATAAATATTGTTTAGTATCTTTCCTAACATACGGCCATATTTCATTCTTACAGCTTGCCCGGGTCTTTCCTTAATTAGTATCAGTTAGTCACTTTCTTATATCTATGAACAGACTTTATCTACATATATGTATGTTCCCTACCGTAAGGTCGGGGCTACGTCGATCGCAAACCCGCTGAGAAAACGTATTTTCCGCAAAAAAAAAGCCAAAAACATAAACTAGAAAAAAGCGACCCGCCATAATTAGTCATGCAAAGTGCAGCGTTGCCATATCTCTTTTTTTTTTAAAACACTCGGGAAAAAATGTGCAAGCATTTTTGCTGCTAACTAACTATTTAATAAGAACTGCGAGAGGAATTTAGTTCAGTTTAAATTGAATCGACGCGTGTCATTTAACTTGAATCCATTTTACGGATTTAACAAATTATATTGGTCGGAATCACTTCTACCCCATCCTTGATGTAAGCGGTTCTTGTATGGCGATTTTTTTAAATAAAAGTATTTAATTCATACTGATAGGAACAAATTTCAGTTCAAGTTCAAGAGTTCGAGGATTTTTTTCTACCTCTCAGAACGACCCATCTCGCTTTTCAAACCAAGTCGAAGTTGAGCTTTAATCGACATGTATTATACAAGGCCTTTGCGAAGACTTATTTATATCCCAACCTGGTTACAACTTATACGCCGAAAGCTCGGAGAAAATACAGAGAGAGTTTTTTGAAGGTCTTAACTTTCATATCGTAGAAAAGTCAGTCTTTAATATTTTTTAAAATTCTTAACTGTCAAGGTTCAGGGACGGTACCCTAGTATGGGTTTCCCTCGCGAGATTCTTCTCAATTCTTTCTCAGATATAAAGCCGACCTTTAATATTTCTTCAAAACACGTTGTAAGGCAAGGTTGAGTGTCCTGAACTGTTGGAGCAGCTAACGCTAACCCTGTGAAGCGTAGCGAACTAGCGACACATTTTTAAGTTATCACCGTTGCATTCTATGTGCTCTAAATGTAACAGCCTGCAGGACAGACTGAACGTTTTTACTTCAGTTATAAGAAAACGATCATATGATTTTGCTGTTTACCTGTAATTTGAAAACGGGTCTCAAATTGAGGGGGACCGGGTCCTCAGACTTTTACGCGATACGTCTTTAAGAAAAAAAAACGCGATACGTCCCTGGAGCGGTCCCGAGCGCGCACCATCATCTCTCAGCGCTCACGGTTTGTATTATGCAAGCAGACGGATAGTAATTATGCCTTCCCCTTGGGCGTACCAATCACGCTCAATTATTATTAAGCCCAACGTGCTCGTATAAAAATTAACACCAACATCAATTTGGTCCCGGGGAACCGGCTCTCCATATACACACACAAACACACACATACGTAGGTATGCCGTGCTGATGCACTTTTTTACACCCAATTAGAAAATTATTTTATATGTATATAGCGGCGCCGTAATACGGTCATCAATCAAACTAGAAAGTGGACGGATGCCTTCATTTTTTTTTTCGCGTCTGGCCAACTTTTTGTGGTAAATATTGGGTTGTTCGCAAAGTCATTTCGTTTTTTTTGGGGAACATGAAAGACAAGTTTCGTATAATGAATAAATATTTTATTAAATTATATATTGGCCGTTCTGGTCCAACACCTTTTGCCATCTTTCTGGCAGTAACATAATTCCCCTCTCAATAAAGTTTTGGTCCTTGCTGGCCAAAAACTGGTTCAGGTGGTTTTTGACATCTTCATTTGAGGTAAAGGTTTTGCCATCCAGAAAATTTTGCAGGGACCGGAACAAATAGTAGTCGGAAGGCGCCAGATCTGGAGAATATGGTGGATGTTGCAGTACGTCCCATTCAAGCTGTAAAAGTTTTTGGCGAGTGACCAAACTTGTGCGAGGTCTCGCATTATCCTGGTGGAACACTACACCCTTCCTGTTGATTAATTCGGGCCTCTTCTCTTTAAGTGAATCATTCAATTTGTCCAGTTGATGACAATAGACTTCTGAATTAATCGTTGTATTGTCCGGCAAAAGCTCAAAAAAAAAAAACGATTCCTTTGACATCCCACCAAACGGAGAGCATCACCTTTTTTTGGTGAATGTTGGCTTTTGACACGCTTTGAGCCGGTTCATCTTTTCTGCTCCATGACCTCTTGCGTTTAACATTGTTGTATACAACCCACTTTTCGTCCCCAGTAATAATCCGCTTCAAAAATGGATCATTTTCTTGACGTTTGAGGAGCGAATCGCACACGTCAACGCGACGACACAAATTTCGCTCCGTAAGGACATGGGGCACCGACACATCGAGCTTCGAGGTTAAGCCCATGCCTTTCAAATAGCCATAAACAGTCGAATTCGACAAATTTAATCTCTCACCGATCTCTCGTGTGGTTATTCGCCGATTTGCATCAACTAATGCCTTTATCGCATCTTTGTCAGCTTCGACCGGCCTTCCAGACCGTGGTGCATCTTCGACATCAAAATTGCCGGATCGAAATTCTTCTGGCACTGGCGTACTGTTAACACGCCTTCTCCATACACATCCGTCAATTTTTTTCTCGTTTGGACAGCATTTTTACCTTTTCTGAAGTAAAAAATAAAATATGACGAAAATGCTGCTTATTGCTCTCCATATTTAAAAGGGCACCAACCAAAAACTACTGCGTAGAATTAATAGAACTTTTTCACACACAAGCCTTGCAATATCAGCTCTCAAGGCATATAATGGTTATGCGGCTTAAGTGTGAAGTTGGTTTCGAAAAAACGTAATTAAGTCCTCTGACGGGAAAAAACGAAATGACTTTCCGAACAACCTTATACTTGTTATTTTTTTGGGAGCTCTACGAAAGTTTACATTTTTTTTTTAATTATTTTACCTTGGAAACCATCCACCATTCTTTTTGAACTAATACAAATATGAAACTCTTTTTTAATTTTTTTTGTTATCAGTGAATGGAATATTAACACAATAGTCCACACTAAATTAAGCTCCGATATTTAAGAAAATATATCTCTAACAAATAGACTTATTAATAGGCTTAAAAATAGCTTCTTTTATTTGCATTTAAGATTTTTTTTTATTTCCTACATTATCGGATTGCTTTTTCGCAATCGCCGTAATTTCAATTTCTACCAAATATTAAAAAAATCAATTAAAATAAATTATTATTATTATTATATCCTCCATTTTTTTAGTAGTAGTGAGGATATATGTATGTACGTACTACCTAATAAAATGATGATTTATTTGTTTGTATGTAACAATTAATTGCAGAACATGTAGAAAGAAATCTAAATTTTATTCAAAATAAAGTGATCAGTATCTTTCTTATTAAGCATTGGTGTCATATTAAATTTGTTGTTTTTGCAAATTTCCGAAAAACTTGATAAACATTGACGACATAGCTTTTTTAAGATTTTAAAATATTTAAAAAATATTTTTTAAATAGGAAAAATGCATCAAAATTAAAAAAAAAAATTAACATAGAAATAATTTTTAAAACTGTTCATTAACACGGGAGGGTTGAGATTGAAAACGGGGCCAGAGTGCTGAGTCTCCCGCGTTGAATTCGGCAGAATATTGACATAGCGAAAATTTATGTATGTACGTTGCCGCACACGTAAATAGTCATAAAAATGTCGTAAAAAGTTCTTAATATTGCTAAATCGCTTGGGCAATAAAAAACGTACACACTACGTGTTTACTATACGGAATTCGATAGTATTTTTTATGCAAATTTGTTCGGCATTAATGATTTGTCCAATTATGAATAATTAATTTAATTAATCTAACAAGTGCGAATAGTTAAGGTCCCCGATTAACAAAACAAAAAGAAATGAGAATGAAATTTATGTGAAATGCTCACCGAGAGTGCAAAAATTAATTTGTTCGTAGATTTTATTTTTCAGTTTTGAAAAATAACTTCAGTCTAAACTCTGATATAAAATAGCAACTGAAAATCTCGCTTTCTGCATAAAATCTGCACGTATCAACTTGAAACCAATCCATTTTGGGGAAATAGTTGCTTTTTCTTGTCGATTTCGATCGGACCTTAGTTCCCGGGTATCGGTGCGCTTGCCTTTGGTATTTAGTCATAATAGATTATAGCCGAATATAAAAATTAATTTAAGCAAAATTAAATTAAATTATTACTCACCATTGATACGGGTATGGGTCCAGCCGCTCCATTGGCGTAACCGTAGGGGGACATAAGGTATCCCATGTTGAACGAGGACGTGTGCGCCGACGGCTCGACTTTGCCTGAAATTGGCGCGAATTAAAACGCGAAAAAGTAAAACAAAACGGCCAGCGGTAATTGGTATTTCCCCGGGCGGTGTCGCGCCTGATTGACATTCAATCGGACGGAGGTCCGATTGGGTATAAATATACGCTCGATCCTATGCATATTCAACGCATAATGTGTTCATATGGACGCAGCAAATTAATTAATATGTAAAGTCAATTATCTAAGCGAATACTTAGAAAATCAGTCGTACCGTTGCCCGCGGAATTCTGCTACTTACGGTGAATTGCTAATGGCACCGCCGTATCATACAGGACGAAAATAAACATGGCGGCGCGTTAGTTTTGAGCTAACGAGAATTAGAATATTACGCCTAACGCATTTAATAGCTAAGTAAATTTATTTACTGTTTATTATACAGGGTGTTCGGAAACTTGGAAGAAAGATACAGCGTGGTAAAATAATGGCAGTAAGTCATATAGCAAAAAATTTCTAATGTTTTCCTTGTTATGGCTTGCCAAAAATCTTTTTTTTTATTTCAAAAGTCATCGATACAAAAGTGTTTCAAAAATATGTCACTAGAGGACACTTCACGTAGAACGTTTTTTCACTTTAGACTGATAACATTTTCGAAAACAAAAAAAATTGCAGATGGAACGTTTCTATTCGGATATGCGAAAATTAATATCGCGACATTCATTATTTGAAAATTCGTGATGGGCCATCACAGTAGCTGTTGGATGATAAGGTATTTTAATAGAAACTAATTTTTAACGGATTGTAACAATGACTTTTTCCAATTTCCTGCTAGGATTTTTTTGGATGTGAAAAAAATTGAAGAAATTACTTCAGTTATTAGAAAACTGGCAAGAATGGATATTGTTATCTTATTTTCTTCTTTTCAGTCTAGTCTAGTCTTGTTTTTCAAACGGCAGGGTTTACACATGTAATGCTCTTAACAGAATTCAAATGAATTGCATTGTTTAGAATATAACACCCTTAACTTTAGAAAATTAACGGCAATACGAAATATAATTAAATGAATAATTGACTCGCCTTAAGGAAAATTGAACCATGTTATATGAATATTGCCCGGATCGGTCTAGAATTTTAAGCAAAATTGCAGTGAAGGCTAGCGGTGAGCGGGGATGGGAATTGACTTTAAAAATTCGTGCAGATCAAGCTAGGAAAAAAACGTTGACTACAAGTAGTTATTGTAATTCATCGAACGGCAATACTCACATAATCAATTTTCCTTAAGGCAAGTAAATTGATCGATTAATTATTAGTACGAGATTAGTTATTACCGTTCACAAAATTTGCGAAAAAATTGTTATAATTTTTAAAAATACATGTTGGTTTCACTGCGAAACCAGCAAGAAATGTAAAATTGGCAACACCGCTTTTTACCGGAACACTCAAATATTGCCAAAACTGACAAAATACCCGGCGGTTTTTGGAACACGCAAAATTCAAAAACGACAACAGTAACGTTGTCAGATTTCACGATGATATTTATAATTCCGGTAACCTTTCACTGATATACTATGTCCAAAAACCTCCAAAATTCTGAGATGCCAAGCATTTTTTTATTAACAGTGGTAAATCTGACAACACTAGTGTGAGCATTACTGAATTCTTTGAAAGTTTCGGAGTTATTTAAGCGCTCCGGTAATTCTTATTGAAAAAGCGGTGTTGCCGTTACGTGTTACGAAATTGGACATGCCGAAAATTGAGCGACACCCCGAAATATCGCCCTGTGGTTTTTAATCAAATATTTCTCAGAAATCCCGCAATATTAAAACACTACAATTTCGACCACCCTGTACAACCCAAGCCGTAGCGGCGGGAATAAAACAAACTTGGCATTTAAATCTAATCTTGACATCTGGTCCTTATTTGTAAATATGGAGACAACATGGACCTCTGCGTCTTCTGAGGACTGACAAATAGGCAACTTTGCGTAACTGCCTGGCGATCCTATCGGACCGTATATTTTAACCAGTTCGGTTTCATGTGTACGAATGCGAGTGAAAAACGGTCTAAAACGAAGAAAGATTAACTTACCAAAGACTGGACTGTGATCTGTTCGCTGGGCATTTTTACTAGAAGTATTGTAACTTCCGCCAGACTTTTCCTGAAACAAAAGCGGGCGTGTATTAATTTCACGTTCCCCGAAAATAAAAATCTACGTGTACCAAACACAATTTGTACTAAAAAAATATTTTAAAAAAGCCTCTCCGAAAATTTGTTAAGATGGGTTTTATTTATTAAATGAAATTGTGTTTTATGGGGAAGGAATATTTAAAAATATATTTTTTTCGCCTTTTTTCTTCTTTCAAAATTTCGAGCAGCTATTGCGATATAATCGCAAGTTCACTTCGAGACAATTCCGAATTCTTAAAAAAAAACCTTTTTCGGAGGGTTTTCCTTAAGTTTTTGAAAATAATGCTTTCTTCTGAATAATTTTGGATTTTTCAAAACCTAAGCATAGCACGGGCGTTGTCATTTTTCGTAAAAATGTGTTTCGAAAAATCCGTCCTTCCAAAAAATACGTACCACCTTAAAAGTGCAAAATACAAAAAGGCTGGTTTCTGATTGTCGAAGGGTAAATCACCATACAAAATTGGTACACTAGATGGCACACGGTCATATAATTTCACGGATTTCATGAAGATTTCACAGATTCTATAAAGATTCCACAGATGGCTTAATGATTTTCTTGATTTTAAAAGACTTTAAAAACAATTTTAAGTTTATGTAGAAAAGTTTCATATTGTACAACTTAAAAAATATTAAATAATTTTCAAAGCCAACATAAATCTAATATTTTCGATTTTTTTTCAAAATTACGATTGTCATTGCTTTTTGCTTTTTCTTCAGCTTTAACTAAGAATTTTTCTTCAAATAACCGAACAATTCAAACACATTTATTTTAAAATTGAAATCTCAAAATTTGAAGTACACCACATTTCAAGCATAATTTACCCCGCGGTAATTGTTTTAGTTCGTTTTGCTTTGCTTTAATTGGCCGCTTTTTAATTTAATAAGTCAATGATTTTTGTTTTAAATAACATCGTGCCTTTACAATTGCTCACAATTGTTACCTATGATCTAATCACATTATTTTACAATAAATTATTATGCATTTGTAAATAAATAAATTATGCAAACATTTTTTTTGACAGATACCTCTACGTAGTTTTGAAAAATATTTAAAAAAACATCAAATGAGAAATTTTTCATTAATTCAAATCAAATGATTATCTGTATTGTATTTTTAAGTCTCTGAATTGTAATAGTCAACTAGGAAAACTTTATTTGGTGTTTTAAAATGTTAAAACCACATTAACTTTGCGTCAGCTTTGAAGGATTCTATTGGTGCATTTGAAGATTTTCTTTAAAATCGGGTACCTAAAATAGATTTAATGAAAAATACAAATTTAGTGCAATATTTTTAGCATCGTTTTTTTGTAATGTTCTTTTACCACTTTTGCAAATAATTTAAATTTAAAACACTTATTTAAGATCGGCGCCTGTCGCGTGTCATGTATACAAATGCAATCGGGCATCGCGCATGAACGTGTGTGAGAACTGCTTCTCGCGTCCTTTCACGAGACTTGAGAAAAATCAATTTCCGAAGTCGTTTTAAATGCAAAAATACTAAAAATGCGCCCAGGCCGTTTAAGTGACTATTAATATGTTAATTGGCTTTTTCTACCTAAATTACCTTCGCAGAGGTTTTATACACGTTGAAAAACGAAAAACCCATTTAACTGCCCCGCAGTCGGGGCCGCCCGTTTTAAGGGCCCCGGCAAATAATAAAACACCCATATATACGAGACCGGGCCGAGTGAGCGAGTGAGTTGACCCGGAGAGGTGATTAAAAATAAAAAATGTGAGAGTCGATGAGTCGAGTTCGGGATTGTTTTCGTCGAAGTCCACCGCACTCCCACCTCGACGATTTCGAGAAAGATTTATCGCCTACTTTTCCAAGTACTCTGATGCAATTCCCTATTCAGTATCCACGATGAAAAGGAAAATTGTAGAATAAGACCCAAGACTAACCATTTCAAAGAAAAAACACTGGACTGTAGTAGTTAGAGTATATAGCGGTTCACTATCATTCCAAAGAAATATAATTAACTAAAACTTACTAATCATTTCATATTGAAATGGTAGACCAAACCATTGAAAGAAAAAACACTTAAGTCTAGCATAGACGGTTTATTATAGAATAAACAGAATAGAGACGGGTTTACTACAGACCAGAAAAGATTGACGCACCATATATTTTCAAAGAAAAAGACATAATGGATTGAAAAACGATAGAAATGCAGATAGAATATGAACATGCCTTGGAGCAAACTTTAAAAAAAGACTTGACTCAAGTAATCTGAGTCCATAAAAGGTGTGTATATGATTTAACTTCCAAAAAAATAGGTTTGACTCTACCAAAAACCATGGAACATTGCTCGATCAAATTAATCGATACATATACATACATATGAACAGTTTGAAGGAAATAAAAGTTTCATTATAGAATCAACATGATTTCAGTTAAAACTATAGACTTGAATCTACCAAGAGATCAGGTAAAATTGCCATAGAATTCAGTGATAAATGAAAAGTTAAAACTAATTAATGAATACATATGAAAAAGCTATACATCCCTTCCAAAAAAAAAATTGACTGTAGTAACAGAATGGACATGATTTAACTTCCGATGCACATGAGTCCGACTATACCGGAGACCATAGAAGATTGCCACAGAATTCAAAGATAAACAAAAAGCTAAAACATATTAAAATGGTTGACTTTTTGAGACGGGAAACGTCAATTTCTACACTTGAATATATATATATATATATATATATATATATATATATATATATATATATATATATATATATATTGGAAATAGGTTATAGAAGCTCTAGCGAAAAATTGACTGTAACGAAGGTAGCATGCAGCCAGCAAAAGAAAGCACAAACATGTTAAATGATAATATCAGTATATCAGTTCACTGGTTCAATGGCTCACAAAAAAGCCCAAAGGTATCGATTGTGATGTGGTCCTTTTTGCAAACAACAATTATGGGATATGAACTGCAAAGATATAACGCTGATAATATAATAAATTATTCGACATCAAGGTCCATTCAACACGCGCGTGAGCCAGATTTAAAATAAAAATATCTTCTTTAACCAACCTTGCGCCATTCAACAACCAACATGGCCGCTGACAGATCGTCAATAAGATTGGACGCGGTATTTTCTCAAAATATGCCTAGATCTCGTTAAATGTTGTGAGAAGACGGGTCAAGTGTGTCTGAATATTGCTTTTCAGAAACAAAAAAAATCTTTTCCGGATAGGTGAAGGATTTTTTTTCGGACAGAGGCCGACTTTCCAAGTCCTTAACTTTTACAGTGTTCCAAGTTGATGGGGAAACCAAGTAAATTTAACGCTACAATAACGCAAACCCTGGCTGAAAAGGACGACGCGTTCAAAAACGAACTACGTTATAACGGAACGCACCGCGGCAATCTCGATAAAAGAGATTTATTTACCGCGGCACATTAACGAACCCCCTCCTCGAGATACGCTTTTATCTAAATCTATTGACACACGGATAAACAAGTCAAACGAAAACTCGGTCTAATCTCTGGTAGGTACAGATAAACGGGTTCCTCGCGGACGAACGTCCGCCAACCCGACGGACTCCTCCGAGAAGCGACCCCCGGGTGAGGCAGAGATCGTCCGTCGGAACAGGCAAAACCGTACCTCCGACTCGGTGAGATCGATAAGGCTACTCTTCTCCTCGGTGAGGTTCTCCGAGGACCTCTTCTCGTCTTCGCCGTCGCCCTCGTCTTTGAACACCTTAACCTCATCGGTGCTGCCGAGATCATCGCCGCCGCCACTGGACGAGACGTGTGGCATGGTTCACTTGAAAACACGACACAGCGGCATCACAGCCCGCTTCACTAGATCACTATGGCCACGATATTATTACCGTGTCGTTCGCGCGCGTCACCACCATCCTGATACGCGGTAAATCGCAGTATTTCTTTTGTCGAGATCGCAGTCCGCCGTTTGTAAACGGCCGCGGCGCGGACTGTCACTGTCGTAGTCGCCTCCGCGATCGCACGTGCTACAGTCTTCGTTTATACTGTGACCGGCGGCGCCCTTTGCCAAACACTGACTAGCGTTGGGCGCGTAGGATCAAGCAAGCGCGCTCGCCAGGCTCTCTGTCGGACCCGACCAATCAGCTGCCGCTTTGATCTGCCGAGGCGGCTCGCAATAATGGCAGCCGCACGACTGCGCACGACGCCGCCCGAAAATGCCCGCGGCGGCCCATTACGGTGTGTCCTGGACCGGAATGCGACGCGTCTTTATTTCGCTAATCCGGCCCGGTTAATTGATACGAAACCGATTCGCGTCAAGTTTTACTTAGGTCGCAACAACCAAGAGTCGGTCAGGTGCCCGGTTTAACCGTTAATGCTCAAAGCTTAACAAACGCCACCCGCGACGCGACGACCATAGTAGGCCCTCCAGAATCCGTCCGGCGACATGATTACGCCGGTGATTAATTTCTTTTCCAGACATTTATTCAACTAATTTATGGACTGTTGTTTGCCGTGTGTGTCCGAGCGTCTTCAACAGGTCCGCGGGCCGCGAAACAACGAGGGCGCGAAGAAGGTGCGATAATTTATAATCTGTGGTTCTCTGCCGATGGTGCCATTGTTGTATTCCGCGAAACTGCAGCCGCGACCTTGACCCCCATAACAACCGGATAATTATGCCCGCGTTTAACAACAACAACTACCGTTCTACAAAACGCGTCGCCGTCGTTTATAGTCTGGAGCAACGCCGAACGTGAATCGAGCGACGCGTTTTTTTTCCACCTCGCATAACTAGGTACTCGCGAGGGAACCCGCACTTGGCGTTTCGAGCGGCAACCGGGAAAAAGCACTCCGAGGAGTCGAAAACGGCACGACGCACTCGCGCACACCATTTTAAACGAAAACCCAGGCTCAATAGACCAATTCAATGGTTCGTATTTTTTCATCCGGGTTTGTTGCACTTGGCCGCTCGTTTAGCAAAGTTAAACCAGGATCAAGGCCGGAATTAGCCAACTTCGTAATTTTAATTTCTAAGTCTTACTCGTAAACGTATTCGCAATTGTAGAAGACCCAACCCAATTGTTTAATTGTTGAGAATTGACATTTGACAATTTCGAGGTCAGCTTAACCCCATTTTTTGTTTTTACTTTTTTGAGAAAATTGTGTGTGGTAGATTGTAAATTAAGCAATAACTTCGAAAGCAACAATATGTTCACGAATTAAGGAATGTACAATGGATGTCATTTGTCTATTTGTTATGAATTAAGAATACGTAGTTGGCTAAAAGCATAAGGGAAATTGTGCTTTGTGGATTCCCTAAAGATGAAGAACTTCAACAAATTTGGGTTCAGCGTTTAAGCACGGAGTATGAAGATGAGAAAGATAAAGGAAATAAACCATTTTAGATCCACTTTAATACTAGAAAAGTCACACCAAGTAACAAAATAAAGCTTCATTAAAACAAATTTTAAGAAAGGCTGAAAAAAACATTGTTACATTAAACAAAAGGATGTTTGAGGTTCATGCTGCGTGTACTTGGTGGGTCTAAATGTGTTTTTTACTGCCATATCTCTGTGTTTATTATTTTCCACTTTTATTGTCCCATTATTACGTAAATAAAATATTTATATTGAGTTTTAATTAAACAAGATTTGTAACGACTATAAACTGGTATTTTCTATCTGAAAGTATCTAAGAGCAAACTGAATACAACATTCATACCCGCGAAATTGCCCAGTATATATTATTTTCTTTTGAAAACCATTTATTTAATTTAAAGATGTATTAAAATTACTACTAAACATGAAAAAAACAGCGTTATACGTATTAAAACGCGAGGTAACCTATTCTGGCGGACGAAAATTAATTTAGGCAATGAACGAGCACGATTGGTTCGGGTTTTGTTGATATTCGAAGCGGCGGAATTTTTAAAGCTTCTTGAAGGTGGCGAACTGCATGGGTTAAATTGTTTGAGACACTGCAAAAAAGAAAAGAAATTATTTTTTTCATTAGTATTTTTCCGACGAATCGCTTAGCTATTAGATAATATATTGCTCTCACTAGGGTAAAAATTCATGCTCCTAATAAGGTGGCTACGATATTTTCGTAGAGAAAGGTCTGATTTTCCGCACTAACCTGCACTTTGTGCCATGCTGTTAGATCATTAGTTAAATGGGCCTTCTCATCATTTGTTTCATAGTTACTTTATAATTCCTGTAACATCAGTATAGTAAGGGCCTCTATATCTCTGGTAATTATATGGAAGATTGGCTTGCAATTTTTTGTACTCTGTGACTTTCGTCGGTCCATATTAAAGTTATGTGATCTGCGGTACGTAAAGGCCCCCACAGACGTTTTCTTTTTTAGCAATTTTACCCGTACGGGTCAAACAGCACGGTTAAACACGAACAACGACTTCCCCCCACACATACGCGTTGTTTTGTATGTTTCGTTCAGTTTGTTTGAAATTGCGGGCAAAAATCATTGGTGATGGATTTTACGTTAGCAGTGGCGGCCGCAGTTGCTTTTAAACTAAAATATTCTAAAAAACAACGTTCCAAATGGGTTAAAGAATGGTTACTCAAGCGAAGACAATTTTCGCATGTCAATATTTTGAAGGAATTACGACTAGAACCGGGAGATTGGTTTAATTACCTGCGGATGGACGAAGAAACGTATTTGGAACTGCTCTCTTTAGTAGCACCACTGATAGAACAACAAGATACCGTAATGAGACTAACACCACATGAACGTCTCACCGCCACACTCTATCTCTATCAGAATACTCCGTAGATTTAACCTTCCACAGGCACGGATAGCTTCTATACAGTTCTATGAACTCAATTATAAATTGCTTGTTGTAATGTCTTAAGTCAGTCATTGTAAAAACTACAGCAATATATTTTTATTCAACAATACAATTTTAAAATCACTACTCAAAACTAGCACTAATTATTGCTGTGTAAAATAAGTGAGTCGACACTGATAAAAACTGTCTTTCTTAACTGTTTTCCCACAACACACTGACAGACTTGAACGAACGGTTAAAATCAAGCAGTGGCAGATATTTTTGAACGCCAGCAAAAAGGAAAGTTTTTGGCCACACACTGACCAACTTATCCGCACCGTTTTAACCGTGCGGGTAAAATTGCTAAAAAAGAACGGCGTCTGTGGGGGCCTTAAGGTTTGTTTTCGCTTCAAGTATAATTTCCTTCGTTGGTACGCATTTACCTATAAAACTCACAACGCGGACGCGCGTTTACGATCTTTCCGACGTCGCGGTTGTACATAAATCGGATGTCGCATTATCATCCGCGTCCTCCCGGACGATAAATCAAAGCCGGAAAAAAAATCGCACGTCAGATTGTTTTATGTTATACGGCGAAATCTGATTAGGGAAGTTTTTCTAGGCGAGATTTATTGTAAACTCTTTGATTAATAACGCCGTAATAAACCAGCACAATTATCAATATAAATTTAACTTTTATAGCAATCGTAAAAGTTTTTAAACCGTAATAATTTATTGCGTCTCGTATGGGCGGCCGGTCGAGACCCGACGATCGAGCGAGACTCCGCCGATGAACGAATTTGGTCGCTAAATGGCGCGCTCAAAACCAGTAGTTGCCTAAAGATTAACGACTCCTGCGTCCGCAACGTTCACGTGACGTTAACGGATTATCATAATTTATAAAAAATCGTGATTGCCGCGTACTTAAATATCAGGGGCGTATTCAGAAAAGGTTTTCGTCGTTTTTTGACATTTGACATTTGTTTGACTGTTTCGGTCAGTGAACGCGTCGTAAACTGGACCGGGAACGGTGCGATAGAAACGTGAGGCAAATTTTTCAATAGAAAAAGACTACCTTCGGGATTCTGGTCTGTTTACCCAATAACAAGTTGCAATTATCTGTAGATTCTGTGGTGGAGCATTGCACGCGGCGGTTTAACCTCCGTTCGCTCCCTACAGATTTAGTGTTTTCAGTGTTTAGTGAACGTTTTAAAGTGATAATTGTCGCCGACCCCTTCGTTTTTCGCCGTTCACGCCGGTATGGGGGCCGGACGGGCCTGGATGGTCCGTGGCGGAAGGGTTGGGGATGTCGGTTTTTTTTTGGTATCGGTCTTCTTTGTACGTGTTGGTTCATAACCAAAAGCGAAGATCCTCGACGGAAGTCGGCAATGGGCGACTGATCCTAGCAGTCGAGCCCAACATTTTTTCGTGAAACGCATCATTGAATTGAATTGAATTATCTGTAAAAAATGCCTTAAAAACTAGTTTGAAATCTAACTACTAATGTTTCCAACATGCTTGAAGTGTGTGAGAAACTGTGTTTTATTTGGGATACTTAAGCGGCTAAATTATTAATAATTTTAACAAGATACAGTAAGTCATAACTCTTCTTTTGTGCGGTGTTAACATTTTATAAGGTTCTAAGTTGTAGATTTAAGTCCTCTCGGGTCCTCTTTTTAGAATATTTTTAATTAATGCAAATAAATAAAACCAACAATTATTTGTATAGTCGTATTTATATTTTTTATATAATAACTCCATGAATACCGTAAAATTGACATTGATTTCAAGCAGCAAACACTTTGAACGCTTACAAAATTGAGCTGTATTAATTTTACTTTTTGTTAATAAAAACACAACAAAAATAATTTAGGTTTAAGTTTAAACTATGTTTTTACTTGAAATTGAATAGGGATTTTATTTTAGGAAAATGCAGTGGCGCACTATTTTTCTTCTAAATAACCGCTTGAAAGCAGTATATCGTATATCGTTTCTGAAACTAGCGCTTAGTTTCGGCACAGAATATGCCAAACACATTTGCTACATTAATTTCGGAACACCCCGTATTACCAGCAGCCCAAAGGCCACTTAATTTATTGTTGCACCTAGATCACGAAATCTTTTTATTCCTACTAATCGCAACTTTTGTATTGAACTGTCAATTACGTAGGCAATTGTTTTAGGAACAGCTGCCATGTGAACAGCTGTGATGAGTTAACAGGCAAAAAATGAAATGACTGAAAATTAACAGGATATAAATGCAATGCAATGCAATCGCAAAAATTTCGAAACACAATGACCGTGCAGTTTGTTTAATTTTGTACCTACTTCTTGCCCGGGTCCCAGGAAAACCTCTATTGTTTGAGTGATTTGTTTGGGATGTGCAGTTCAGTGCGCCCCCGGAAAGCCCATAATAGTGTGTAAATGGGGGTGGGCATTCTCGGAAGGCAGACAGCCGGTCAACAAAGCGGGAGGTCAAGTGAGCAGGTTATTTATCGAACAAGTTACGGAAGGGTGACTGTCACGTATACCCAGTATCCAAATATTTATCAGGAGAGCAACAAGTTTTAAAGCCGCATTCTATATTGATGATTTAAACCAGGCTTTAAGCTTTCTTTTTCCACTAATTTCCATCGGCAAAGTATGACGCAGTTATACATATCAAATCTGTGGATCGAGGGATGTAGCACTTCACACATTCTCACGTGCGGCCGGGCTGTCGACCAGAATCAAGCAATCAATTTGCTGTCTTTGAATGCGGTCAGTCCAAGTCAAAGTAGACAACCAGATATGTTTGTGATAATTTTTAGTTTGTATTAAAATAACATGTTTTCGCAAATTTATCATCGCGTGTACTGTATCAGGATACGTTCAATAGATTTGTAGATACTTAAAAATTGAATAATTCAAATTTGTAAACCTTGGGGTATTGCAAAGAGATTTTCCAAAATGCAGAAAATTGCCAAAGCCGATCAAACAAAACGGCGGAGAGTATGGGGAATAACCGATATCCTTTTTGAGCAGATATTAATTAATCCTTATCATTTGGCAAGTTATATTTGACAGCTCTGATTGATTAGATTCTTCATTATTTTTGATCATCTAACAGACTGGTCCGATAAAGAACAACATATTTATCTACAAAAGCGGAAAACAACGCTCTAAATATTGCATGATTTATGGGACCAAATTATGCAGAGAGTCAGTAGGCAGTCAGCTTTTAATCCACTTGTATGTATATGTGGCTGCCTATGCCACAATAATACAATTCTGTTTACGTTTAATTGCAGGGTTAATTACAGAGAGCTAAAGGTTGAACCAGAACGAACAAAAAGGTTATGATGCTATTTTGAATTATATCTAATCTATATATAATAATATCTAATATATATCTACATTGCTATGAATTGCTTGCATTCCGCTGTCGCAAAGTGACGTTTGTCACGACGTTGTCAAGTGTGGCGACAAGTGGCTGGAGGTTATCGTCTGTATCTTTGAATGACCTTTACTTAAATTTCAAAAACGGTCCTTGCTTCCATTACTTAAAGTTCCTCTAAATTAAAGAAAAAAGATCAAAATGTTGCCCGGCTGTGTGAGAGCCGTTTGTAAGAAAGCGTTTCCTTCGAAAGTGAGTAGCGAATTGACTTGCCCTATATTTTAGATTAAGAGTATCTCGCGTCTTCTGCTGGACGTTTTATCCGTGGTTTGTTCGATTCAACGATGGCCAAAAGGGTTTTTAATTATGTGAATGTACGACTTTCTCATAGTTCAGATTTTATTTTAATAATAATATTACATAACGGGTGAGGTTATGATCGATTATATTGAGAATTCGTGTTTCAGAAGGCACTTGGATTGGCTTCTAGCAACAGTTATGCCACCGAAGCTACATTCGAAACAAAGGTAGGATGTTAAGGTATGTTTGTTTCGATTTCCTAGTCCTTTGATTGCGTTTCAGCCATTCAGGCTGCACAAATTGGAGGAAGGACCAGCGACTACTGTTACTTTAACGAAAGAGGACGCTATTAAATACTATACCCAGCTGCATATGATCCGTCGTATGGAAACCTCGGCCGGCAATTTGTACAAAGAGAAAATTATTAGAGGCTTTTGCCATCTTTACTCAGGGCAGGTAAGCAAGTTTTAGCAGGAGGCTATTTTTGCAGATGAATGGAATCCTTTCCCTTGTAGGAAGCGGTTGCAGTAGGTATCCATGCAGCCCTACGGCCCCACGACAGTGTGATTACCGGATACCGCGCACATGGTTGGACCTACATTATGGGTGTACCACCGCTTGGAGTTCTGGCGGAATTGACGGGACGGCAAAGTGGCTGCGCCAAAGGGAAAGGGGGCTCTATGCACATGTACACCAAAAATTTCTACGGAGGTAACGGTATCGTGGGAGCCCAGGTAATACGAGTTTGCATTAATTTTCTTGTCTGTTGAGCTAACTTGGTCTTCATTAGGTACCTTTGGGGGCGGGAATTGCCCTGGCCGCCAAATACAAGGGTACCGACGGAGTTTGTGTGGCTCTGTACGGTGACGGGGCCGCCAATCAAGGCCAAGTATTTGAAACATACAATATGGCGAAATTGTGGGACATTCCGTGCATATTCGTGTGCGAAAACAATGGATATGGTATGGGAACCAGGGCGGACAGGGCTGCGGCTAGTACTGCTTTTTATACGAGAGGAGACTTCGTGCCCGGACTGTGGATTGATGGTATGGACGTGCTCGCGGTTAGGGAAGGCGCCCATTTCGCCGTGAATCACTGCGCAAGCGGCAAGGGGCCCATTGTATTGGAAGTCGCTACCTACAGGTGAAAAATTGAGAAAGTTGGGGACAGGAGGATGTTTTTGATAGAAACGATGTCTTGGGGATACGCAAAGAACTGCAATTAAAATCTGAAGGGAAGTTCCAAAAAATTATTAGGAATATAGTCAATAAAAACTGTAAGAGTAGTCAGAAACCTAAGTTTGGAGGGTTCCATTAATTAATAATTTTAAGAAAATATAATTCCACATTAATTGATAAAAAAAACACGCAATTAAAACAAACAAACTCAAAAATAAAATGGTTTTAGGATGTTTTTAAACATATTGTGACAAGATAGGAAAACCAGTATTTGGACTTGAATTGGAAAAAAACCCAATTAGTTTCGGTTTTAGTTCCCCATAATATCTTTCATTTTTGAATAAATCGAAATCTCATTTTTTAAAGCACCATCTTGATAAAATAAATTAAAAATAACCAAATTATAAACATGTTTATCTATTTTAACAGATTGGATTGTTCTGTTGTAAAAAACCTAGCAATATGTGTTTCGATTTTAAATTATAAATGTTATAAAATTGCTTCCACGCATTTAAAAGAAAAGTGATACGTTAGAAGTGTATATTGTGTAAAATGTGGAAGAATATTTAATCTGTGTTTAAGACCTTCATAAAATCGTAGCCAAGTTGTTTAAAAGATTACTAATTTTAGGTCAATATTGGTGCTGAAAGAAAGCTATTTTTAAATGCGTTTTTCTGACTTATTCATGAATTAGCATGAAATATATTACTAAAAGTGACTTAACCGACCATTAGTGCTGTTATTTTAATACACCTACGAATGCAGAAACACTGGAACCCTAATTAAATTGAAATTCCAAGTAATCATAAAAATCCATCTTTTTTTTTTTTTTTGTATACATTAAAACACAAAGTGGGAAATAAAATGTATAGGTATATGTATATCAGCGAGATCGATAGTATTGCGTTAAAAAATTGAAACTATCTTTGCTGCTATCGGAAAATGGCCCTAAATGTTTTTATTGCGATATTTGCGACAAGCTGGGGTCCCTGTCCGAAAAGGCACGCGAAAGTTGTTGAATTTCGTAAAATTAACGAAAACATACAAATAAGTTATTAACAATAACTCACAACGCATGCTTAAAAGGTTTCACATGATTATCAAACCAAAACTATTCTTTCCTATATCTAAATTGGAAAATGTGTTTGTAATCTTTGGTGTTTTTCTTTAGTATATGTATCTCCCAAATTATCTAGTGTGGCCCCTTCAATATCTCCCTGACCTCCGCCTTGTTCATAAATTTTATTTTTCAATTTCAAAAGTCCGACGTCCTAAAACTCCTCACGACTGATGTTCGTTTCGTAGGTATTCGGGCCACTCAATGTCCGATCCGGGGACGAGTTACAGAACGCGCGAGGAGGTGCAGGAGGTGCGTCAAACGCGCGATCCGATCACGTCGTTCAAAGAGAAAATCCTGTCGGCGAATTTGGTGGACGCGGACGAGATAAAGGTAGGAGTTCGGCGCGAGGGGCGGGGCGAATACGATTTTTGTTTCGTTTGTGCAGAAAATCGAGTTGGAAATCAGACACGAAGTGGACGAGGCGACGAAGAAAGCGAAAGCGGACAAGGAGATCGGGGCGGACGAACTTTCGGCCGACATTTACGCGGAAGAGCTCGTGAAAACGGTCAAGGGCGTGTCCATATTCAGTCCCCTGCAGCACAAGAGACTCGGGCCCGCGGTTAATATTTAAACGTGCGGAAGGCATCTTTTTTTACCTTTGAAACCCAACGGTATACATAGACCTTTATTTATACACGCCTCATTCTTTATTTTTCCTGTATATATGATGCGCTACGCGGTGGCACGTCAAAAAAAATATCGACAACGAAAACTCTTTGATTTTATTTCCATCAAACGTTACAAAACTTTCACCTCCAATTGAACGAGAACTCCTACAAACCAACCTAGTTGGCCGGCGCCGCCGCCGCCGCATCTTCAACTCCCTTCTGTTTGGCGGGCCGCCTGCGGTTCGGCCTGCGAGGCAGCCTCGACACCGCCAAGTATATGCTCCGCTTCGAAAGGGGGTCGAGCTGGTCTGGAACGAAATAGGGCTGCCATTTTAACTCTTTTACCTCAACACACATAAAGACATTACGCAGGCCAACCAACCAACGTCAAAAAATATTCAAGGTGGGATTTCGAAACTTTCAATAATTAAGATGATGGAACGTCGATGGTAAAATTATGACCAGACCTTATGTCAGGGAAACAACAATTAAGTGTGTTGAAATCTTTGTTTAGAAAGAAAATGACGCAAAGTGTACGAATGTGTGCGGTGTGACATATTCAGAAAATAATAAATTTTACGGTGATCAATGATGAGCACTATAGTGATAAACAATATACAAAAGTTGGGGTCGCTGAACGATCTGTTAGTGTTGAAAAAGTAGAGAAACTTTAGAAAAAAAAACTATACATGATAATTAAGCAAAATCGAAAATCACCATGTAAAACAACTAAAATAAATGAAATGGTGCTTAAGGAAGATTGTGCCATATAAATATTTTTGATGAACGGTGGACAACATACGAGGGCAGCGCCAAAATTTCCCGGCCTGAATATGAAAGAAACAAAGTAGAGTAACAATTTTTTGTTATTTGTCAATATAACTTCATTACACTTATTACATCCCCTTATTAACAACTCAATCCCTTTAAAAAAAATATTTTGGTTTGTTTGCAAAATGAGCTAAAACAGCCTCTTCTAACTCAATTTCGTAGTTAAACCGCCGTCCACGTAAGTACTTTTTCAAATATCTAAACAAATAATAGTCGCTGGGGGCCATAGCTGGACTATAGGAAGGATGATCTATCTGTTAGAAAGCACACTCTAAAATGGCAGCTTGTGCAACACCAGCAGTATGAACAGGTGCATTATCGTGCAAAAGAGGCACGCCTCTGGTCAGTTTTCCTCGACGTCTTACACGTATGCAGTCTTGCAATTTATGTAATAATGTTGCGTAATATTTACATTAACAATGGTATTATTTTCTTTAAAATCTATCAAAAGAATACCTTCACAATCCTAAAAGATCGTGGCCATCGTCTTTTTTGTTAACTGGCAGACTTTAAATTTTCTTGGAGGTGCTTCACCCTTACGACGCCACTCCATTGATTCTTTTTTCGATAGAGGGTCATAATGGAGAACCATAGTATCATCTATCGTCACAATAGTTTCTATCACAGGCTTCGGTTCCGACCCACAGAGTTTCAGAAAAGATCGCGCACACTCAATTCGGCGTTTTTGAATAGCCGAAAGGTTTTTATGAACCCACTCTTGCATCATGATCATGCAGGATTCGACGAACACTTGCATCAGAAAGCTTAGTAGTTTCTGAGCTTTAAACGTCGATCACTCAATACCACCTCTTCCACAATCGCAACAATATCTTCCGTTATGACCTCCGCTGGTCGACCAGTTCTTGAATCATCTTCAAGGGACTCCTGCCCCATTCTATACTCAATTTGCGTTATCTGCGACATTTTTTTCGGACACGTCAAGACTTCAATTTTTTTTTCTCAGGCTACTAAGACATTTATTAAAAAAAAGACAAAGTTTTGTCGTGATACTGGAACTGCATCTATTTCAGGCCGGGAAATTTTGGCGCTAACCTCGTAGATAATGATACTAAAAAATGTGTCCATCAAACATCTGTGTTGTCAAGTGAAAATATATAATTTCGTGAAAATCTGACCTTTTAATTCTTATTTATTTTGTTAAATGGATTTTCATCAAGTAAAAGCCACCTCACTTAAATTTTTAAATTGCCAAACACTACAAGTGAAAATCTATTTTGTGTAAAATTGAAAAACTTCAACTAAATTCTGCCACTACTATGGTGTTACTGCGAAAATTCCTCCTGTATGACATTTTATGATATTTTAAGCCTCTCATGCGTCAACCATAGTCTAAATTTGCTCAAGTGTTCAGATAGTTCATTTCACTTTTGTGTGACTGGACGTGTTTAAAATACTTGCAGCTAATTTTGGAACAAATCAGTTACTATTAAAACCTTTTACGCTTGCAATGGCAAAATCCAGGACGATGACGCTTAGGTTCGACTCACCGCTGTCCAAACTCCGGAACCACCGCTCCATTTCCAGTATCACAGACCAATCGTATTCTTCGTATTTGTCGAACCCGTTGCAAACGTTGCCCAGCATGATGATGAACGTCGCTCTCAGGTTTCGGTTCTCCGCCGGTATCGTCTCCATCAGAGGCATTATGTTGTCTTTCATTTTCCGGTACACCCACTTGGTGGGCTTATTTTTCAGGAACAAGAGGAGGGCGCAGTCGCCGAGGCGATCCGATGGATTTCCTGTAACGAGAGCAAGCCCGAAGATGGCAAGGTACCGGACGGTACATTTGAACTACTCACTGAGGTACTCGATCAGGACGTCTTGGAACACTTCGTCGCAATTCCACCGCTCGTCGGGGTAACCGTAGAATTTGCGCAAGAGATCCCTGAGGGGCGCCAAGTTGTACCCGGGCAGGTTGCAGCCTTTCAACATGCACAACTGCACCAAAACTTTAACGATCGGGAAATCTGCAATTGACGAAGTTCGTAGTCGGTAGCGAAGGGGGCGGGACCGATAACTTACCGTTCGAGTGACTAGCCGCGGGCAGTACCTCCGACCAAACGGTAAGCACCGCGAAAAACATGGGAACGGCGAAATCGCCCATGAAGTAAAAACCTTCGCAGCAAAATCGCCTGAGCCTGTTCAGGTCGCGGCGAAGCTTACAAATGGCGGCGTAGACCCTAGCTATGGGCGATACGATGGTGAGCTTGCACAGCCGCCGGTCGAACAGTTCCATTTCCGCAGCGTGCAAAAAAGTGTCCATCATGTTCGGATGGTTTGTGTGGTGCAACCGCGACAAGAATCCCAGGAGAACCCTCTGAGTGGGAGTCATGGCGGGAGCAGGTGGATAAAGGTTCTCCACCTTGTCCCGGTAGTCGAGCGACAGTTTTTGAATAACGATGCTGAAAATTGCGGGAAATGTTACTTATGAAGACCCTTCTTCACCAATTACTCACTCCGCGATATAATTTTGGTCCTGGGTGGCAAATTCCGCGACGATTTTGTCCAACATCTTTTCTTCTTTGGAATAGATCAGCAGCTTGTTGAAAAGGTATTTTACTCGGCCTGGAACAACGGTTATTATTAGCCGAGGTTCGAGCTTTTTCCGTGGGCCTCAAAATATTAAAAAGTGTTTATTTAGAAAATTTAATTAAAAACACGTTAATTTATTTACAGGTAATGTGAATGTTGTAATAATTTCATAATTTTAAATCTCCTTCTCATTTTTAACCACTCAAGAGGATTAATTACAATCACAATGACAGCGGAGAAAAAAAAACTATAAATTCGGAGTTCACAAATAATGATAATAATAAATTTAAGTAGATCGAACTGCATTTATGGCATTTGCCTATATATATATATATATATATATATATATATATATATATATATATATATATATATATATATATATATACAGGAAATTATATGAAAATGGTAATTTTTACCAATATATGGGACACAAAAGTCAATTTTTTATCAAACATCACCCGTAAGTCGGTAAATTTAGTTCCACGCGATAGTAGAGTACCTTTAACTTGAGAGAATGAAACTACGAAACATTTGGAAAGATTGAGAGATAAAAAGTTGTAAAAAAATTATTAAACAAAAAATATTGGATAAAGTAAAGTGTTGATAATATGCAATGCACGTTGTAGTTTAATGCAATTATATATGCTATTACTATTACTAACAATGTTCAGATTTTCAGTTATTTAATGATTTATGACAGCTGTTTCGGCAATACCGTGCCTAAATCAAACACAAAATATGACAATATATAAATAGGTAGTAATGGATTTTTGTTTATGGGTTGATTGCAAATTTGCTATTAACGGTCATAACGACAACATCGAAAACAAACACGTATTAGCTAATTTAATAAAATCTCAACTTACAACTAGCAGTAAATTCCAGAATCTTTTACATATGTCTATGGTAAAATCAATTAAAAATAAGGCTTCCCAAAATAAAATAGCATTTATAAAAGTAGATAATGGAAATACAATCATAGCTATCAATTCTCTAGAAGATATTACAAGAACCAAACAGTTTCTTAAACCACACCTTGTATATTGTATATATATATTGTACATATACCAAATGTCGTAATAAATAATATGGAATAATACAGACATAATAGACAATATTCTTACTCAGAGACAAGTCAACCCTACCATGAAACGAGACTTGTTGGATAGTTTGTTTAGACCAAAGTTATAACTAAAAAGCAGTTTCAAATAACTCTCAACTCTATTTATCCCATATTAAACACCGAAACCAAAATTTACAAAACAATGAAATACATAGGAGAACCTAGCCAGAAAACTTCAAAACATTATCTAAATTTGGTTATTTTGCTTTTAAAACTGAAAACACCATAGGACATTTTCTAAAAAAAAAAATTAAAACTAAATTTCGAAACACTCAAAAATCCGAAGTCTACAAGTCGAAATGTGGATCTCGTTCCAAAATTATATCGGACAAGCAGGTAGAACATATAAGAAACGCGTTAACGAACATAAAAGGGCGTATAAAAATAAAAGTTCTGGTTCTAACTGTGCCATTCATTTAAATTCAGGAATGCACAACTTTGACGATAATTTTGATATTTTACATAATCATTTAAAAAGCAAAAGAACTAAATTTGTTGGAAGCTACGGAGATTAACAATATGAGATATTCGAATTTATTACCTAATGATCAATTGGATTTAAATGCGTCTTCCTGTACCTGGAATTAAAAATCTTTTACTACCTGTTTTTATATAGAATATACTCATATTTTGCATTCCTGGCTATTTGGTATTTTAAACTATTATTACAATGCGGAATAGATACTCAAAACATTTGGTATTTCAACAAGCGCTTATGACTTATTAGACAATAGAATCCTAACTGATGATTATTCACAAAAAGTATCTAAGACTCTAAGTTAGACAATTTAATAAACCCCACTAAAAAACCAGTCAGTCATTTCAAATTCCTCGAATCATGAATTTTACAAAAGATTTATCAATTTGACTAACACTACATTCTCGGAGAAAGTGTCCGAATTGCTAAAAAAGGGTGTCAACTTTAATCACTCACAACACCAATATAGAGTTAAACTGTTTTTAGGGGTCGATTGCGAACTTGCTATTGACGGTCAAAACGGCAATATCGCAAACAAACAGGTATTAGTTAATTTAATAAAAATAAATAAATGCAATTAAATAAATAAAAAGGTAATTTTGATTTACAAGATCAATCGGAAAGCAAAAAACTAAATTTGTAATAAAATAATAATATTATTATAAATTAATAATAAAATTAAATAAATTAAATCTATTACTATCTGTTTATACGAAAAATTCACTTACTCGGGACCATCCGAACTGGTTTTTGGGAGGGAATAATTATGGGGTTATGCTCAGGTATTTCCACGACGTCGGGCGACTTCGGACAGTCAGCGTATTCATCATCGATTCCCTCCGGCTCCAAGTTGAATTTACCCTCTTCACCATTCCTTACGGCACGCTGGTCTTGCCGGGGGATTTTCGACTTTCGCATCGCGGTTTGCTGCTTAAAATCTTTGTTCATGACTTCCATAACTTTGGACAATATGTCAGGTTCTGCGGGCTGACAGTTGGTATCGAGTCGGGGCCTTTTCTTCGGTGCCGTTTTAAGCAAGTCCACGGATTTTCCGTCCTCTTTGATTAGAAAATTCTGAACCACATTGATTTTTTTACCGCGTCCCTTTTCGTTTTCATTACCTGCTATATCACAGTCGCTCGGGTTCTTGTAAATCGGTCTGATCGTTCTGGCCTTTCTGACGACAGCCCGCTGCAGTTTGTTTCTAACCGACGCTCTTTTTTTACACAACTTAGGACGTTTCCGCGCCGATGAATCGTCTTCCGCGTCTTTATCGCTGCTCGAGATGTCTTCGCCGAATAAATCCTTTTCAGACGGCGCGATGGAGCCAGCTTCGGGCCGCTTTTCTTCCTCTTTGACTTCGGATAACATCATCTTATCGTCGACTCTATCTTCGATCGCGGACCTCATGCTTTGCCTTGTACGCGCAGCTGATACATCTTCATCTGATGATGAGTCCGATATGAACTCTTTGCTGATAAATTTCGTTCTGGTGTTGGTCTGCGGTTGGTTTTTCTTGCTATTAGATCCGATCTTCTCCACAACTCGTGACGTCTGATTTGTCCCTCTCTTGCCATCCCGAGGAGGAAGATTCAAGTGTGAAGCTGGTAGTTCGTCTGACGATGACTCTATGCTGATACGTTTCATTTTTGAGTTGCTGTGTTCATTCAATTTGTTTGTTGGTAAATCCGCTACTGCTCCCTTCTCCTCTTTACCCGTCGATATGTTTAAAGGAAATAAGGCCGGGGTAGTTTCTTCGCCCACCTCCACCACTCTAGAAGCACTCTTTTTCTCTTCAGGGAGCACGCATTCATACGATTCGACGACGGTCTCTGTTATGGCGGTAACGTCACCTTCTTGTAGGTTCAACGCCTCGACCTCCGACGAAACATGTGTGCGTGCTCCATTCTGCGCGTCATAACTAGAGTCCAATCCGTAAATGGGCTGCTCGAACAGGTTCGCGAACGATAACCTTACAGATGTTTCGCCCTTGCTCCTCTTCGAACAGCCAGAGGGAGATTTGACCTCGCAACTTTTTCTTTTGTTCCTTAGGAAGTAGCGCGAGGGGCCCGAATCTTCACACCTATTGGTGTACTGGTGGTCATTGACAATCGATCTGACGATAGTGCCAACCGCGTGCTCCCTTTCAGAACACGCGTAATCCTTTTCCGACGCCAGAGGACTGAGCATCGTCGGGCAAGTCGAATTCTTGAACGGGCTCAGAGAATCCTCGAGAGCGACGGACGACAAACTGCTCTCGTCCATGTTGGGCGTGCCCGTGACCAAACCCGAGTCGACCATATACTCCGAATCCGTCTCGGCGTTGTATCTTTGTTCTTTGGCAGCTCTCAAGAGCATTTTGTTCCTGACGAGAACGTTTTTAGGCCTCGCGAAGAGTTTCTCCAGTTCCGACTCCGTCGCCGAATTAAAATCGGATATTTTCCTTTTCGGTTTCTTGTACGTGCGTCTTCGTTGCTCGGCGACTAGTTCCCGTATGCCGTCGAGCAATCCGTCGATGAGGTATCTCAAGTCGAACTGTTGCTCGGATTTGACACCGTAGCTTAAACTTTTGATCCCTTCTTCCTCCTTGACGTTCAAAAAGCCCAACAGTTCCGACTCCGCTCCGTGACGGTTGTCGAGCACCATGTAATGTTGGTCCGAGATACACCCCTTGCTCTGGCACGTGATACGTTCGTTGGTAATGTATATGGGCGGGCAAACGCACCGACGACACCGGCCGTCGGACCCGTTCGCGACCGTGAAGTTTATATCGTTTTCCCTCAGCAATTTCAGGACGTTTACGACGTCGTCCTGGGAACAGGATTTTTCTTTTATTCTTGCGTTCCGTTTCCCCTGCAGACGCATTAGTTTTCTTTTGTACATGTGGCGGTGCATTCTCGTGATTTCTTTGTTGGCGCGGGCTCGTTCCATTCGAGGGTTTCTTGCGGCTTTGTTTTCTGGCCGGCATGGCAGATCGAAGATGCCGGGAACCGATTTTTCCGTACCTGGGGTGGGGGGCGTGACTATAATGTCGGGTAATGTCGGCGATGGTGACGTATGGCCCGCCTCGTTCGAAACGTCGTAAAGTTTGTCACCTGGGGTAATCTCGTCGTCTGAAAGAAACGTACCGTTTGGCACAGGTAAGGTACAGCGCAACCTCCCTAATCCAAACAAATTACAGTTGGACCATCCAACGCCAGCCCATTTATGTGTTTAAAATCCATACATATGGTTCTAATCTAGAGTTGGGAAGGTCATAATAAAATAATAATAATAATAATAATCTCCGAAAATAATCCATATATTTCCCTGGTTTCATTCATTACAGATTCGTGAATCGCGAAACAAATTGTTTTCTAAAAGCCCTTTCTCAAACACTTGTTTTTCAAATAATTATTTTACGGTTGTTATCCGTATCATAAACCAAAAAATTTAGACAAAATATTTTTTTCATTACATTATTCGACCACTTGCGTCAAATATTTTGGGTTAATTGATAACAGGAATAAAACTTACCGGATACAATTTTTTAATGTATCCATTACTATACTACTACCTATCTATCAGAGGTAAGGTGCTTGAATATTTAAAAATATGTAATTTAAATAAATCTGAGTTAATATCGAGTGGGTGTAATACGTGTATTCTGGACTTCTAACTATTGAGCAAGTGAAGAAGTACAGTTTACGATTTTTTACTTTCCGCAGTAACAGTCTGCTTTTTCGCCTCTTGGTGCACTCAAATCTACCTTAGAAAAGCAGATATGTACTTAAAACCCCCTTTTTTTGGGACAAATAAATGGTTTTCGCTCTTGATTTTGAGTACATTATAGTCAAAACTTGCATTTTCAAAACTTAGCAGACTGAAATATACATTAAAACTGCAGATGACTACTTAAAAACCCACTTTCTTGGATTGATAGTAGGTTTTTCTGCATTGAAAAGAGAAAAAAGCCCCAAAAATTCTGTCAGCACAGAACACGGCTGTAGACGACAATGAAAAACTCTTCATGCTTCAAGTCCCTATTGTTCGTCAGTATAAAAAATTGTTAAAATCCACAACATTACAATAACACACTTTCAACAGTTAAAATTGAAGCCTACATCAAGCCTGGCATAGATGAAGATAAAACACAATTGAAATGGAATGTTAAACAGATGTGTGGTTAAGTTTTATCAAATCATCATAACCATTTAAGATTTTATCCGAGGTTTTTATATCAATACATTTTCTCCTATTTACTTGCCCGATATATAATGCTCTCCCTAACATGGGATTTTTCAGTACCAATACCTTTATTACTGCTTAAAAAAAATTGGACTCGCGTATATTATTATATTATATTAATTTAATGTAATTTGTATCTTCTGTATATTTGAAATCATATGTTGATAGAACCCTATTAGTTTACTATGTTGTTTTTATGTAATGTCTGATGGGATCTTGTAGAAATGTAATTTCTGATAAACAATAAATATAATAAAAAAATATATACAGAAATAGCCATCATTAAAATATGGGCAACTGAAAAACAAATATTTACTTTTATACATAAACTATTTTTGCGGGTTTTAATTTATGAAATTAGCAACAGTTTTTTTTTATATTTCAACTTATTAAGGAAATGGTTATACCATGGCTGAACCTAATTGCCTCACTTAGATGCCAAATCTTTGCAACTATTTTTAACCCCAAGACGTGAAAAAAAAAAAAAAATCACAAAAACTGGATAATGTGCAACACACAGATGATTTACATATAATATAAATTATATACATTTATTTTTGCATTAATATGCATCACTTGCAAATCGGAATCGAGTATTGCTATTAACAGTTTGGATTAATGGGGTTGCAGTGTATAGTGTAAGTCAGATAATTTACCTTGGCAAACCGAAAATGGACTGACGGGACTCAACAAGTCTGGCAATATCATTTCCCCGAAGATGTCGCTCACTGAATAGATCTCGTCAGTGGTCATGTTTTCATCTGTTTGTGTTGCAATATTTACCCCATTTAAAAGTGGATTTTTGTCCGTTTGCACGCTATGCTCGACCGAGACAATTTTTGAAGTCTGGGTCTCCTGAGAGAACGTTTCAAACGGCTCTCGTTCTCGAGATAAGGTTCTGACTTTTCTCTTTAACCTAGAAACTTCAAAATCTTTCTCGTGTTCCAGAGAAGCCAACTCCAAACGCAAAGAACTGGACTCCTTTAATTTTTGGTTTAAACATTCGATCTGAAAGCAATTTTGGAATGCGATAAACTTAAAACTTGTAGAATTTTGATAAGTGCTTAAAGGGGTGAATCTGTGAGGAAGCAATGTTTCATTGGATTGGTACATGTTAACGTAACTGAAAATGGTTGAACGCATTTTGACAAAAAATCCCAGCTTTTCAACTTTAACTATCTGTAATATTAGGTTATTTCTGAAAAAGCAGGCAGCATTCTTGAAAAAAAATAATTTGATTTGGTTGTATATTATTTCTGCCCAGTGTTTAAGACATTAACAGAGTATTTTTCGAGCCAAATAATTAAAATCGATACGCCGTAGACCTCCACCTACAAATCATATTATTTGATGTAATTTTTAGGCAATAAATCTGAATTTTAACACATTTCTATATAAAAAAAAATACTCGTTTACTACAAAATTAGCACAAAATATTTTTGGCACTATTTGCAGATTTATGAATGATACAGTTTGGACTAGTAAATTAATTAATTACTAATTAATTAGAAGTGTAACAATCTTAACGTTTGAAGCCACAGGTGGAATAATAGTATAAATTCACAGGAATAAATCAAATTTAAGAAATGGACAAACAACACACTCAAATTAAAATTAATTAAAAAATTACTTAAATGATAGATATTGGTAAAAATAGTTCCTTAACACCAAAAAAATTGTACAAATCAAAAGTCTAGAAAAACCCAGGTAAGGAATCAATATGAAAACATTACCCAAAACCTGAACAGGAAGTTTTTTTTTCAGTTATCTATTTATATCCATCCCCATCCATATATCCATTATCTACATATATATTATACATAAATTTTACATACAAGCAATTTTTTTGCAATGTAATCTTTCCAATGTAAATCATTTTGTTGAATTTCTTGAAATATTTTCGTGAATTTAAGATTCACCCCTTAAATACACATTGACCAAAATAAAATCCTTAAATTGACCTTACTTTTTTTTTTAATACATCTACATCCGATTGCAGTATAGAGTTTTTGAAGGCTAAAGTTTTAACTTCATCTTGGTGCCTCTTTTTAAGGTTTTCAAGTTCAGAGGAGAACTGATTTGACTTCAAAATTAAGGCCGCGTTTTCCTTTCGAATTTCAATTTCGATCTGCTTATACAGGTCACATTTCTCAGTTAGTTCTTTAACTTTTTCTTTTTTGGCATCAACAGTTTGTCTGCCTTTTTTCCCTGCTTTATCACAAGTGCAGTTTTCCAGTCCATCTTCCAACCGTTTGTAATTCAATTGGCATTCTATGAGAGTTTTTTCATATTTCTCTACTAGTTTACTATGTTCTACTTGCAGCGTTTCAAGTTCTGAAGTACACAGGTCATGTTTTGGTTTAAGATTATTCAGTACATATGAAATCCTTTCATTTTCCATTGCCAGTCGCTTCTTTTCGGACAACACATTCTCGTATTTCATTTTCACATCCTTGTAGAGCTTAGTTGTATTTAACAATTTACATTTTTGCTCCTCAAACACCTGCAGAAGATCGCTACAAGAAGGTTAAATATAATTTCACCCTTATAATTGGCAAGCGAGAATAGGGATACTTACTTTGTTTTAATAATTTTCTGCTTAACAATACTAAAATGCGTCGTTTCCATGATTATGTGAAGAAAAACGTTGATTGAACTAACCTAGAAGGTTGCCGGGCGTCGAAAAACCCGAAATACATGTACAAGAAATAAAAAGTACGAAATTTTACCAATTTCTCAATGCTGTGAATACATATTTTCTTATCAAAGCTATCATATTTCATTTTTTATGTATCGGAAAACGCGGACTTACGTTTTTCTAATGCATAGGTATACGCATTTTTCAAACCCAGGAAATTACAGCATAGAAGAAAAATACAAAACCGTACCACGTCAGTTTACTGTGGTGATAACACTCTTCTTTTATTCTTCTCACAAAACCGTCCACGTCAGTTTACTGTGGTGATAACACTCTTCTTTTATTCTTCTGATACTAAATAATATAGGCATTTGTCCATTGACGTCATCAGTAAAGCATAATCCTTTTTTAGTTAATAATCAAAACTGCATTAAGCAATGTTTGTTACCGCCGTGAATGTGGATGTGCTAAATATATATAATCATTATTATTCATTACTCCTAACATTTGCTATCTAGAGTTGGAACAAACAGTTTTTATAACGTCGTTTTTATGGTTTCTCTAATTCTCAGTAACTCTGACTTAAAAGAGAAGGAAAATATTAAAAATAATACATATTGAAAATTGTTTAGACCAGACTTGTACACCATGTCGCAATATGGAGAAACATGATGTCAAGAAGATTCCTTTTTGATGGTGTAATACTTAAGAAAAGGGGATTCTGTGGTGGAGCATTGCACGCGGCGGTTTAACCTCTGTTCGCTCCCGGCAGAATCCCATGTATTCGTCCCAAAAAGTTTGATATCGGTTTCCACGGCGTGGATTTAGTGTTTTGAGTGTTCAGTGTACGTCTTAAAGTGATAATCGTCGTCGGCCCCGTCGCTTTTCCCCGTTCACGCCGGTATGGAGGCCGGATGGGCCCGGATTGTCCGCGGTGGTAGCGGGGAGAAGCCGATTTTTTTGGTATCGGTCAGAATCGTTTTTTGTTAGCTGAGCAAATTTTGATTATATTTCTTCTTCTTCGTACGTGTTGGTCATTGACCAAAAGCGAAAATCCTCGACGGAAGTCGGCAATGGGCAAATGATCCTAGTAGTCGCGCCCACCAGTGTTAGTGAAACGAAGAAAAGTATTATTTTTCTATGGTTAGCATTGATAACAGAATTTGTAACAAGCGTAAAGCGTTGTTTCGTTTTAAGATTTTGTGGCGTGCCTGGAGGATATAATTAATATTATTGCCGAAGTACGGCATTAATCTTTTTTTTTGGTATTTAGAGCCATTGTAGAAATGAGTGTCGACATTTTACCACTTAAATGTAAGCGAATATTAAAGTAATTATCCCGGCAGTTTACTCTTTATTTCTTTTAGCCGAATCTAAAAATAAAGACAGGGATGAAAATGGGGCCGAACCTTCTCACCCGATCACTAAAAAGGGAATTTTGACTTCTTTTAAGACTGGCAAGCCAATGACCATTCCAGAAACGGACATTGTAAGCACTTTTAGCCCATAAATTCATTATTTAATACTTTAATTTTTAGTTGGGGAAATGTCGATTTGTATCAGAGTTTGAAAAGTTAAATAGAATAGGAGAAGGCACATATGGAATTGTTTGTAAGTATTTATCAATCATATCCGTTTGTCTAAATTTCATTCATTCTTTGGTAGATAGGGCAAGAGACACCATATCAAATCAGATTGTTGCATTAAAGAAGGTCAGAATGGATCAGGAAAGGGACGGTATTCCCATTAGCAGTTTGAGGGAAATCCAGGTATTATTAAATTGCAAACACGAAAACATTGTCCACTTAAAGGAAGTGGTTGTGGGAAAAAGTTTAGAAAGGTAAACATTTGCCTTTTGTATGATAGATGTTCTAAAGCATTGGGAATGTTTTAGTATTTTTTTGGCAATGGAATATTGCGAGCAAGACCTGGCTTCTCTGCTTGACAATATGCAAGCCCCATTTTCCGAATCACAAGTCAAGTGTATTATGTTGCAAGTATTGCGAGGTTTGCGTTATTTGCATCATAACTTTGTCGTGCACAGAGATTTAAAAGTGTCAAATTTACTTATGACAGACAAAGGATGCGTTAAAATTGGTAATGTGTTTTATAAATTTGATAGTCATTGAATAGTCATGAATTCCTCTTTTCGCAGCCGATTTCGGTTTAGCAAGATGGTTTGGGCTGCCTTTAAAACCAATGACCCCTCACGTGGTGACTTTGTGGTATAGAGCGCCAGAGTTGTTACTACAAGCCCCCACACAAACTACCAGTGTAGATATGTGGGCGGCCGGATGTATTTTAGGGGAACTTTTGGGGCACAAACCTTTATTACCTGGAAGGTCGGAGATCCAGCAACTGGAACTGATAGTGGATTTATTAGGCACTCCTTCCGACGCAATATGGCCGGGTTTCAGTGGTCTGCCGGCGTTGCAAAACTATTCTCTTAAACAACAACCCTATAACAACCTGAAGCAAAAATTTCCTTGGTTATCTGCGGCAGGCCTGAGGTTGCTGAACTTTTTGTTTATGTACGATCCTCGTAAAAGGGCCACAGCAGAAGAATGTTTGCAAAGCAGTTATTTTAAGGAACCTCCTCTACGTAAGTTTTGGTTGTTAGGTAATAAACACCCACTCACTTTTTGATCGTTGCAGCTTGTGACCCCAAACTGATGCCTACTTTTCCTCAACATCGGAATATAAAAGGGGGCAGCAAAGCTGGCCCTTCAGATAATACAGGCGCCGGAGACCAGACCAATAACTTACCGGCCATCTCAGATCTGGTGAGCCTAAACCTCCCTTACCACAATTTAGTTCAACTTTTTTTTGTTTTAGTTGGGATCCATTGTAAAGAAGAGGCGCGTTGAATAACTAGTATTTTTGAAATTGTATTTTGTGTAATAATAAATTTGTGTAACTATCTTGTATATGTCTTTTCAATTTCTAAAACCTTGTTCCACTAAAACTTACATTTATTTAAAACTCCGTTCACTGTAATAAAAATATGTGACGTCAAAAATAATCTGTTTTACTTATTCTGTGCTACAGACATTTGATGTCAGGCGCTATCTAGGATTCGGAGAGGTTATTAAAACACTTTAAAATCCTACAGCAACAGAGGTCCGGGTCCCCGCTATTCACCAATCGCGAGCCACGTCATGGCAGGTTAACTCCTCCCTACTTCAAAACAGATGTCAGATAATCGAAAATACTTTTTCTTTAAAAACTCAAGTTTTCCCATACCAATTTTAATTTGATTTCGTCGCAGCCGAGTCGATTTTCCCGGCACCCTCCCATTTTGCTTTGAAATGTTAAATTTATCGTGACAGCAATCCTGCAACTTGGCCAGGTTTTGCTGATAAGGATATCCAAATTAATCACCTGTTTTCAAGATAATGTTTTTTCAATGCACGAAGCAATAATGTTTTTAAGTGCGACGCGGCGTTCCTGACAAAGTGTTCAATATTGTTTAACATGTCCAGCGTTAGGAGTAAGTGTGTTAGGTTTCTATTCAGTGGGTGTTTACTGTTGTTACCTTCGATATGCTTCTGCGAAAACACCAAACCTATGACCAAAGAGGAGAGAATAAAGCTGAGGTATTGCCTGTCCCTTGCATTTCAAGCAGTTAAGACAGAAATTTCGTTACAGGGAAGAAGCAAGGGATATGTTTTACCATGCATACAATGCTTACATGGAGAATGCTTATCCTGCTGATGAACTTATGCCCCTTAGCTGTACCGGGCGATATAGGGGGCTTACGCCAAACCGGGGCGATATAGATGATTCTTTAGGAAAGTGAGTAGCCAATCCTAGGAGGAAATTCCTGTTTTGCACTTGTCACAATTTATTAATTTTTACTTTTGTTATTTCAACTGACAAACATTTTTTAATGATCGATTATTAAAACTTATTTTTGTTTTGAATGTTATCTTCCCAAATTTGCTCAAGTATTACTGTCGGGGACCTGTAGTACAATAAAATTTGAATTTATTTTTGTGTTCCATACCTTTTTACCTACTTATTGCACACATGCGGTAAAAAACACTTTTTTTAAATTTAGGTCATAACAATTAGTAACCATACATTCAAATTTAATGTCGATAAAGTACCGCTAACAATTTTTTATTCGTTAATGGTACTTTTTTTGGCACAATCTCTCTTGTCATTAGACTTTCATGTCGCTCACATTTTTTGCAGTTTTTCCCTTACCTTAATAGACACATTAGACAGTTTAGTGATACTAGGCGACCTAGAAGAATTCGAGCACGCTGTTAAGCTTGTGATAAACGATGTAACGTTCGACAACGATGTTGTGGTATCCGTTTTTGAGACCAATATACGGGTAGTCGGGTAAATATGGTTGGGTGAACGGTTAAACATTTTTTTGTTTCGTGTTTTATTTCAGAGGACTATTGTCGGCCCACTTGATGGCCGACTTGTTGCAACAAAGGGACAATATAATGCTCTGGTATAAAAGTGAACTGTTGGACATGGCCAAAGATATTGGTTACCGGTTATTACCTGCTTTTAACACCACTACGGGCATACCCTATTCTAGGGTAGGTCATTTAGTAGATAAACCATCATTTAACTTATTATTATTTATTTACTTTGAATGTAACTTATTACTCTAAATTGTCTCTTCCGAAACAAACAAACTGATCAAAACAATTCCAAATATTTTTAAAATGAGGACTCCCAATGCACCCATATAATTTGTTCCCTGAATATGGGCCCTAGATACCTTAAAATACACTATTATAATATTTTTACCCACTAATCTGCACTACGCCATTTTCTGTCTAAAGAATGATGACCACACTTTTTTTTCCCCGAAAATTTTATGGAATCTGGACATCCCTTGATAAGAAACTGTCCAATTGACAATTGGAGTCTTACATCAACATTTTTGAGCTATATGGGTTCAACCCATCATCGTGAAAATAAAACATGAACGTTAAAAATGTTAAAAATTGTATTGTAAATTTTACAGGTAAATTTAAGGTACGGCATTAAGTCGGACAAACTGGAATCCGCCCGGGAAACCTGTACCGCCTGCGCCGGCTCAATGATTCTGGAAATGGCGGCATTGTCGCGCTTGACCGGCGAACCCATATTCGAAGATAAAGTGAGTTGCGTCTAAGATAAATCCAAGGCACATTTATTGGTATTTATTGACTATACAACTTTGAACGATAGCTTTTTAAACCACTGCTCGAGGCGCCTGTGTTCTAAAGGGCCAATTTGTAGGCATTCCTTATAATCTTCCTAAGTATTCAGGCTTTTGCACCTACAAAGACGCGTCAAGAAATGGCTATAAATAATACATTGAAATTGCTAAGTCCTTTGCAAACTTCACAGAACATCTTTTCACTTTCAAAATATCACTTTCCTCACAAAAAATTAACAAAAACGCGTTTATTCCTTATAAAGACATTAAAAAAGAAGTTTTTTAATATGGGTATTATTGAAAAATGAACTATTTGTTATTTTAGTGCCAATGTTTAATGAAATAGTAGCAACACGTTTTCAGTACATAAAAATATTACTCTTTATGTATTTGCATCAGGTTAAAATGGAAACAATGTTCTGGTCCCTGTGATTTAGACCATAAAATATTTTACATTATCTTTATTTATGTGAACGTTATATTTCCTCGCCAAGTTCGTTGTTTTTCGCAGGCCCACAAGGCGATGGACGAGCTGTGGAAAATGCGTCACCGCAGTTCCGACCTGATGGGCACCGTGTTAAACGTGCACTCGGGGGACTGGGTGCGTCGCGACTCGGGGGTGGGCGCCGGCATCGATTCCTACTACGAGTACTGCCTGAAAGCTTACATCCTTCTCGGCGACAACAAATACCTGAACCGATTCAACAGACACTACAATGCGGTCATGAAGTACATCTCGCAGGGACCGATGCTGCTCGATGTACATATGCACCGGCCTCACACCACCTCGCGCAATTTCATGGACGCGTTGCTCGCCTTCTGGCCTGGTTTGCAGGTCCTCAAAGGTGACATCAAGCCCGCGGTCGAAACCCACGAGATGCTGTACCAGGTGATATTTAATTTAGAAAAATAATGATTAATTTTAACATCAATGTCAAAATAAGCAGAAATGATTGCAATGTCAGAAGATGCAACTATTAAAACTTCACTTAAACATTAGCATAGATGTAGGTAGAGTTCTCCAAACGATATACGGTTTTTAAAACCCATTATGGTTTTGGCTGAGGAATGAGTTTAAGACCCAATTGTTCTAAAGCGGGAGGGTCCATTCTTTTCGGCACGTACACCACAAGCCAGGGTCGTATTTAAGATGTTAGACGACTATTATACTGAAACTGTTATATTAATTCTAATAAATCTTCTTAAAACAGTCCCTACTTGAGGTAGCTCTATTTCAAGTGCAAAGCAATACAAAATTTTATGTATATAATTAGAGTTTTGGAGTTATTTCTATTCCGTCTTGTGCTTGTAATTAGTAGTTACCAACTTACTGTTATTCAATTGTTTTTCAAAATTCGGTGTGCTATTTTTATTGAGGTGACGTATACATTTTATTACAATTTATTTCCTGCCAAATACTAATATTATTCAATTTTGTTGTCTCTTGCGAGGTCCAGCGACGAAGAAGTTGCGATTGTGGTCGATGACGTAATTACAATTTTAAATGTGTTTCTGTTTCTGAAATGTTTTTTTTTTTATTACAAAACCATCAATAAGAGACGAGTTTCGATGGAATCGAGAAGATTTTCGTGGTGGACAAGATATTTGAGAGAAATCCAATAAATTAACGCTCAAAATGCTCCCATCATATATTTAGATGAGATTAATGACATCGGTCATTAATTTTGTCTTTGTAGGAACCAATTTTTAAAATTCAAAACAACAGAAAATTGTGTTGATAATATATTCCTGGATATCATCGGTTCGTTTGTTGAACTCCGACTGGAATCTTGCAGACGTTTCGTCAAGATCTCACTTGGCATCTTCAATGTTCACGCTCCAAAATCACTTCGAGTGCAGGATTGCAGTTCGATGCAGGATTCCAGTGGGAGTTCAACAAACGAACGGATGAATTTTAAAAATTGGTTCCTAACAAGACTACAGTTAAAATGGGTGCTAAAGTTGAGATAAATGACAAATTCGAATCTCTTTTGCTTGACTCTACGAGAATCGCCTAAAATATGAAGAAAAGAACTTCAAAGAACTGGATTTTTTGGAAACATATACTTATCGAGAATCTACCAAATAAAACGCTAATTTAATCTTTATAATGGAAAAAGAGGGAAACTAACCAATTTACCACATAGCTTACATTTGGATGCTTAGCCGGTTTCAAATAATTGAGGCAAAGGTGAACTGTAATTGAACACAGTTTTGTCAGATGCGATCTGAACGACTGGAATAGGGAAAAATTTTAAATGTTCGATGAAAAAATTTCAATTTCGCACTCTGCAAGTGCAAAATAATTTTGATTGAAGGTGATGCAACGTCACAAGTTCATTCCGGAAGCTTTCACTACGGATTTCCAAGTGCACTGGGGCAATCATCCGTTACGACCCGAGTTCCTAGAGTCGACGTATTTTTTGTATAGCGCGACCGGCGATCCCTACTATCTGGAAGTGGGCAAAAACGTGCTGCGTAGTCTGCAAAAGTACGCACGCGTGCCGTGCGGCTACGCCGCCGTCAACGACGTGCGTACCGGCAAGCAGGAGGACCGTATGGACTCGTTCGTCCTTGCAGAGACTTTCAAATATTTGTTTCTGCTATTCGCCGACAAGGCGGACGTCGTCGTCGACCTCGACGAGTTCATATTCACGACCGAGGGTCACCTGTTTCCGTTAACGTTGGCCGGTCACGGGACTAATGGTACCGGGAACGCCCATGACAACCAGGCCGAGGAAGCGGAGTTCGCGCTGTCGTGCCCGAACACGCTGAAACTGTTCCCGGGCGCCGTCAGGAAACCGTTGCGCAATATGGTCGACGGCATGTGTCCCAGAAGGGGCTCACCCAAAAGGTAGGTGGGCAAAGTCTGTTAAAAAAAATAAGCGCATTCGGGTTTGTAAAGTTGGACTATCGTTGACTGCGCAGGACTGGGTGCGCGTTGGTTTGATCGTCACATTTTTGTTTCGAATTTCAATTAGTTTAACACAATTTTGGTGATTTCATTTCAATAATAATATCGGTATTGTCTCGCATATTGAGTATTATTGATTTTTGTCAAGTTCGTAGAAAATAAGTACATAATATAGATGAGAGATTAAATTATATTAAAATTTTATACAAGTGATAACAAAAACAAAACCAACAAAATTAAAAATTTTAGTTTTGATTGGTTTTCTTTAGACTTTGCGAAAGTATATTGAAGAGTCTAACATCAGTGTGAGTAAAATATATATTTTTTTACATTCTAGCCTTTTTTTAAAATAAGAAGCGATCTCTATTACTTCTGTTATAGTCGTGACATTGTCTGCTTTTTTTGTATGTTATTTATATTTTTATACACCCATTAAGAAACTTCTTATACACAGCAACCACACCCCTGGAACATTCTTTTGCGATTTGAAAATAAATATCGCGTGACTCGAATTTCCCCGAAAAGAATTCCGAATACCGGTTCAAAACAGCTTTTAAATTGTTTAATAGAAAACAATAACTATTTGAAGAATGCAATTGGTAATGACGTTTGTTGACCGTTTTTAGCCATAAGACATTTTGAATGAACGTGACAAAAGATGTTTACAATTCCGTTTTACCGCGCTAATTGCGAAGTTTCTTTTAAAATATCGTTTAAAGTTTAATTTCAGGGATATTACTTAAATCCGTTATATTTATCGCAAAAGGCCTACGAAAACCAAAAAACAAAAAGGAAACTAGAAAACAGTTTGCCATGTCCCCTTTGGATGTGTCATTGATATACATCTGCCTCCTTCCACGTTGCAGGTTAACGGCGAGCGAGTTTTCAGCGTCCAACATCAACCACCTCCGCGTTATCAAGGACATGGGCATCAACATAATCGCATTGAGTGACGGTCGCGTACAGCTCCTTCACACTCCCTCCGCCGTAAGTCGACTGCTATCAATCTGCTCCTCTTTTTGGTTGCGTCCATTTTCGTAAAAGCGCCATTAAGAGGGAGGGTCCTAAAATTTTGATTTTGTCCGTCACCTTCGAACGACCTTCAAATTCAAAATTTGAATTTGAAAAAGTTTTTTGATAGAAAAAAGTGTAAATATTTTTTACTAAGACGTGAGAAAACGACATATTTTGCTCCCTATCTCTCTCTCTCTCTCTTCTCTCTTATTCACTGTCGCAGCCGCCAGAAACTAGCTAGATCTGATCTATTTTTGTAAAATATTTGCTTGCACCTTTTCCTAGCCATATTTTCCGATATCATGGGTAAGTAATATTTTCGGGGATGTGTTTACAAAATCATGATTTTTATCGTCTTATACCAGATCGTCGGAAAGTTTTTTTTTTTCTAAATAGACCCTGACAGATAACTAAAAGCGTTGTCAATTCATATATCGCTGCTCTAAATACCAAAATTTCATTTTAATTTTTAATGGTTTATCAAGAATCGATAATAGCCCCTTGCCCAATGTTTTAATGACGAGTATTTAAAAAGTGACGAAAAAAGATACTAATCATTTTGTGTAGAATCATCATCTTGTAAGTTACTTCAGCAATATCAATTTTAATTCGCGTCTGCTGCAAAACGAACCAATAGAGAAATAGGTACATATGTTACAAAAAACATGCAGCATTACTGAGCCACCGAAAATATTTTAAAATGATAGATGACAGTCTATACGACCAAAGTTTCAGCCACGTTCGTACTTCACTACTACTCAACACTTCTAATGTTCCATCAACTGTGAGGCTTCATGTTGATTAGAGCGTTTCTTTCGTAATCTTCGAATACGTCCTCAGGCACGGTCCGCGCTGGACGCGGAAGAAGGCCTGATGTTTATGCACGAGATGGCGGAGTTGTCGAAACTGCAAGCCCAACAGCCGGATCCGTCGCCGTTGGAGATCTCTTTCCCGATACGGGGCGACGGTGACGCGGTACAAACGGTCACCGTTCACGCCGGCCCCGCCCAATTCGGGCGTGTCCTCAAGGGCGACCAACAGGTGACCGCGAGAACGGTTATAGTGCAACCGTTTCGCGGTTGCGAAGAGCCGAAACATCGCGACCTGATCGCCGGCCGCATAGCCATAATGGAACGCGGCGATTGTATGTTCGTTGACAAGGTGCGCAGGGCGCAAAAATACGGCGCCGTCGCGGCCGTGATCGTCGACAACGTAGCGGGCAGCAGCGTTGCCAGTTCGCCCATGTTTTCGATGTCGGGCGACGGTAGCGATGACGTCACGATCCCCTCGGCGTTCCTGTTTACCGAGGACGCGGCCAAGCTGCTGCTCGCCCTGTCGAAGGACTTGATGCTCGAGCTGACGATCAGGGAGATCGGCGGCGGGACGGGGACACGCGCGACTAACGACGCCGACGAAGAGGGCATGTTTCACAAGCTCAAGGTTAGCAGTTTTTAAAGGAAGGGGGCGCCACATGATATATTTCACTCGATAGGGTAATTTTTAGTAGAGTGGTAACAAGAAATACTGTAGAGATATTATTATACATTCAAATACCAAAAAAAAAAAATAGATCCTTGTTTCTAGCCGAAATAAACTCCAGAATTTGTATTCTGGAGTTGAAATGCTCTGTCTCTTTTATCCTTCTTTCGTGATTCGTGAGTTTCTTCATTCGACTGCTCAATCGGAATCATAAAATATGATATGATTTCAGAGCTAGTTATTCAAATAACATAATAAAATTTAATTAGTGAATATTCCAGAAAATTTGCTACAAATATCTGTCAGCTTTACCGTTGCATAGCTATTATTTTAGAAAGCAAATTTTGTCAAAATATGTCAGCAAGTTCGACTCTCTTACTTAATTATTGTAAAACACAGATTTTTAACGTAATTTGCCTGAAATTTTGTTAGTTTTCAACATGTCTTGGAAAAATTTTTAAAATCAGTCTGAAAAATGTTTTTTGATTTTACTCGAGTTTTTTTTTTTTAAATATGTCCACCCTAGGTAATTGCATGCTATAATAAAAAAAGGTAAAATAGAATGAAAGAGAAGTTAATTTATTATATCTATGTGATATTTATTTTTTAATATTTTCATTATTCTTGAAAAAAAGTAATTTTCCAAAAATCGAATATCGCATAAAAAAAAATCATCTTTTATGGTCTATATGAAGCAACGTTTGCGTTTGCGTATGAGGTAATGACTTCGAATAACGGCCCGTGCATTTTTGTTCGGGCTTTCTAAAACCTTTCAATTGGATTTGCGGGGTAATCGAGCGTTTCGACGCATAAATTGTCGCAGATGTCGGTCCAGGAGTTCCTCAACAAGCACACCGGCCTGGCGTTTAGCCAAACCGTCGAGGCGGGCGGTTTCCAAGCCGACATAGGCGCCGACAAGGTCCGGATCACTTACGACGCGTCTAGAGAGACTCAACAACTGTCACCGCCGCCGACCGGTAGGTTTGAGTGGGCGGAGTCGGCGGTCAAATCGAATATCGCTTCGTTTCAGGTGACCGACCGAACCAGCAATGGAGTCAAATACGTAAAGGCCTGCTGAAATCCATCCTGCATTCCGACAACAAGGAGCTCTACGTGCCGCTTAATATCTTGCGGATTTATTATCAGACGTTGGGCGGGACCGAGGATCACGGCCCACCGGATTCCGTCAAACAGACGGAATGGCTGCTCAACGAGATATCCAACGAGCACAGGCGGAAAGATTCGTCGTCGGGTGACGATTCTTTGGTCAAACTGGGTGAGAATAAAGGCGTCTCCGTGTTGGCGGATATCGAACACGTCACCAAAGACGAAGACGGGGACAAACTGAAACTGGATAAATTGAAGAGGCTCAGCTCATTACTGGAGAGCTTCAACCAGTTGGAGGACGCTTTGGAGCAGTCAGAAGCGCTGAAAGACGTGCTCGGGAAGCTCCACAGTGACACGACGGAGTCTGACGATTTGGTGGTAGGCGGGGCCGACGATAAAAAAGACGGGGACGCGGAACAGGAGGAGATAGGGCAAACCCGTGCCGCCGACGAGTTATGATATTGAAAAACGGTCTGCGGGAGTTTAATCGCGTTTTCGTACATTTTGGCAGACCATGGGGGTGGGGCCGCGAACCGGGGACGGCGCGACTCCATCGGCATCGTTGGCTGTGAAATTTGAGTACCGGTTTTCGTCGCGATTTAATTTAGGGGCAAGTTTTACGACACATCTCCATTTTTTTTCTTATATACAAACAATAAATTAGCAATTGAAAATGGCAAACTTGTGATATCTAATAGAGCCAAGTTGAGGTTCGGTTAAGCTTTTTACAGTGTCAATTGATCTCGCGATTTTTTTTCCCCCGCTATTTTTTGTTTTGATTGTTTTCTTCGTTCGAACTGTACATAAGACCGTTTATAAAAATGTACAAAATGTAAAAAAAAACATATTTTTATAAATACCATTATAAAAGTCGTTGTGTAAATAAAAACTTTATTGCAGCAAAATTCGTGATTTCTCTCGCGCAACCAAGAAACATTTTACTGAAAAACCAATAGATGAACAGTTATATAAAACCGACATTTGGTGGTTTGAGAAATAGTGTGCAAATAGTTACACGAATATGAAATGTCAGTTAAGTTGTCAAATTATTTGTGTTAACTCAATATTTACCGGGGAAATTTTATATATCACGACTCTGCGAATCTTTTAATATAGTGAAACAAGTTTAAAGTGTTTTCTCGCCAGTTGGTTCTGATTTTACCAAGGCCAATTTACAAAGAAAAAATACTAACATAAAAAGTTACCTAACAAGTCCTTAGGTCGGAACATTTTGTTTTGTTTATGAATTAATTCTTCATTTCTAAAAAAACACTTTTTATTATGTGTACGTTAGTAATTAATTGTTTCTCCCAATTCTTGGAGCTACTACAAACAATTTGCTGTACATTATTTTAATATATCGACCTTCACTAAATCTAGTGTCAAGGTAAAGGGTAAAGTTAGGTAAGAGCTTTCAAAAGTATTGGTCGTTTATTAAACCTCAATCAACATTGAACACTACAATAATAAATCAGGCTACATAAAAAAAGATTAACATTAAAACGTCAAAAATTTGCATTGTTACTTGCATTGAAACACTCAACCTATTTCGACGTCACGTTTCCCCCTTTGTATAACACCAAAACATCTAGAGATTTCGTAGCCGGAAGCACACTTTACTTTCATTTTTATACAAATTTCGTCAACTTTCAACAAAAGGAATTATTAATTAATATATTAAATAATTAACAATATTAATTAACACCGATTGTGACCTTAATTTTTGAGCCCAATTCGTTATTAAATGTAACCTAGAACGTAAAGTAAAATAAATCGGTTCTAGCGATGTTGCAGAGTCTAAAAAAATACTGTTTGCGCATTTCGTCACCGGTAGAACTAGGAAAAGAATGCGAAGAAACAAGAAAGGAAAGATAGCTTATTTGGTGACAGTCGATTGTTTGTAGTCGCAATGCAGTTGACGCATGTCCGACAACGCTTGCTCGATTTTCATAGCGAATCGATGGCAGTCCTGAAAGTAAAAAAAAAAACTGGTATCTGGTGTAGTATTAATATTTACTGTCATATGACGTCATCGAAAAAAGGATAGCGAGTATCTTGAAAAAATATGAACTGGGTGAACACCGATAAAAATTATTAGTTACGTAGAAATATTTTGTAATAATATTACACAGGCAGCTGTCGGTTAATAAATGATGTTGCGGAATACATTGATGCGAGAAATGGCAAAAAAAATTATCGCGTTGTTCCAAACCCTCCTGTCCTCCTTCACATCAATCACGATGTAAAATCATCGAGACATGGTTCGAGCACTCAAGTGCTCATCTGCAGCCAACGCTTGTCATATAAATAAAAGCATCCCACCCCGAGCAGAAACCCTAAACTAATACAGAGAATAAAAACGCAAAAATCTGATTTGGGGTATGGTTTCGCTGACCAAACAACAACCTACCTTGCTCTAACTTAACTATATATTAAGTTAATCTTAATCTTAAAAAATCACCTTAAAAATGTTTATTGTTTTTGTGTTCGTCAAACTGAATATTTTACAATTTTGGAAAGTTATATGGCAGAGGAAGCAAACTTAATAAAAAAAAAAAACTGACAAAACGGAAACTCACGGTGGTGGGACAACTCTTTTTGTTCGATATGTGGAAAAACAAGAGGTTCTCGCCGGCGATGATGTAAGAGACGCCGTATCCGTCGTCGGCGACGGGCCCGAATCCGCCACCCGCCGATATACACTTGGGATGCTTTTTCAAGTCCATCCTCTTCGTTTGGCCGTGCGGCGTCTGCGAAGTGGACAACCTCCACGGCTCGCTGAGCACCTCCCGCAGGAACGGCGACTCTACCTCGAGGTACTTCGACACGACGTATAGGCAGAACAGGTGCCTGTCGATACCTTTACCGCACATGGCGTCCTTCGATGACCTCTGCCGAATTACCATTTGATATTTATAATAAACGGTAACCCATAGTACATTCTATAGATAAACACAGTATCCTCCGTCCTTGGAGGGGTATGTCGTTTTACAACCTATGCTGCCATCTGGCAACGGGTGGAGAAACTTTGATTAGTTCTGGTTAGGAATCTGTAATTTTCTTATCTCGGTATCTCAGCCAGGAGACGGAGGACGCAGAAGTACCGTATATCTTCTACTAAAGTCAGCACGATCATTTTGACTTTGATTTGCCTGAACCTTAATTTAATACATCTTCAAATGTAAATACGTTTGTTTATTAGATATGTTTTTAACATGAATGAGTTGTTTACAAGCACAATTTCAACAAATAATATCTATTGGCTGTAGAAAAATCTCGAGATCTCGCCCAGGGGACGAAACAGATAGATGCAGAAGTAACCAATATTTACTAGTCAGCAGGATCTCAGTCGAATAAGTGGTTACGATACTCCGACTTTGGTTTGTCTGTATCTTAATTTAATATATCTTTAAGTGTAAAGATACTTTTGCATTAGATATACTCTTAATATGAGTGGGTTGTTCACAAGAAAATTTCAACAACTAATTTCTATTGCCCGTAGAAAAAACTGAACCTTAAGATTGTTTCTTAATGGGAAATATTCTTTATCTTCGACCAAGTTCATGAACGAGTTTTTCTCTTGGCTCCAGAAAAAATTAACCGCAGAATAGGTACCATTTTATAAAAAATAAACCGCCTACGACGGGCGGTAGATAGGCTACGTACCTGGTGCACGTCGCACGCTTCCCGGAGCAGCCGGACTTTCTCCTCCGCCGCAACGTTCTTGTCCTCCATGGCTTTCACCCAAGCGGACGACTCGACTGTACACGGTCTCACGGTTTCGGTCCGCCCCTCCCTGAACAGTCTCGTCATCGTCGCCTCGTACGTCAGACAGAATTTGCCCGCGTCGCGAAAATAAGCGAGCTGTAGCGCCATCTGCAGGTAAGCGTCCGGGCTAAGGCCGCAAGTTTTCATGAACCCTGAAACAAAGGACATATGACGTGCGACTGTTTACTGCGAGTTAAATTTCAAATATTTCAGGAATATAAATGAACGTTTACTATCATACCTTTTCCATAGTGGTCGTGCACGTATATCCTCAAGTCGATGTCCTGAATCAACTTGTCCGCCACCTTCAGACTATTCCTGATACCATTTTGGCATTCCGGTCCGATTTCCCAGTTGAGCCGGCTCGGCGGAGGCGGTGTGAATTCCGGATTTCCCAGGGTGTTACCGTTGTCGTCGAATCTAAACGCGAGTCGACTTTATCGCCTTGGAAACTGATTCCGGTTCCGCAATAGGAGACAGAAATATGAAAAAAGGCGCGAAGCGTTTATTATTGTAAACGTTAACATTACATTTCGAGTTGGAATTCGGCTTACGTCTGTCGTCCTATTTCTGTCCCGCCAACACGTTCAAGAGTCAAACGAAGGATCTACGTTAAAGCTCAAGCGAATAAAAAGTTAGTCGTCACTTAATCAAAAGATTTTTTTGTTAAACTTACAGACCAATAGATCAAATTGGAAGCTCTAACCTAACACGCGACAATTTTGAGAGTGACTATTTTTCAAGCTATTCGTTTTTTTTTTTTTTTAATTTTGATATTTAGGAATTGCAGAGAGCTAAAATGACAGAGACACATCGACAACGTCATACGCCAAATTTATTTCCCTGGTGCGCCAGTTGGGTTGACAAGTTGGACGAATCCTTTATGAACTTCTTAGAAAATTTAGGTTCCCTATACTTAATTAATAATAAACGGTCTTTGTTATTTATTTATTAAAAATATTAAACAAATAAAATGTATGATAAAAATTCGAGTAATTTTCATAAAGAAACAAAAAACATGTAACATAATACATGCAACCGTAATTTGGTCACAAAATAATTTTATGGCACCCTAGGTCAAACCCTCAACTGCCGCATTTTAAAAGACGGACGCGAGATTGAAAATATTTGCCACTACGCACAAAGAAATGTATAATTCAATTTTTTATTATATAACGAAATTGTTTTACTGTTTCTCGTCCTAGACATAAAATTTATTTAAGTTAAAATTAGAAACATATATTTAATACTATATTTTTTATTTACATATCAGGGGTGAACCTTTTCTTGTAACAGTGAGAGTAAAAACTATTTAAATATTTTGTTGCGCTTTTCCTGTCTGTAAATTAATGTTTAGTAATTAATGACTAACATTTTTAACAATTTATTTTATATAAATTATAGATCGCGCATTTGCGATCTCACAGAAGAACTTATTCGATGCTTATATTATGAGTTATAAATTCGTTCTTTTTTTTATTCTTATATTCTTATTCTTCTATGTTATAATCGACTATCGAAAATACGAAGCGTTCTTTGTGAAATGTAACACCGAATGTTTTTTTTTTCTAAAAAACTTATTGGCACTCGCTGGATTTAATTAATAACTGCTCCTGCCATTATAAAATACAATGATTTATTGCGAGAAATACATCCATTTTATTTAATAACTTTAGACAAATATGGCAATCGTATCATCATCATCCAATGGTTTACGCAAGAGGTTTAGCCTAGGCTAGGAGCTTACATGCTTCGGAGACGGACGAAGATTGCGATTTTCTGCCCGCATTTTAGCCCTCCACAGCCTGAACCGATGAATTAAATGTAAAAATTTGACATATTGACCTGCAACTTTCACCCTGTACATACAGAGACCAGGGACATTCGTCATACAACAAGAAGGAAGAAACAAACACAGATAACATAACGGAACAAACTCAAAATTATTACCGTATAGTCTCTGCCTCTTCGAGCAGGGCGAACTCTAGACAATGTGCAATTATGGGAGCGTCCGCCCTACAAGTTATAAACAATAAAAACTAAAGGTGAAAAAACCGACCACCGAACGGGTTAGAACGAAATATTAAAACGGTAAAAATAAAAATAAGGGTGTGCGTATATATGTGTGTTGCCTCGACCGATCACAAAGCAAGCATCTACCCACAGGACAGTAGTTCAACTAAAATGATTACCGGGGCTCATACGACTCTTCCGTTATGACCCACTCCCACACGTGTGACATCACCGCCGCGTCTGCCCTACAAAACACTCAATACAACGTTCGAATTTGACTTTTTTACTTCTTCAGATGGCGCGGCAACGTCGGTTCGACCTTTCAAAATGGACCAGCCCAGTATAGACGAATTAATAAGAGTTCGCCATATATCAATATCTAAATTAAATCTTCCGGAAAGCAAAGCGTGAGTGAGACTCAAGATATTCATGATCACATATTCTCTGCCTTAGAAAGGATCAACGAAATTAAAGATTTGGGGTCTTGCTTGGTTGTAGGCCAACTTCCTGGAATCATTTAAATGACATAAGGGCTATAGTAGCTTTAATTTTAAAAGTATGAAACTCATATTGACAAGCTCAAAAATATTCAAAAAAAATATTAACATATTACGTTTAGTTTTTTTTATTTCAAAATTGAATTTATTTATTAGGATTTAGTTCATGTTCCATTTAGTGATATGGCTTGAATAGTCCATTAGTTCGTTTAAATTTAAAAATGGTCTAAAGCATGTTCGACCTGGTTAGCTTGGTTGGTTAAGTTGATGTATTAATAATGATTTTGCATTAATAATAAATATATACAAATAATAATAAATAAATAAATAAAGTTCTAATATTCACAAGTGAAAATGACCACTATAAATTACAAGGTTTTGTAGTACTTTTTTGCTTCTCGAAAAAATTTCCTTGACCTCCACGTTTTCTCTTTTAAAAAACAAGAATACAGGACGTTTCCAAAAACCCTTATTTCGTATATTTGTTTGTTATTTTTCTGGAATAATTTTATCCGAATGACTGCGAGAAAGTAGCCAATAACAAAAAAAAAAAAAAAAAAACAATATAAGATAACGTCGACGACAAACACTTACCACGAATGTTCGGCATTAAACCCTAACCTTCCGTTGGTTCCTATGCACAGGGTGAACGATTTGTCGAACCACCTGTCGTAGCCCTTGCCGTGCAACAGAATTTTACCGTAGTTATCCAGTTTGGACGGGTCTGCCTAAAAAACAGAAAATCTAACTAACCTAACACTCGTACATTAAAACTTAGCAAAACTTTAAGCCGCCCTGTATAATAATAATTGACTTCTTCCCTGGTCAGATCGCACAATTTCTTCAATTTTTGACACACTTCAAATAATATCTACTCAATACTCTAAAATACCCAAATACAATAGAAAAAGTTTATTCACCGGGAAATGCTCTGTAAATTAAAAGCCCATATTTCCCCATTCCCCTCAACGAACGGTCATTTTATCCATCATTTTCCTCCATTTTATTTAATAATTGCAGTCTGAAATTTAATACTAATTTTCCACCGGAAATTTCTCTATATGAATTAACTCATGAAGTTGGATCACGAACAAATTTGATCAGTGTAACCCACCATTTTGATATCAAATACTCGTCACACAAACTCACAAGGTTCTTCGTAAATTTAGTCACCAAATAGAACGTTTGCGTCAATTCAGTACTGACAACTGTGTGGAAATAAATCAAGGTTATGTCATTATTATAAACCAACATAACCACATTTCTCGTCCCTAAAAGTGTCGTATATTACTCTACAAATTTTTTGCACGAATAAGTAGTTGACTATGATATTTATAAGTTGTATTTGGAAATCTTAGAGGAAAAGTCTGTTCATAGATAAAAGAAAGTGACTAACTGATACGAATTAAGGAAAGACCCTGACTGCCCGAACAGGTCCGTACTTTGCTTAGAATTTAATTATTTGGGGTTTTGTTGGGAAAGTTACTAAACAATATTTATTTATTTATGTATGTACTTATGTTTAAATCTAAAATAAAATTACAAATTATTTTTGTGACCTACCTAAATTACTTTAAAATTATTCACATAATATATCAGTATCACTATCGCTATCATCGCCTGTTCTAATTATTATTTGCAATATGGATATACGATTGTTCTGCTTTTTCTATATGTTTAATAGAATTTGCCCAATTTTGTGGAGGGATGTTAGAAACTTCGGATTCTATAAGTTTGAGGACATTGGAATTCCTTTAGTAGGTTCAAGCTTTGTAAAACCTCAATTAATTGCTTTTTGGTATAATTTCGTAAAAATAAATGTCGTTATTATACATGTAGTTGGATAAGAATGATTACTAATAAACTTATCTAAATAGTATACCAAAACAAAGAATATTAAAGACAGGTAGGTATAAAATTATTTTCTATTACGGACCACAATTTTACCTGAATTTAAATTCCGAAACTTTAGGTAATAATCTTGTTGCATTGTATGACCACCCTTGGATAATCCCATTCAAAAGCAATTGGTCACTTTCTTATATCTATGAACAGACCATACCACCGTTCTTTTCCCATCCTCAAAAACTGTTTAAACTGCTCAGGATTCTTTTTAAACTTTCTGTTAACAAATTTTAACGCCCTTTAATTTTTATTGTTTTTCTAATTCTTGTATAAGGGGGGTTGAATATTTCAACTAAGTAAGGACTATTAAGAATAAACAACGATTCAAAAAACAAAAACATTCAAACATAACCTCTAATGAGTTGGTTGAAGTGTTAAATAACATTTTAGACGTTCGTTTCGTTAATAACTTCATGAAGAAATTCATCAATCACCGCATGAATTGCCGCTGATGATAATAAACGAATTATAAAAATCAATTTTAACCTTTTTTTTTGGGAAAGAAAGGAAATTTTAAAAAACACGCAAAATGCTTAACAGATTAACAATTAAAGTGAAGGATACCATATCAAACTCGTATGGGACGTCATCCAAAACAACGACAAAGGCCGCTTTCTCGATGGCATCGAGCGACAATTTGTTTACGCCCCTGGAAAAAAACATCTTTCTGATATTGGCCCAGTGGGTCCTCTCTCCGGCGGTCAAAGCCGCCAATTTCTCTTCCCCTGTCAGGGGTTCCGACTGATCCTTTAATATCTGTTCCATTTGCCTGAAAGAGATCGTCGATGGACATATTCTTAGAATTATAAGATCTTTAAATAACAGAAAGATATAACTTATTCATTGCTTAATAAAGACAATGAAGAACCAGACTGATTCATTTTTATTTCGAAAAAATTGTCAAGTAGTTTGACGACACAAATCTGGTTGGCGGAAAAATTACTACAAAAAATCGCACTCCAGTAGATTTTTTTTAGCGAAAAGGCGCGCTTACATTTGAATCTCCGCGGGCCTCAGTATTCGTCCCTTGTGATAGATGATAACCTTGAAGTAGCGCCCCCTATGGTACACCGCGATGTGATTGCTGTCCGCCCAGTGGACGATTTTGTCAGATTCTTCGCCCGGGATGCGCGTCGTGTTGAAAATCCGCTCGTACTGCCAAGAACAAAGCGGTACCAGGTCCTGCACCAAAATCGGGTCCAGCTCTTGCCTGTCCACGAGCCGCCTGAACATGAGCAACGAATTGATTACGGACGCGGCTCTCGCCGCTTGGTTAGCAGTAGGGTGGAGCATGATGGCGTCGATACCGTAGAAATTCGAGTTGATCATCAGTGGGTACCTTCCACGAAGGTAGACGTACTCCTCCCACCAGTCGGAAACGTAGTTTGTCGACCACCAGTACTTGAGGACGAGGTACCATTGGAGCTTTTTCGCGATACCTTTTTCGAAATCGGCCGCCAGTTTTTCGGTTTGTTGGTACGCTTGGTCGTTCAGCAGCGGACGGACGCTGCGCAGATACTGAAAAACGAGGTTGGGTTGGGTTTTGGCAGCCCAAAAAGAGGAAAGCGGAACGCTGTGGTCTGAATGTCTTATACATAAAGGGCGTTAGTTTTTCAGAGAAACTTGCACAGGCTACTGTAATACTTTTTATTTATTTTCATTTATTATTGACCTGTGAGTATCTTTTGTTGTCATTATCGCCCCCTATTGCTTTACATAATTTTAGTCTTTGCTCTTCACTATGTATAGGATCTAATATTGTTTTTGAATGAATATGATAAAAAAAAGTTGCACTCTTCGGCACCTACTTTATTTTTATGCCAACCTATGTATTTCGAGATATATTTTTTTTTTAGGAATATATTTGTTGTTGGGTCACCCTAAGTACTGTGGAAAAATGCATTGGTGTTTTTAGAACTCGATTTAGATGCGTAATGTGGGTCGCAAACGATGTTATACTCTTGAGAAGATTGACAGATTTATGCGGTTTTATGGTCAGAAATTGTTAATAGATATTTTAGACAATAAAACAATCTGAAGGCATACGTTGCAGCATTTTTAGCAAAAACTTCACAAGGAAACTGTAAAAAAACAAATATAAACACAGAAGATAAAACTACAATATTGCAGCAACAGGAATTAATTTTTCGCATAACAGAAAACCAATACATAATAGCATATGCAGACACTTTTAAATTTAAAAAAAATATCTTGACTCCAACCTCTTCAGTAATTATGCAAACAAATCATTGTGTCCTTAATTTTGACATAATTCCAATAAACCAGTAAAATAATCGACGCACAAAACAAACTAAATATATAAATACGAGCAACGGATTCGATTTTTAGAGGGAACCTCTTAGCGACATTTTGCCTTGAAGTTCGGAAATACGTACGGCTCCATTACCAATCCAATAATCTCTCCGTCTTCACATAACACGTCCCGCCCCTGGTGACTCCTTTTTAGCCGTCCTCACTTACATTTAAATTAAATAAAAAAAGATAAAACCCACAACTAATCAAACCTAAGACGATGCCGGTTCACAGACCACCGCGATACAAAACGTCGACCACAGAACGATCTGTGACGATTATGACGTGTAAAAAATCCTTACCCGAACCATCGTGTCGTGAACCGACGGGAGAGGTAGTCTCGGCAACGATCCCTGGTAGCTGTACAACTTGGGGGTGTTCCATCCGCTAAACACCTTCACCAGCGCCAACCACGCGGTCGTCGCGAGGGACGGCTTAGTGCCTCGAGCTCTAGGCTCGAACATCCACCCCTTGTACTTGAACAGTAGCTTCAGAATCAACCGAATGGTGTAGATGACGGTCAGCCAATACGCGAGTGCGGTCAGGGAGCAAGCGAAGAGCTGCCACTGAACGTCGTTGCTGGAAAATGGAGTCGTCGAAAAAAAATGCCAAATCGAAATGGACGACAGGGGGCTTACTTGGGACATAGCCATAGTATTTTCGGTGGAAGATCGAACGGCACTTTGACCCCGTTAACGTGCAGTACCGATACTAACGCTATAATAACGCACAGGTACCTGTAATGGCCAGGATACACTCCGTTGTGGACATTATTCTGGAATGGGAGATCAACGTTGCAACGTAATTTTCGCCAAGAGCGTGTTATTCTTTTAATGCCGCATTGCACTTGGCAATTTAGTTGCCTTCTGTTGTGATTATTTGTTATTTATGTACTGTAAAAAGGCGAAGAGGAAACATTGTTCAACAGAACCTAACCTTAAATATATAAGAGAGACTGTTAATTTAATCAGTGTAATCCTTATTATTAATAAAGTTATTTTAGTTTAATACCTCCGTCTGTTTGTAAATTCACTAAACCCTCAACTTTGGTTATCACCGATTTGTTGTCACAAACCGTGGGGTTTCAATATTTCAAAGGGCACACCAGTAACCGCCGCGACTTATATGAATACAAACCGTATGCACCAAACCCTAATAAAAATTTATTACTCTGATAATTTGAGTTAAATCAATTTTCGATTATAGCTGATAATAGCCCGTCAAATGGCTTCGTTTAAACAATTTTTGTTTATTTTTTCGGGTTTTGCTTCTTTAAAAAATTTAGCGCTGATTTCTGTTTGCATTATTTGAAAATAATTCCGAGTCAATCGGTAATCCCAGTTTGACGCAACAAAAAGAACTGCTCGTTCATTATTTCCAAACCCTAGTAGGGACAACATTCATGATAAATACCAACGTAATAAATGTCATATTGTTGTCTAAAAATAGATATCCAATTGGACTTTTCGACAGACTGTATTTTGGTGGATCGATGATCGTTATTCGATCCATCTGACGTATAATGGAACTAAAATAATTATTAATTAAAGCTACAACATTGGTCGATCAATTAAGCAATTTGATGAAAAACGTCAATGATATTAATGAAGGACTAGGTTCGTGACAATTAATTTTCTCAATTGCTCGGGCTGTTATAATATTTTCCGGCTATCTTTATTTCAATTACACATCAATGTCACATTCGTAGACAAAAAAGACAAAAGGAAGCGAACCTGTTTAAAAATGTCTAATATGTAGCCACCATAACATTAGGTAGCATTATGGCGAAATAAAATCAATAATTGGATATTCCGGGAAACGAATATGAACCATATGAAACGTTATCAGCAAGTAAATAAATACTGTCGATTGTAGAGAACAATAAATAATAATAATAACATATACATTGTTTCCTTCAATGAGTGATGTTGTTCCCAATAATTTTTCTTTTAATCTTTTGCAAATGCTACGTCTAAACTGTAACCTGTCGGATTAACGAACTGTCAGCGGCCATCTTGGTTGTTGAACGCCACTAAATCTTATTGGTTGAAAACGAGAAAATATTTTTGCATTGTCCCTTGAAAAATTCTATCTAAATTCTAAATATTTATTAATATAATTATATTAAAAAATCGCTGTCAAAATCGTCCCAAAACAGCTTACGTACCATGAACCTCGCGATCCGTTTTTTCCAGGACCGGACACCGCTCTGCCAAACCAAATGGAGAACCTCCCTGTCAAAATTGACATCCCAACCTTCGTGGGTGATGGAAAACGAGAAGGCGACCGCCGCATGGGCCTCCGCCATGGTCGCAGCTCAGGCCGGCTTCGATAAACTGAAATCGTGGAGAATGCGAAAATCTTGGCAAGTAATAGGTACCAATTTATTTGTTTTATTTCGGTGGAAAGGCGGAAATTTCTAAGATATATTAGATTTTTTTGCACACCATATATCCCTGGATCTCCTTAGTTTCCTGGTATCCGAATGGAGTAAATGGTTTGCAAAAAACTACTTGTTTTATGTGGTGATATTAAATGACGTCATCGCGTCTAGATCGAGGGCGAGTAATAGTGATTTTCATTTGGATTTTTTCAAATATCTCGAACAGCGTATGTGTGTGACGAAAACCGTAAATACAAAAATTGTAGCCCTTGATACGGCCTATAACAATATTTGAACGGATTAGCTATTGTTTGTACGAATTTGGATTGACGGTTAATAATTTACTCTCTAAAAGAACAATTTACAGAAAAACTGACTGTTTGGTGCGCTTTATGGGCTGGTGAAATCATTGGTCCGTACTTCTTCAAAAACGATGATGGCCAGAACGTTACAGTCAATGGTGATCGGTATAGAGCTATGATTACTAACTCTTTCATTCCTGAATTGAATAACCATGATGTTCAGGAGATGTGGTTTCAACAAGACGGCGCAACATGTCACACAGCTCGTGTCACAATGGACTTATTCAAAACACACGTTTGGTGACCGCCTAATTTCACGTTTTGGAGCTGTGAATTGGCCTCCAAGATCTTGTGATTTAACACCGCTAGACTACTTTCTGTGGGGCTATGTAAAGTCATTGGTCTATGCGGATAAGCCACAAACGCTTGACCATTTGGAAGACAACATTCGCCGTGTTATTGCCGATATACGGCCACAAATGTTGGAAAAAGTCATCGAAAATTGGACGGCCAGATTGGACTACATCCGCGCCAGCCGTGGCGGTCATATGCCAGAAATCATATTTAAAATGTAATGCCACAAGATTATCTTTCGGATAAATAAAATTCATGTCAATCGAATAATCCATCATTGTTTTATTGCAACAAAGTTCTAAACATCGAAAAAAAACACCCTATACTTCCCGAACCCCCCACCCCCCGTTTTCAACAGGTTCATTCACGTGGCAAAGCTGCATAGATGTGCCAAATATGAAGTCGATTGCTTCAAATATCGGAGACTTACCGTGTCTCATAGCAAGGTCCAAAAAACCGTCGAAAATCGCGAAAAAAAGATGGATACTGACGTCCGATCAGGGCCGTTTCTTATAAGCTTATGTGCCTCGTGGAGGGTTAAAAAGGAAGCAAATTTCAACAAGGTGACCTGATAAAATATTGATAATTAAGGGTTCCACCTGCAGTTCCGAATAGTGATTTATTAAAGTGTATGGAGACTTATTTGTCATAGTTTCTTACTTCTAAAACTACCTTATTTTTTATGGTTCAAATAAAGTGCCTCAAATGATTTTTATTCCTCTTAATGAGATTGCCGACATTTACTTCAAATATATTTCTCATTAAATGTAAGTGAAAGAAGAAACTCCATGTACTAATTAGCGATTTAAGTCGAAAAAAAACTTTTTTCTCGAGTGATCGATTTCAAAAACATTGTGTTCCTAAATGTGTTTACAAGTTTGCAACTGCCATCTTTCGCAAGCAACAATTTATTGTACGTTTCTTGCGTAACTTTTTTTTTAATACCTTCTGCGTTCTACGTGTACCATTTGGTAAAAATAATTGTTTCAATAACAGTTATAATGTAATTTCCTTTTGGTTTGTCTCTTTACAAAAAAAAAACGGCGATACGCCTTAATTAATGAAGACACATCCGCTTTTGTTAAAGTAAAACGAAAAAATCAAGTCGTTTGGTATGTCCAAATTACGAAATAACAATAGCTGAATAAATTCAAATTGTTCACGCACGCCTTTCTTGCTATTGCCGCCCAAGTGTAATAAAAACAATACCAAAAGGTCAAAAGAAATGTAAACAGTATTGTTAATTCAATGCACAATAACGTGCTGGAATTCATCGATTCTCAAAAATAGACTTTTTTGTGACATTCGACCGGTCTTAAATGTAAATCAAAACAATCACGTGTTTGCCTGTTTTTTTTTGGGCAGGCACACGGAAATCCTACCTGTAAGAAATATGTTAAATTTGCTTCTTATAACCTCAACGAACACACTTTTTAACCGCCGTTTTAACACAACATTTATGGCTAATACTAATAATTTATAAGCGGGACATGTCCCAAGTTACAAAGTTCAGGTTATCTAACACCTACACACACGCGGGATAATGACCAAGGGACGTACGTAATCACAGTTTTAAAATCAAATCAAAATATAAACGCATGGCAAAGTAAACAAACTGAGATAATTTAGATAAAGGTATGCCCGAGTACTCGTTACGCCTGTAAGTACCGTAAAACACTCACGCACAACGATCGACACGCATCAATCGCTAATTTCTATTTTCGAAAATATCCTATATTCTCGCGAACGCGAGAGAAAACTAAAATTAATTTTGTTAATTTCAAGGCACACACATACACACACACACACACACACATCCTCCCCACCGCCCGCCTGAATGTGCGATGAGGACGCAACCCGGAATGCACAATTCGGTACAGGGCTGGAGTGAGAAAACTGTAGGTCGCCATTTTAATGTATCGTAGACAGATTTGCAACATCTTTGAAGTAATTTATCGGTTACCTTCTATTGCATTGCATCAAAAAAAATAGATTGTTGCAACTTTTCACTGGCGAAGATCGACAAATTGCAACTAACGGAGATATTCAATTGATATTTTAAGTCCGAATATGCCCCGGTCGCGTTGCCAACACAAGATTTCTAACCCAACTGTCCCTAATATGAATGACCTCCCCAAAGATTTCACACGGATCAAACTAGCGTGAATAACCGAAAACCAGTCGAGACTCGAGAGTGGAAAGGCTCGCCGAGTGGTCAGTGGGGGTTGTTTTTCTATGCGGTCTTCGAAATTCGCATGACTTGGATCGACTCCAGAAAAATTCACAAGTGTGCGAGTTACGTTTACGTGGTCGTTAAGTGTTTTCTGCCAGAAATTATGGCTGGTACCAGCGACAGGCATTATCACAACGACACCAGTAGCGATACCGAAGATTATACAGACGACAGGCGACGAAGGGTGTTCAAAAATCGTATAAGGTAAATAGTATTTTCGAATCAAGATTAATATGCTTAGAATTAGAGCTGAATCGTGCCAAATCATTGCCATGTCATCGCTCTTTATCATTCGTAACAGTGTAAGGAATGCGGTTCTTTGTTCGCGCAACGTGTGCGACATCGAGGTCGCGTCAAAGATGAAGTAAAAAGAAAAACGGTAGTTTTTAAGTAGCTCGGCTCATTTTTCTTCCTCACTTGACCATCACTGTGCTTTTGCTTGTTAGTTACGGATCACTATCATCCAAGCCGAAACCGTGCCTTGTCCAACGTAGCTCGGCGTCCGGTGGGGACCCCCGTTGCCACCTCACATCCTCATCGAAACACATGGCCTCTCAATCACGCAGGCAAGGGTCCCCAGTCCCCAGTGTGCAGGGATCGCGGAGCCTCCCGCTCATCTTACCATTTGCGGTGATTACAGGTCGAGAAGCTTGCTTCAACCCGCCTCTCACACTAAGGGTCAACCTCCGTCGCCCCAGCAGCAAACTTCGAGCCTGGCGGTGTCGAACGAAGACCGGGTTACCCTGGTAGTCGACAGCACCAGATTCGTGGTCGATCCATCGTTATTTGTGGCCCATCCTAATACTATGCTGGGTAGGATGTTTTGGTAAGTGATGGCCCCAATAAAAATGCATGCAGCTTTATTATTTTTTTAGTTTAGTTCAGTTATATTTTTTTACAATGGTTAGGTTTCTTCAGCATCCGATTCGATTTTTTTATATTTTGTCAGCTCGTCATTAGACACGCATCCGAACGATCGTGGCGAGTTCGAGGTGGCGGAGGGTATTCCCGCGAGCGTATTCCGCGCGATCTTGGAATATTACAAGGGCGGCCTTATCAAATGCCCACCCTCGGTAACCGTGCAGGAGTTGCGCGAGGCGTGCGACTACCTGCTCGTACCGTTCGACGCGAGTACCGTCAGATGTCAAAATTTAAGGGGTCTGCTGCATGAGCTGTCGAACGAGGGCGCGCGTTGTCAGTTCGAGGTGTTCCTCGAGGAGCTGATACTGCCGCTGATGGTAAACTCGGCGGAGAGGGGCGACCGCGAGTGTCACATTGTCGTACTGCTCGACGACGACACCGTCGATTGGGACGAGGAGTACCCGCCCCAAATGGGCGAGGAATATAGCCAGACGGTGAACAGTACCGCTATGTACCGGTTCTTCAAGTACATCGAGAATCGGGACGTCGCGAAACAGGTGCTGAAAGACAGGGGACTGAAGAAGATCCGACTGGGGATCGAGGGTTACCCCACTTACAAGGAGAAGGTGAAGAAGAGACCGGGCGGCAGGGCGGAGGTGATCTACAATTACGTGCAACGGCCGTTCATTCACATGTCGTGGGAGAAGGAGGAGGCGAAGAGTAGACACGTCGACTTTCAGTGCGTCAAGTCGAAGAGCGTTACGAATTTGGCCGAGGCGACGGCCGATCCAGCGTTGGAATTGGACGCCAGGGGTGAGCTTTTTAAAAGCTGCACATTGTAATATTTAAAGATGTACGAGGTTGGGTGGCAAGCGTAGGTAGTGTTGTGTTGTTGAAAGATACAAATTAAGCGTCCTATTTACTAAATATGAGTAAAATTAAAATGGAGGACGTTCTTTTAACGATTTAAGAACCAATTTTAAAAAATATTTTCGCTTGTAACATATGGAAAAATTTAAGCTGATTATTGATTTAATATACTTTATAATAATAAGTACTAGGTATTAACACCTTTAAAGCTATTTACACAAGATAAGTTCTCCGAAAACCTCAGTTTTCTATGTGTGTATTTATTACCCTCTAAATTAGTGTAACTTCTCCAGATAGATCAGGATAATTACTTTAAAATATTGGCCAATAGAATGAGTAGAAAATGTAAGTAATTACATCAGTAACCTTATTCATTAATATAACAAAACCATAGAAGCAAAAATAGGAAAATAGAAAGAATATGAAATTTGTATATAATATATGCAACTAATTTTGTGCAGATAAGAATAAGTAAATAAGTTTATATAAACTTATGTCCGAAAATGCTTAGTTTTTGGATATAAAATATTATATATTATTTAAAAAAAAAACATATTTAAAAACTTGGTTATTATTTATTGTCCACGTAAAAACAAATTTATAGCATAGATAACATTCCTTTGCTGTAACCAGGGAGGTTCCCGAGAGCGCTTTAACTAATTTAAATAATAAAAAAAAATGGTACGAAAATTAGGTGCACACAAGCATTTTTTTTTTTTCGAAAACGATTTGTTTTAACGGAAAAGCTAAAGACACCATTTTTGTTTACAGTTGATCAGGATACCTAAATTTACTAACGAAATTGCTATATACCATTATTTTTAAATTATTTAAATTAAAATTAAAAAAATACTATTATTTTTTTATTAATTAAAATGAAATTAAAAATCCATCAAACTTTTTATAAAAACAAAAAAAAATAATTTTTTTCTCAATATTTCAACACCCTGTGTCTCCAAAACGAGGTATCTTGGACATAAGTTTATGTAAACCTTTTCACTTATTTTGATCTGCTAAATACGCTGTTATGAATATATAAATGATTATATAAAAAAATATAAAATCATTCATTCAATAATTATTATCATATTATTATTATTATTATTATTATTTCTATAATAATAAAAAGCATCCGGTATAGCTCATCTTGTATTTACAAAAAAGATATTTTGTTATTGAAATTTGAAAATAAATCTAATTTAGGCAACCCGATCGCGACGGTCACAATCGGAGATGCGGCGCCCCTGCTGCCCGATTTGGCGCCCCTGGGCGGGGATAACGAAGACGGACTCGCAGGTGACGGCCCCGACCTTGACGTGATTAACAATTTACCGCGGGAGGAGAATTTGTGAAAGTAAATAAACTCCCTCCATAGACTGAATTTTTTCTTCGTTTGCGTTGTTAGTGGAATATTGTATTTTGTTTTTTTTTTTGGACGTTTTGATATTCGTTGCTGGGTCAATCGCCCGATAATCGTTTGCCGAAATTCGGCCTTTGTAATTTCGAACGGGATGACATGTCTGCTATTTTCGGTTTGTTCTTTTCCAGGGAGGTGTCCATTAAGAACTTATGTATATGAATTCGAATAATTGCCATCTTTCCAAGGTTTTAAACGTCAGAAATAATTGTCAAATCTGTTAAATCTGTTTTATACTTACGAAGTCGATAAATTTACACTAGTAACTAACCAAAAACAGTTTTTCTCGGGCTAAATAACTGGACACCGCCAACATAATATTTGCTTCTATTGGTATTATTGTTTAGCACTACATATGTCAAGCAGGTATTGTCGGAATAGCTTATGGCGCCTGCACCTAACTTTTTGTCGTAATACATCAGAAACATAGGTCAGAGCAATTTCTTTCGAAAGACTTTAACAAGTATAAAAAAACATGATTTCAGAGTTGCGCAATTAAGTCGTGTTAATTGCCACTGCTGATTTAAGTGGCTGTTACCAATCTTAATTTCTTAGCTGTCACAACGTAGCGCTGGTATTGTTAATGGTCGCCCCCTGAGTAATTTTCAGTAAAATACGTACACTTTATCCGGCATGCTTTGAGTGTTTAAACTGTCGATTTTCAATTACACGTGTGTGGCCGTCTTTTACTTAGGTCAAAATTTGCCAAATGCACAAAATTTGCTTCGCTCTAGAATCCCGCTTGCAAGTATCGCGCAATGTTGCGTTTCCAAGATCCTACTGCTGAAGTTTTGACATTGCCAGAGAATAAAATCGACTGACTTCGATTTCACAATATCGGCTGTGTACTCGTAACCACTAACGTTTCATTTATTCGTCGCAACCTGTTAAGTGGATTTTGTTAAAATTTATCGTGGAAAAAGCTGTAATTTGTCCATTTTGTCGATAATTCGCTAGTCTCTACATTCCACATTACAAAATCACGAACTGATCACCAAATCTTGTCGAGACTGAACTTATTAACCGTTTTGATTTGCTCATGTTTTTTTTTTAAACGTAACTCGCATATTGTACCTTTTTATTCGCTCCTAGTGTGAGGTTTTTATACTTGTAATTTTTACCAAAATATATGCGGTCTTCATTGTGATGTGCTAGTTTTATTTCACCTGCTTTCTATTCCTAGGTGCTTAACGTTTTGCAAAACTGTTTTGACAATATACATTTTCATGATGTTGACAATGCATTTCCAGTTTAAGCGCAATTATTTTAATTTATTGGGTTGAGAGTTGATTTACTTAGTATAGGCCACTTTGATACAAAACACACTGTAATGTTTATTATTATTTGTTCAATGGCTCTTGTATTCTAAAACAGTCTGTAACGATTTTCCACTTATCCCCTTGGGCTGTAACCACAAAATTTTGCTGAAATGTTTTTGGGGTTTTGTCCTGGTACTTCACTGTGCCACTGGTTTGTATTATGAATGTTAGCTGCCCACTAACGGCCGAATCTAGAACAGGTTGGGCGTCCAGAGTAACTGTATTATGGTCGGAAGGGGGCAGCTCCATTAAAAATTTTTGTATCCTATCGTTTCCTTTGATCCCATTGCCGTTCCATGACAACAATCCTGTTTCTAGATACAACTTTGACATGAGCTGAAAAATGACTAATAAAGCCATTTGCGACTTACGAAACTTTAACTACTTACGTGTCTTCGTTTGTCGACAGTTTCGTAATATATTTTCGTGAACTCTTCCGCTATGCGACATGCTTGGTCCACTTTGGCTTTATTCTACCAATAGCGTCGTATGAAATAATGAAATGAAAATAATAAAACGTACCTGTTCCATGATGTATTGGTCAATTATTTTTATTATGAAATATTTATTTAAAGTCCTTTTAAAGTATCTTACTCAACACTTTTATATCCAATAACACAACAATGCAAAATCTTTTTAAGGTTAACTTTTAACCACGAACCACAGAATTGAACTGATTAACCGAATTGCACGAAACCGATGGTTTAATGACCTCGTCATACGTTTTGTATGACGTCATATATAGATCATAGTCTCTATTAAACAAAAAAATTATTTATTATTTAAAAATTGAAACATTCACTAAAAAAATTTATTGTGGAATTTATTGGTAACGACCGTTTAGGGCTCAGGCGTTATGATTATATCAAAAATGAATGTTACGATTATTTTTGAAAAGTTGTTATTCGCAATTTGCAATTTAACCACCAATGGCAAAAAAATAGATCGAACTTTTTCTTCCATGGCATTGGCGCACCATAACACCCATTTCAAACGTTCACGTTTAGAATTTCGGTCTTCCAATGTGGGCGTAACTGTATATTCTATTGTATCGATCGAATGCGAAAAGCCACATTATACTTCCCGACCGAGCGATCTTGCCTTGCCGTTTTTTTAAATCGCAATTCGCCGAGTAATTACGAATACAAGAACTACAAGTTTTCGCAAAAATAAAAATAGGATTGACTGCCCCCGCCAAAAGTACCCCACGTCTTGTTGCTGTCACGTGATTCGAAAACAGTTATTTTTTTCGGCACGATGGCGCCAAAATGTTAACATGCAGTTTTCGCGCGGCCCATCTAATTTTGGGGCAGGTGCTGGCCGAAAAATCCATCCTGATATCGATTCGCAGGTACAATAAAAGATTAAAATTGCCACCGTTATCTGGATACGTCAATTTAACCCGTTTTTGATTTTGACATCGAAGTATGTAAAACGGGGACATGTTGGTTGTAGGGAAATGAGAGAGACGAGACAATAACAGCCCCGATTTTTCGATTTATGAAAGGTAGAAAACTTTCGATTTGACGGTTTTTGCGAACTTCGTTGTCGAATAAAGCACTGTTTGATAATTGCCTCTATAATTTATCGATCGGCGCGTGAACACACGAAAAAATACGCAAAATAGAGAGAGAGGCGCGATCCAGTTTCCAAGTTTTGGTGCTGTGTCGACGATTAACGACCGTGCTGCCCCCTACGTTGTCAATGTTGTTAGGCTTACCAAATGGAGTCTAATGGAGTCCATTGAATTGAAAATCCTTTGAGAAAATAATCGTAAGCATGAGAAAATCGAAAGCCGCGTTAAAGAACTGTACGATAATCCGTGGAAATTATTTATGAACCGCGTGATAACAAGTGCGTGACAGTGAAAAAGGATTCATTATAAATGTTTACAATTCAGAGATGGGAGCCACCTCTGCTGTTTGACAATCTATTTTTTAGAGTTATTTACCTGGATCGTTTGGATTTGCGTTTCGAGTTCACGAATGTCCTTATATCCGTACGACCAGTGCCTCGGTGGCCACGATAAAAATGCCGGAACGCCCAGAAAGAAATCCATTCAAGAATAGCCACAGGCTATCCAGGAAACCCTTATTTTTTAATCCTACGATTTTTGCGTTTATCGAGATATTGTTTACGGTCAGGTCGTGTTAATGAATCGAACTAAGCAGCTTGAACGACACTGATTGTTGTGAAATATTGAAACTGACTGTATATAAGTGAATTTGGTGAATGATCGGGAAAAAATTATGTAGTAAGTTGCTTGATACGTTTCTGTGAGTTATTCTCGCGTTTCACCAACCATTAGTGTGTACTGAATGATATTGAGCTGTAGATTTGATAGAAGATAGTAAGGAGTATGGGTTCTAAAGTGGGTTATTTTAGGGTGCGCAGTAAGAGCCCTACCTGCACAACCAGAGTGCAATGTCCCAGAGATTAAAAAGGCCTAATCGATCTGAAGATGGTGCGGTTCCTGTTAAAAGGCGTAAGGTTAGTTAAACATTATAAAAATGGATATTATTCTTTGGTTAGGTTTTTCTTCTCAATGAGATATGAAGCTAATTCAATTGCGCTACTGTTTATAGCATTTTTTGTGGTGAACATGCGAGGCGAAACCTATTATCTAATGTGTTACAAGATTTTAAGATATTCAGGATTTAAGCAATTTGTGTTATCAATTATATCTTTAAAAAAGCGCACGGCGGCCGAGGAAGAGGAGGCGGCCTCCCAGGTGGCGAAGGTTGCTGCTCAGGGATCATGGCAACCGCGGTCCAATGACTTGAAAACCATCTACAACCGGACCACGACGGAAGCGCCCGCAGAGCTGTTTCGTAAAGATCTGATAAGGTTCGTTCCTTTATGTTAACATTTTATTTTTGCCTATTCCTTTATATTTTATATTATTATTTTGTTACCTTGGGCATGTTTGAATTATAGTGCCATGAAATTACCGGACTCTGAGCCTCTCGCCTCAGACGAATATTGGGTGATCGTCGACCAGTGGAAACAGGAGTGGGAAAGGGGTGTGCAGGTTCCAGTGAATCCGGACTCGTTACCTGAGCCAAGCGTCAGCGTTACAAGATGCAAGTCGCTCAAAATGCAGAAAGACTTCAGATTGTAAGTTGTTTTCCTTTTCCTGACTTGCCCAAAATGTCTTATTGTCAGTTAGCGGTTAAAGGGTTGCCGTTGCTATATTTGACCTACTGTATAAGTGCTTGAATGTAGTCAGAAGTACTTTGTGATGCGGGTCCAAAGGTCATATAAATCAAATCTGAAAAGACCACTTTTTTACATATAATCAGAATTTTCCGCACTTACCAGATTGCAATCTCTGATCATGCATCTGGCTACATCATTCATACTAAGTATCCAATAATTGTTGTTAATATTGTTTCTTCTTCAATAAAATTTATGCTTTCGTGAGTAACAGGGTAAAGCTCGGGGGTCGAATCACAACAAACATTTTTTGAGCATTAGACATAAAAAAAAAAAAAAATGTTGGTCTGGTGAACATCTTAATTTTTGTTGAGTTTCGGAACAACGACCCCGTGTTCAATTTTCGTCATAGGTGCAGATACTTTTCTGTTTGAAATCGTGATGTTGCGAAAGTAATTGACCAATTGACAGTTCAAACCGCGAATAGTAAATTGACGTAAATGTCTCGATCAAGTGCGACTTCCCACGAGTGGATTGCTGGGCGGTTTGCTATGGCTATAATAGTATAAACATGGTATTTAATTGTTATTTCCTTTCAAATGACAGTTTGACAGTAGATTCCAACTTTCCACATCCAAAAAGAATTAATTTATTAAAAAAATAAATAAAGTCAAATTTTCAAATACGTTTGTTCGTTAGGCCGAAAAACAAATACATCCGCATAACAAACGACGAGAAATTTGACGGGGAATTGCACAGCATCTCGAACGCGCCCGCGAAAGCGGAAGCGGCCTGCTCATACGATCTGGACGAGTGCGACATGTCGTGGTTGAAGACGTTGAACGCGGAGCGCGCCTCCTGCGGCCTCGGCCCCGTCTACGAGGACCAGCTCGAGCGGGTCGTCGAGCGGCTCGAGCTTTGCTGCTGGGACAAGATCCAGTCGATTTTGAAGAACGAAGAGGGCCTCGGCATCGAGTACGACGAGAATGTCATTTGCGACGTGTGCAGGTCGCCAGACTCCGAAGACGGCAACGAGATGGTCTTTTGCGACAGCTGCAACATTTGCGTGCACCAGGCGTGCTACGGCATCACCCGAATACCCGAAGGTCGGTACCAACTCCGTCCCGTCCTTACCCTTGCTTCTGACAGTCTTAACTCCATCTCTCTTTTTTATTGGGGCTTTGTGTAAATATAAATATAAAAACTTCTTAAAATTGTAAATATTGCTAATTTATTAATTTTTTTAGGCTTCAGTGGAAAGTGAAAGTGGTTTGCTTTCGTTTAAGATTTATTCAAATTTGTGCTTTTAATGAACCTTGAATTTTAACCTTCATTTGTAACAAGCCTCTCCTTTTGCCGTCATTTTTTTGGAACCATGTTATAGTTATTAGATAATAAAGTGCCCCTCGTGCATTAAAAATTGATGCGCCTCAGGGTACTATGATATTTTCATAAAGGTTTTTCGTTTCCTACTTGCACTTTGAGTCATTTTCTCACTAAACAGCGCCCTCAACATACTTCACTCGTTTCCCCTGAACATTTAAGGAGATCCGGGTGTATTGCATTGTAAATGCAACGTTCACAGTGACATCTATCGAACCCGTCAAGGTCTTATTGGTTTTTTATTTTATTTTATTGTCACTTTGAAAATTATTGTATTTTCCGCGTAGGAATTTAGTAACTGTGTGGAAAATATTAAGTACACATATTTTTATTTTGCAAGTTTATGGTGTCCCGAATGCGTTTAATTTTCTTGAAGTGACTAGGGAGGGTGGTTAAAAAAATTTAATAGGCAACGCAGAGGAGTTGTTAGCCAATAGGTTAGTCTGTGAATGACTCCCCGAGGCTCAAGCGAACATCAATAAATGTTTGGATATTTTTCATAGCGAAACAGAAAAGATTTGGAAAGTTACAGGCAGGAACGTCTGCGTGCAGCCGATTAAGAATTTCCACCACGGCTTATATTTAATCTGTCCTCGTCTTTAGGTATTTTTCTTGACTTTCGTGGGCTCAGCTATTTGTTGCCGATTCACGAGAGTGGTGATAAGAGCGATTTTGCTAATTATAGAGACGTTTGGTTCCTAATCTGTGAATTTAATCACCTACTAACAATTTTTACTGAATTTCTTTGAGGGGCTTGGTCAGGAGGTGTCTACACTGATTCATGTGCATCTGTCCTGTCTGGCCGTACTCAGTTGGTTCGTGTCAGGTTAAATTGATATTTTTTCGGGAGTCCCCCACCGGACCCATCCTTTTTAACTTGTTTTTAAATGATATTGTTAGCGTAGCTTCGGAGTCGCGGTGTCTTTTGTTTGCGGACGATTTGAAGATATTCATTAGAGTTGGGTCGCGCTAGGATGCTCTGCTGCGTCAGAGGGCCGTGTAAAAAAAAATATGTAAAAAAATGCTGTATTATTAGCTTCAGTCGTTCGTTGAGTATGGTTCACAACCGATATAGTATCGATGGAGTCGAGATCCAGGCCGTCACTAGCATTGTTTTCTTCGATTCTAAACTAAGTTTTGTGACATGTCTTGCGGACGTGGTAAACAGGTCTATGCGAGTCCAACTGCTTTGAACTCTGTTATATCTCTTTGCTTCCCTCTAGACCGCATGCATCTGTGATATGTTCTCCATATTATGCCTGCCATCAAAGCCCTTCAGAAAGTATTTTTAAGATCTTTGGCTTCGAAAGCGCATATCAATATCTATAATGTGTATCAAATCAACTACAGTATTATAACCGGGCCTTCAATATTGATACTCGTCAAACCAGAAGATTTCAGAGTGATTTAGTTTTCCTCTTTAAGATTCTGAATGATTGGAATTATTGTATATTATATATATTATAGAGTTTATTCCCTATTTCCCTTACTAGAATGCCTAAAGCTGAAAGATCCTGATGTGTTCAGTTTGAGTGAGTTATATTTTGTTTTGGTTTTTAGCTGTGACACGGCTATCTCTCCATTTGTGTTAAATGAATGTAAAAGTTTTGTAAATAAATAAATAAGTTACAATACCTTAGGTCAATAATTTATTATTTATATAAATGATATGCCTCAGGTTTTAAAAAACTCCTTTGTTAACTTATTTGCTGATGACACGCTTATTTCAGTCTCGGGAAACGATTGCAAAGAAATAGCTACCAAACTGAACACCGAAATGCAGTATTTCTACGAATGGCCGTGTCAAAATAAACTGAAATTAAATAGCTCCAAAACCAAGTGCACGGTTATCGGTTCTAAGGTTAACTGTCAAAAATTTTATAAGTCGGGGTATTCTGTGGATATACAGGGTAATAAAATTGAGTTTGTTTCCGAAATTAAATATTTAGGGATGATCTTGGATCCACAATTATGTTTTAGTAATCATATTGAATATCTATGCAAAAAAAATTGGTAAGAAAATATTGTTTTTTAACCGTGTATCGCGGTTTTTGTCGCAGTGGAGTAGGATATTAGTGTATAATAGTATTATTTTGCCTCATTTTTCATATGTTTGTTCATTGCTTACATCTTGCACAAAAGAAGATTTAAATAAGTTGCAGTTACAACAAAATAGGGTTATGAGAATCATCCTGAACTGCGATAGATATACTCCTATAAAGAGTACGTTAGACCAGCTAAATTGGCTAAATGTCGGGCAGTTCATTAGAAGAGCAAGTTTAATGTTGGTTTATGGAATTGCGCACGATCACCAACCGGGCTATCTTAAATTATGGTTGGAAAAAAGGTCAAACTTTTATCAATATAATGTACGTTCCAATCAGCACTTCAATGTTTCTATGGTAAAAACAACAAATTTACGGAAAACTCTATTCTACGATGGTGTTTGTAATTTTAATGAACTGCCGGATAATATTAAGGGCGCGCCTCGCCCGAGAGTGTTCAAGAAGAGACTTACGGGGTATTTGCGAAGTTTATAGTTTTGTTTATGTAAATTTTACTTGCTTATGTAAATAGCCAAGTGCTAAATAAGTAAATATTATTATTAAATCTTCAAAAAAAATTGTTCCCCCCCTCTTTTCCAGGCCAATGGTTGTGTTGCACGTGTAACATCGGCAAGCGGCCGGACTGCGTGCTGTGCCCGAACAAGGGCGGGGCAATGAAATCGACCCGCTCGGGCCAGAAGTGGGCGCACGTCTCTTGCGCCCTCTGGATACCCGAAGTCAGTATCGGCTGCGTCGAGAAAATGGAACCGATCACGAAAATATCGAGCATACCGTCGAGTCGTTGGGCCCTCATCTGCGTGCTGTGCCGCGAACGTGTCGGCGCCTGCATCCAGTGCTCGGTGAAGACGTGCAAGACCGCGTATCACGTGACGTGCGCGTTCAAGCACGGCTTGGAGATGCGCGCCATCATCGAAGACGAGAACGCGGACGACGGCGTGAAATTGCGATCGTACTGCGAGAAGCACAGCAAGTCGAGCAAGAAGAGCGAGAAGAGCGTGTGCTCGGGATCCGAAGACGACGACGTCAAACGAAAGAAACGGAAAGACATGACCAACGAGGAGAAGAACCAGGCGAGGGCGGCCCGTCTACAAGAGATCGAATCGGAATTTTTCAAACACGTCGCGGTGAAAGACGTCGCCGTCCACGTGGATGTCGACGGCGACGCCCTCCAATACATCTACAACTATTGGAAGCTGAAACGGAAAGCGGGACACAACAAGCCGCTACTGTTGCCGAAATCGGACGACGTCGACGTGTTGTCGCACAAACGCGAACAAGCGGACCTCGAAAAGATGAAAATGTTCGTGCAGCTCAGGCAGGATTTGGAACGCGTGCGCAATCTCTGCTACATGGTCAGCAGGCGGGAAAAGTTGAGCCGGAGCTTTTTCCGTATGAGAGAGCAGACGTTCCACAAACAGGCGGCGGTGCTCGGCTCGTCGAACACGCTTCCCACCACGGTCGTGCAGGCGGTTATCGAGGCGAACCACGGCCCGTCGATCTACGATCGACTTTACTCGCACAACGAGGCCGAAGACCACACCTCCGATTTCGATCGTATACTGGCGAGAATCGCGGGCGTCAAGTCGCCGTCTTCGTCGGGCGACGACTTCAGGTCCGACGTCAACGGCCTGTTCAAGGACGTGAAGAACAACCCGTACAAAAAAGTGAGCCCTTAGTTTTTATAAAAATGCAAAATACAATAGATTATTTTTTAGCTTAACACATTATTCGTGAATGGGAATTTGTAGTTTCAATTTTGCGTCAAAAAAAGCCAAGCAATTGAAGTAAAAATATGTTTGTAGGAATTTGAATTGTCTATCAAAAAAAATCTCCGAAAAGATCTAGATTTCGTTTTATGAAATGATAAAATGATTCTTTAGAACTACCGAAAAAAAAAATTGAAAGCACCTAATATTAATGGGAATTTGTATTTTCATTTTGCGTCAAGACAGCCAAGCGATTGAAATAAAAATGTTTTTACAGGAAATTGTCTATAAAAACAACTCCGAAAAGATCTAGATTTTGTTTTATGAAATGATAAAATCATTCGTTAGAACGACCGAAAAAAGAAATATTGAAAGCACCTAATATTAATGGGAATTTGTATTTTCATTTTGCGTCAAGATAGCCCAGCAATTAAAATTAAAATATTTTTGTAAAAAAAATCTCCGAAAAGATCTAGATTTTGTTTTACTATATGATAAAATCATTCTTTAGAATGACCGAAAAAATATATATATATATATATTGAAAGCACCTAATATTAATGGGAATTTGTGTTTTCATTTTGCGTCAAGATAGCCCAGCAATTGAAATAAAATTATTTTTGAAGGAAATTGTCTATAAAAAAAATCTCCGAAAAGATCTAGATTTTGTTTTATGACATGATAAAATCATTCTTTAGAAAGACCGAAAAAATATATATATTGAAAGCACCTAATATTGATGGGAATTTGTATTTTCATTTTTCGTCAAAACAGCCAAGCAATTGAGGTAAAAATATTTTTGTAGCAATTTGAATTGTTTATATATAAAAAAAAATCTCTGAAAAGATATAGATTTTGTTCTATGAAAAAAAAATGGTGGGAGCACCTAATATTAACGGAAATTTGTATTTTCAATTTTGCGTCCAAACAGCCAAGCAGTTGAGGTAGAAATATTTTTGTAGGAATTTGAATTGTCTATAAAAAAATCTCCGAAAAGATCTAGATTTTGCTTTATGAAATCTTTCTTCAGAATGACCGAAAAAAAAAATATTTTGAAAGCACCTGATATTATTGGGAATTTGTATTTTAGTTTTGCGTCAAAACAGCCAAGCAATTGAGGTAAAAATATTTTTGTAGGAATTTCGAATTGTTTATAAAAAAAAAAATTCGAAAAGATATAGATTTTGTTTTAGAACGACCGAAAAAATATATATATTGAAAACACCTAATATTAATGGAAATTTGTATTTTAATTTTGCGTCAAACAGCCAAGCAATTGAAATAAAAAAAATTTGCAGGAAATTGCCTATAAAAAGAAGCTATGAGAAGATCTAAATTTTCTTTATGAAATGATGAAATCATTCTTCAGAATGACCGAAAAAAATATATTGGGGAATTTGTATTTTCAATTTTGCGTCAAAATTTGAATTGAATTGTCTATAAAAAAAAGATTCTAACAAATCAAGCCTTATAATTTATTTTTTTTAAGTTTTGAACTGAAAGAAAAAATGCAATCAAATTCGTATTCGTATTCTACATAATTGAAAATTAATCCAAACTAATAAATAGAAACGTAAATAGTTTAAACAATAGTAATACTAAAAATTGAAAGCCAGTGGCGCTAGTTTGTTTTTGTCCACAATATTGGTTAGGAAATAATATTAATTTAATTTTTGCTAAAACTGATAGAATTATTGTAATGTCTATAAAAAATAGATTTTTTATATTATACGGAAACGGAACAAAGGGGTAAAAGCAGTGAACTGGCTGCACCGTTGTCAAATATGCCTGGCCAATCGATGAGCTAGAAATTCTTTCATTCAAAATTTTTTGCGTTTGTGCGTTTGTTTTTGGATAAGTGGTTGGTTTGCTTAAGTTTGCGATTATTGTTCGCTTATCAGAAAATAGTAGTGGTAACTTGTTTCAATGACCGAAAATCGAATAAAACATCTTTCCATGACGGACTAGCCAAAACTAAGAAAAAAGGGACAAGTCGGTACGCACTGACATGAACTTTTTAGAAATTTTAAATTATAACTTAAGAGACCGTTCGGGGAATAAAAATTCTACTGGTTTTCAATTGGTTGGGTTGGAGTTTCTATTCTATCGTGGTCAAGAATGTTGGTCGTTTGAGCGTTTACCTTTGGTTGCAGGTCTACTTCAACGGTTCGTCGAAGCGTCGAAGCGGCAGCTTGTACGGCAGCAGCCTGTCTAGTGCCGGAAGTAGCGACGAAAAACCGAAAGACGACAAAGAGAACCGCCTGCAGAGCAGTTCCGAGGAGGAAAAACTAAGGACGAAACGTAAACCGCCGGTGGCGGCGGCGGCGGCGGCGGCGGCGACGAATACGGCGTCGTCTCGAAAAGTCGCCGGCCGACAGAAAAAGCAACAAATCGTTCGGGCCACTGCGGCGGAGAGTAGCAGCGAGGAGGACCTCGGACCGCAGAAAAAGGAGTGGCGCTCGCGGCTCGGCCAAATGGCTAGCGAACTCGGCGACACGGGCGAGAGCGAAAGCGACGACCTGGTGCCGGTCAAGACCCGCAAATCGGACGACCACCATCAGCGAAAAGAGCCGATGGCTTCGATTTATTCGGACAGCGACAGTTCCGACGATAAGTCCTCGAATCAGATCAGAACTAAGGCGGCGGTGAAGGAGTTCTCGCACAAGCCGGGCACGTCGAAAAGTCCGAACAAGAGCAGTCCGGAGAACAAGCGGAAGACGAAGGGCGATGACAAAAAGGACTACGGTCCGTCGGAGCTGATAGTGCCGCAGAGGCAAGCCGCGAAAAAAGCTACGGAGAACCTGAAACTGACGACGAGGCCGAAGGAGCAGCCGCAGGCGACGCAGGACGAGAACGTCGTCGGCAAGGCGGAAGAGAAGGAGAAAAAGGACCATCTCAAGGCCAAACCCAAAACGAAACCGAAAGAGAAAGAGGCGGCGGCGGAGCGCAAGAAGGAGGGCGAAGTTTCCAAGGACGTCGAAGCGCAGGAGATGCTCGCGTTCGTGCCTCAACGACAGGCGGCGAAAAAGGCCGCGGAACACATCAAGAGCGGCCTCGTGAAACCTACGCCCGCCGCGGCGCAAACAGAAGCCGCCGTCGCCGCCACCGCGCAAGTCGTCGCGGAAACCGCGAAAAAAGAATCGCCCGCAGTGGAACCTACGTCGGCGGCGGCGGCCAAAGCCAAACAAGCCGCGAAAGTCCCGGAGACGAAGCGGAAATCGTCCGCTGCCGCGGCGCCTTCGTCGACCAGTTCGTCTTCCACGTCCACCAGCTCGTCGGACTCGACGAGTTCTAGTTCGGAGAGCGAGGACGAGGCAGAGAAACCGCGATCGGAGATCGTCGCGTCGAAAGAGGGCGGCGCTAAGCGGAGCAACGCGAAGGACTGGCCCTTTCTTGACAAGGGATCCAAGTCGGTCGCGTCGTCCGCAACGTCGTCCGACTCGAGCGATTCGCCGCCGACAAAAAGTTCACCTCAACGGTCGTCGCGAGGTCGCAAGCCCGTCGGCCCAGATAAGAAACTGTCTGCGTCGCCTGTTAAAAGGGAGGAGCCCGGAGCGGCGGCGCGACGTGGGAGGGGCAGGGCGCCACGAGGACGGCCCCCGAAATCCGGTGATCGGGTCCGAGAGGTTAATGTGCGGCCTGGAGATTCGGCTAACAAGCAGACCAAACGGTATGACGACGACGACGACGCCGACGACAAAAAGGGCGGCGATCGTCAGCAGCGTCCCGGCAAGTTACTGTCTCCGATCGGCAAAACGGACAAGAAACTGAAGGAAAATCTGCCGGCGCAGAAGGAAACCGACCTGGAGCGGGAGATGCGAGAGAGGAAGGCGGGCAGGGAAGTTCCGCTGAGGAACAGGTCGATGACGCTGGACCGACTGTTCGCTTCCGGGGAGAAGAGGGCGGCGGCGGCGGCGGGCAACGAGCGGAAAAAGGCGGCCGCGGCGGAATCGCCGAGGAAAAGAGATCCGTCGGCCGAGGAGGTAATATTATATGCAAGCCGATTGACGTAATAATTAAACGTTTAACTAGTAGCACCTAGGTGCAAGAGATATCTCTAGGTGCCCTCAGAAACAAATTTTATACCGTCAATTATTTTCATGGTCATGTTGATGATATTCTCAAAATCTGTTCTTTTTCATACACTTCTTCTCGTCCAGTCCATTCTCGGATATTTTTTGCATCCATATCTGGACCTCGATTCCCTTCAATTTTACCTTTGATGATGTAGTAAAAGGGTAGCATTGATTGTTTCCGAGAATATCCCCAGAGCATACCGATTTTCTTTTCTTAATTATTCTTAGTAGATCTCTTTCTTGGTTCATGCCGAATAATACGGGCACATTCGATACGTGCTCTTTCTACAGAAATATTAACAGATTGAGTATTTCTACTGAGTCAGTTCAGAAACTTTAATTTTCCTCAGTGTGGTCACTTGCAGGATTTCATTCATTTGAAAATATCATTTTAATGTATTGGGTTGTTCGGAAAGTCATTTCGTTTTTTTTGGGGAACATGAAAGATAGTTTTCGTATAATGAATAAATATTTTCTATTGGCCATTCCGGTCCAACACCTTTTGCCATCTTTCTGGCAGTAACGTAATTCCCCTCTCGTAAAAGTTTTGGTCCTTGCTGGCAAAAAACTGGTTCAGGTGGTTTTTGACATCTTCATTTGAGGTAAAGGTTTTGCCATCCAAAAAATTTTGCAGGGACCGGAACAAATAGTAGTCGGAAGGCGCCAGATCCGGAGAATATGGTGGATGTTGCGGTACGTCCCATTCAAGCTGTAAAAGTTTTTATCGAGGGACCAAACTTGTGTGAGGTCTCGCATTATCCTGGTGGAACACTACACCCTTCCTGTTGATTAATTCGGGCCTCTTCTCTTTAAGTGAATCATTCAATTTGTCCAGTTGATGACAATAGACTTCTGAATTAATCGTTGTATTGTCCGGCAAAAGCTCAAAAAAAACGATTCCTTTGACATCCCACCAAACGGAGAGCATCACCTTTTTTTGGTGAATGTTGGCTTTTGACGCGCTTTGAGCCGGTTCATCTTTTCCGCTCCATGACCTCTTGCGTTTAACATTGTTGTATACAACCCATTTTTCGTCCCCAGTAATAATCCGCTTCAAAAATGGATCATTTTCTTGACGTTTGAGGAGCGAATCACACACGTCAACGCGACGACACAAATTTCGCTCCGTAAGGACATGGGGCACCCACACATCGAGCTTCGAGGTTAAGCCCTTGCCTTTCAAATGGCCATAAACAGTCGAATTCGACAAATTTAATCTCTCACCGATCTCTCGTGTGGTTATTCGCCGATTTGCATCAACTAATGCCTTTGTCGCATCTTTGTCAGCTTCGACCGGCCTTCCAGACCGTGGTGCATCTTCGACATCAAAATTGCCGGATCGAAATTTTGCAAACCAGTTCTGGCACTGGCGTACTGTTAACACGCCTTCTCCATACATATCCGTCAATTTTTTTCTCGCTTGGACAGCATTTTTACCTTTTCTGAAGTAAAAAAGTAAAATATGACGAAAATGCTGCTTATTGCTCTCCATATTTAAAAGGGCACCAACCAAAAACTACTGCGTAGAATTAATAGAACTTTTTCACACACAAGCCTTGCAATATCAGCTCTCAAGACATATAATGGTTATGCGGCTTAAGTGTGAAGTTGGTTTCGAAAAAACGTAATTAATTCCTTTCCGAACAACCTTATATATACGGGTCGTTTCTTTATTTTCGTGAACAAGTAACATCCTTATTTAAAATAGGCCACCTCGTATATTAAAGAATTTTTATTTTCTTCAGAAAAATCTATTCATATTTCATATACAGAGTGAGTACGATATGTAATAATCAAGAGGATTAAGAGGCGATGAGTTTGGGGTAATTTGGTCATAAAAATGTTCTTCCATTCAATCTCTCATAGAGGAGGTCTTCGTGGACAACTCGAAGGATTAGACTCCAGAGACATTAAGGGATTTCGTGAACGATCTCTTGCATTTGTTGAACAAATTTTGTATTTCTAGTAGTGTCCGAAGGTTCCTCATGTGTTTTGCGTTTTGCAATAGTTTATACATCGCCAGCTGATGCTTCCAATTCACGACGAACATTATGTACAAATGATCGGGCGCAGTTGACAAAGTTTAGGCGTGTTTCGATAACTGCATGTTTCTTCATTTCTTGCTTTACTTTATCCTACATTGATGATCTTAAAAAAAAATAGTTTTCCATAAATTACGGCCACATATATGGATGTCCTTAAATACCCTTACGCACTCTGTATAACATCCTAATATAGTTGTTACCGCTTCATTTCGAATGTTATGTCGAAAGTGACGTTTATAAGCCTAATCTATTGATTTCTCTCACTGAAGACCTTTCTTGTATATTTGGGGTTGATTTTCTTATAGAAGTGTTATTGTAAAAATATATAAATACTTGGTGATGAAATACTTACATTATGATGTTATTGTATTTTGCAATTAAAAAATGCTCTAACTATTTGAAAAAGTTTTATTCTAAATATTAGCAATAAACCCCTTTTTTCAATTCAGGGCTACAAAAACATTATTTTGACAGTTTTATGTCTACTTAACTTTTTATAGCTTTGATAGAATGAATAAAAAGGACAGTTTATTTTTTGCAAATTTTTTTATAATATAAAAAATATGCATTCTTTGTAATATATAATAATTTTTTTTATAAGTCCTCAAGTTTTTAAAACTTTTATTCGTTTAAAACTGCGCTTTTTGTAGGTTGTATTCGTCTGGATATTCTAAAAGTTTTGTGTTAATTTATATTATTTATAAAAATCGTTAAACGACTGTAAATAGTGATCGCTTGTTTTTTTTTTCTGCAACGCTTCTTAGCTAATTCATAGCCGTTTAGTGTTTTGACAACAGAAAAATATTTTATTGATAACTTTTTCAAATAGGAAACCGTAAATAAATTCACAATTTTTTTTGAAATGGCATACAAAATCATTATTTTAACTGTAGTACCCATTTGCGTTCCTTTCGTTGTTTTTCGTATCTGTTATAAGTCGCGCATTTTTAATTGGCAGAATTTATTTATTTTTTTGTATATTTGTAGGCGGTTAAAAAGGCGGAAACGCCCGAACCGCCGGCGGCATCACCGGAGAGGGCGGATGAGAAGCGAGCCGTCGACAAGCTCCCCGCCCCCTTCGCTAAGCGTATCGACGACATTTTCGCGGACAAAATAGCGACGGAAGAGAAGGAAAACGACGTGGCGGCAACGCCGGCGACGCAAAACTGCAAATCGAAAATAAGCGACGAGATATCGGCGGCCGATAAAATCGTCGACGACCACGTCCAGTCGCAAAAACAGAAAGAGAACAAACTGTACCGTAGGACGAGCGACGACGCCGAGATGACCAAGTCGATACTGGGCGTGGTTTCGGAGATGGAGACGCGGAACGCCGCGCGTCACATCGAGGCGTCGATATTTTCGCCACGCAAAGAACCGGACCTGCTCGATTTCGTCAATTTCGACGATAACTTCGGCATGTCCAAGGACGAGGAAGTCAAAGAACCTTTGGCGTTTTCGTTTAATAATTCCGTCATCAAGGAGGACACGCGGGAGGACAGCGCGCGCGAAACCCTCAACCTGGTGGAGAAACTACGGATGGGACTGTCGAAGAAGTCGGTCGAGACCGACGACGCGACCACCAGTAACGAAGTCGACAGCGACAAGGGTGGAGATTATCTCGAACAGGTATTTTTAAGAGATGGCCGTATTTGTCCAAACGGTCATTCAGAGGAATTTGTTTAGGTGTAATTTAATAATTGTAATTTTTGTTGTTGTAAATTGGTCGTAAAAGAAAAAAAATCCTGGTGACGCCAACTTCATGCGGAAATTATCATTAACCGCCTTAACACTTGCTCGTAGTACTTTTTTTTACGTAAATTTGTGGTAAAACAAAAAACAGTGGTCGCGCAGCTTTTAAAAAAAAAACAGTTTTTTTTTTTTTTTTAATTCCTACACCTAATAAGGCAGTAAAATATCCGCAAAGTACCAGTTTTAATGGTGGTGGTACTTCTTTTACGACAATTAATGCATACGTCGATCCTTTACGCCGCTTCCTATACGTCGAGCAGGTCGTACCGGAACCCATACCGCCTGTGACGAATGACGAGGACACGCCTATTGGCGAGTCGCCTCCGAAACCGTTCGCGGCCGTGTATTCCGGCGTCACCTCAGTCGACGCTACGAAAACCGTACCGCTCCAGGCGCAGGGCGTGGCTCATTCCGCCCCAGTCGAAGGCGACGAACGTTGGGTGCCGCCCAGCGACAATTTCGGGCCGCCGTTTGATCACGGCAATTATCTCAACGACGCCACTTACGTATCGCAGCAGTACCATAATACTCGCCTCGAACCGGAATCCGCGAATCCGGTCGTTCCGCCCCACGTCGCGCCGCTCAAAGAACAACCTCCCCTCACCCCGCAGCACGATCACCGAATCTCACAGACGCCCCTGATCGATCCCGGCTCGCTGGATTGCCCGTCGCCGTATCCGAACATCCATCCCCAGGCGAAGTGGGCGGACTGTGAGGTGATGCCAAATAGAAGATCCTCCTCCAGTTCGAGCTCAAGTTCAAGCTCCAGCTCGCGGAGGGAGGACGACGATCTCAGACTGCAAGGTGTGATGATAATATTAATAAAGGTTTTTTACTGATTATTTAAGGTTTAATAACGGTACAGTACTAATAGGTAAACATTCTATATAACCATATATATTGCGAGATATATCGTTGTGCAACAGTGGCAAAAAGTTCTGAACCATATTTAATACATTCAATTTAGTTAAGGTTAGGGGGATGATTGTTGCTGGTTGGATGGAGATGCATTAAATCCAACACAATTTCAATGTTATCAGGAATTCGGGATGAGTTTCATATAGTACGCAATTTGTGTCTAAACAATTGCCATGTGAAAATATATAATTTCGTGAAAATCTGAACTTTCAGTTCTTATCTATTTTGAGTTATACATTCAGCTGCATCTTAGATTAGACCTGCTTTTTATCTATTCCGAAATACTAAGCTCAATTAGATATTCATTGTGATTAGTATAATTCTAATCCAAACTTATATAATCGTCTTGGATGTTCTTAGCATAGAAGAAAAAAATAAATGTTCTGTGAATAAAACATTCAATTCGATTCATTTAAGATGCCCGGTTGATAAACCATTCGACGTTGGACATGTCGGCCGCCGCCGCCGCGACGTTCATGGCCGCGGCGCCGCCGTTTCCACAAAATCACTTGGATAATTTCGGGGCGTTTCCGGATGCCGCGTCGCAATTCGTGCCGGTCAGCTTGTTCCCTCCACCGAACATGAACGCTCAGCTTCCGTTTCCTACCGGGTCGGCGGGAATGTTCCCACCGGCATTCGGCGCACCTTTTCCCGTCCCCCATTCGATCCCGCCCCTTTCGAAACCGCTCGACGACGCGATGTCGTACTCGTCGACGTGCACCGCCGCGTTCACGTCGTCTCAGCACAATATGGCGCTGACGGCGGCGATGGTCAATATGCCGACGTCCGACGACACCCCCAAGACGGAGGATCAGTTAGTGGCCGTGCCGCCGCCATCGGTCGAGACGTCTAACCAAGAGCCGACCGAGGAGGCGGTCCCGTCACCCGCTTTAAGCGGAGCCACGCCCACCGTGGCGCAGTCGCCGAATACGTCGCTAAAATCGAATCACACTTCAACAGGTAGGCCTTATGTCTTATGAAAAAGAATGTTTTTTTTATGCACAAAATTTTTTAATTGCATATTTGTGAAAAAATATGGCTTCAAGTTTCAGGAATATTGCTTAAATACGATATTCTTCCCTTTTTATGAAAGTATTGATGTTGATTGGAAAAAGCATAACAATGCTGAAATATAAAAGTACACCATGTTCCCTCAGGTTCTTGTTTAAAAACTTACAGTTTTATGTTAAACAACTTAATCAAATTTGCTTGGGTATCTTATAGCATCAACTTACACTATTGATCATGGAATGCGTATAATATGTTGAGTTACTAAAAAAAAAACAATGTGTTAACGTTCGTTAACAATATACAACTAAAAGCAACGGGAAAAACAATTGAAAGCTGTATTGTGCAAATGTCAATGCAATCATAACCTCACTTTTCAGTTGTTATATATTTATTTGTTCTTGATAGAATCGAAAGGGCTGTGTTTAGTTTTTTTTAATATCTAAATAAAGTTTAGAATTAAACTAATCATGACTTTTATAATCGTTCAGACGAAAGAAGTTGGGAAAACAGCGCTGTCTGAGATTTAAGTTTTATAAATGCAGAATTTTATTATAAAACGTTTTGAATGTAGTATTTTATATTGCTTTTATTATGAAACGATAAAATAGTTGTGATTTGTATATTTTAAAGTATTTTGGTTTTTGTATTTTTTCTAAAATATCCCATAGTAATTTAATTATACAAGATTTGATTAGAACCTCGAAAGTAATATGGCGTCTTCACTTAAGTTGATTAGCATTGAAGTGCGTCTTCTTTCCGCACTTCTTTTATCATGTATTTATTGATTGTATCAAGTGGTACCTTTCTACGTACATAACGTATCCCAGGCAAGAAGCAATCTTTCGTGTTTTTTGCAGTGTCGACGATCTCTGCCTCTTTTTCCGTTTGCTTTAATATATCATTGTGGATTTCTCCTGCATCTGGTTTTGTTGAATCAAACTTGCTAACGTGTTGCCAATTTTCCTGTTGGCTTCTTCGGAGCTTAACTCAAACTGGCTCGCATTTTTACTCTGTACCTGCTTCGAGGGGGGCGGAGCTAAATGAGGGGCATAATATCGTCTTGGATGACTAGATTTCTATAGTAAGAATTTGAGTTTTATCGAATAAAATTTTATGTCCGGTTTCCTGGTTGTGTTTGTTTGTCTTAGTCATAAGGTTCTTTCATGTTTTTTGAGCCTAGTTAATATTTTTCGTTTCAGCTTTTCAATGTATTCTTTGCCTTATATGCATGGAATGCTGTAAACTCCTGGTATATCAAATGGAATTTTGTCTTTGACGGACCGAAGATGTTGACAGATTTTTGGTAAATCTGGTTTTGACGTTATATTTTTTTAGAACTTTTGATAGGCGGTTAGTGATGTTTTGAATGTGAGGAAGGATAGCAGGATTTTGTGATGGAACGCTTAATATCTCTAATGTGGAAATTATTAGAGAGAAGAGCAGAGGTAAGGTGTCTTAATTCTGGGTTCAGTGATTCGGGCCGAGATAGCTTTACGGCTCTGTAAACAATCGATGATTTTTGGGTCGGATGGTGATGTGACAATGCATTAAGGTATTGATCTGTGTGAGTAGGTTTTCTTTAAACACATTGACCCAATTTTAGGTCTAATCTAATGGGAGGTTATAATTAGTTTCCAACTCAATGTAAAGCGTATGTTAGGGTGTATAGAGTTTAAATATCTAAGAAAATCTACTAGGGATGCTTGACCATGAGACAACTACTACCACCGCAATAAATATAAAATTTGGTGAAAATTTTACAATTTCAATGAAAATGGTGCCAAACGTCATTTTGTAGGTAAAAAGTCGCCGACGAAACCGACGAGGACGTCGGCGCGCGTCACCTCCCAACTGCTAAACAAATCGCCGGCCAAAAGTCCCGGCAAGAGTCCGCGTCAAGAGTCCTCGCAGAAGCAGAGCGGTCCGGGACGGGGTAGGGGCGATGGGAAACGGTCCGCGAGCCGGTCCGCTTCTGCGAAAGCGCAAGCGAACGCGAGAGGTCGCGGAAGAGGTAGGGGGCGGGCCCGGACCGGCGCCCATCACAACGACTACGACGTCGCCGGCACCAACACGATCCACAACAAGCTCGTCGGCACCGTGTACGACTTGGATTTCGACGACGACATTTCCAACGACAACATGGCCGATCTGAAGTCGATGCGAGAGCGCAGGAAATCGGTGGACGTGCACGAGGCGCGCAAGTACGACGCTTTCGCGTCGTCCGCGTCGCCGCGTTCGCCCAAATTCGCCAGTCCGTCGCAACACAAGGGCGGCAGGTTCGCGGCCGACCTGCGCGACCTCAGGCCGCCCAGTCCTCTCGAAGACGCCCGATCGAAAACCGACGACGCCTCGAGTGTCGAAAACGAACCTCCGCGGGCGTTCCCCGAACCGTTGTTGCCGGGTCCCGTAGACATGCGCACTTACAACAGCGCCACCACGTTCGACCAGCAGAACTACAACGAGCAGCACCTGCTTAGCGCGTTCGCTTCCGGGACCGCGGAGAAACGAGTCCACGAAGACATCGACGAGGATTTCGAGAAAGAGTTGCACACCGCGCTGACGGCGAAAAAGGACGAAGAACCGCCGCACACGGAGTCCGCGAGCAACATCAAAGTGTCGCTTTCGGACTCGCGCAATCAGCTGAAGGTGAAGATCAAGGGACCGATCGCGAATTACACGTCGACGGTGGCGCCTCTGCCGCCGCCGGCCATCATGGACCCCGCCTCCGTGTCGGCGTTGAACTCGAACGCGTCGTGCGCGAATTCGGTGGGCGGGACGTCGACGAGCGCCGCCTCGTCCGGCGGCGGAGGAACTTCGAGCCTGCGCAGGATGAGAAAAAAGGAGTTGCTGCGACAGTACTGGACGCAGGACATGAACATGGACGATCCGACTTGCGCGGTGGGGCTCAACGTCGTCCCGCAGGCTCCGCCCGTCAACCGTACCATCATCACCATCCCGAAGGCGGTCGCGTCCATGACCAGTATCCCGACCAAGGAAGACTACAGGGATTACCAGACGGGCGGCGACGAGTTCGCGGAAGCGACCAAGCACCACAAAAAGTCGAAGGTCGGGGGCGGGCTGTCCCGCGAGCTCAGGCAGCTCGACCTGTCCTTGGACGAAGACACGGGCGGCGGCAGACGACGAAGTCTGAGCTCGGTGGGCAGCAGCACCTCCAACAGTTTCGACTCGTCGGTGAACAAGAGACGCGGTCGGCCGCCGAGGCCTCTCGCGCCCAAGTTGAAGATCAAGATCGGCAACAACATCGTCGAGAAATCGGAGGAACGGACCCTGAGGCCGCCGAAGAAGCGGCTCGCCTCCGCCCCCGTTCCCAAACCGTCGGTCGACGATCTTCGGCGGGAGAGCATGAAGTTCCGCAAGCTCGTCATGGCAGATCTCAAGGTAATTAGGCAAACGCTTCCTTTTTTAAATAAAAATGATTAATTAACAGTCTGGCCAAATAACAAGTAACGGATATGTCGAACTTGAACAAGATAAAACAATAAAATATAAAAAAGATAACAATCATGTCAGTCTAAGTGCATGTCACGTTTAAAGAATGCATTTAAAAAAAAATCATCTACTGAGTGGAGGCGGTTGTCAGATCTTAAAAAGAACTTAATTCGTTTCTTTAACACAGATAGAAAAGAGAACAATTTTGTTTACATGGTTTTGTAGGCGGCTTCGAGGTCTACAATTTTTTTTGTTTCTTCGGTTTTCTTTTATTATACAGGGTGCGCGCGAAACAATATAGTCAGAAATCGCTGTCTCCCATTCATAATCGCGAAAGGTGGCAAGGCTTCGACAGAACTTCGGGCAAAAATCTAAATCGACGCTTTTGTTAAACTAAATTAAAATGAAAAATTGTATTCGATGACATCATTTGGTTTAAACAGTATCATACCGTACCAAAAAATATACTTTTACGCTAGTGGTGTTGGGGGATCCTTTGCGTTTTCGCGTATATGCCAAATTGTTTTGTGTTTGTGGTGTTATCTAAGCGCCAAGTGCTTTGATATTGCGAAATGAATCAAATCATTTTCTGCCATTTTAGTTAACACGCAAAATTAATACTGTGGTGAAAATCTGTGACTTTGGGAATACTTGTTGATTTTGACTAATATTTGGATTTTCTTTAAGTGAATCTAAACCTCCCGTAAAAACATTTTATTCATCAACCGGGTCGCCTTTCGTTGTTTTACAACACTTTTGCCTTCCTTGTACTGCTGAAGCCAATAAACGACGTCGACAGGATTGTCCAAGGATAAAAAGTCGATAAAAAACATACCAATACGCTCTCCTAAACAACTACTCACACAACACGGCCACGCAATTTCCACTACAACAATTAAAAATTAGATAAAACTGACGAAATAAATAAACTTTCTACTATTTTCATATTTTCCATTGGCAACAGGATACAAGAAAACTGTTATTAAGAAAGCGCCAAGCGTTAGCTAGAATACGCCTTTACACGATTATTATATTTTGGCCACCCGGTATAATAAATTAGATGGGAACCATTCTAAAATTGAGATATAAAGTAAGTTGTATTATTGCAATCTACTGTAAATTTTGTAAACCTACACCTTTTTGACAATACAATTTGTAACAAAAGAACCCGGTTCAAAGAAAAATGAAATATAAAGAGAAGAAAAAGAAAGTTGGTAATTATAAAAATAATTCTTATTTATCTAATTACACGCCTTTAATGTTCTTCTTTCTTATAGGTAACCCCCCCCCCCCCCCGCTCGTAAAGAGCAGATCTGTGTTGAGGCACAGTTAACGTATTCTACCTAATGTTTACATTATGGGTTTCACAGCGAAAAACTAGCTTATCTTTTAAACAGGGAGGGCTAGAAGACTTTTAAGATCTTGTATATTAACATAGCGAGTGGGTACGCGAATAAATTGAACTGAGGTGGGTTTTACTTGATGAAAATCCATTTATCAAAATAAATAAGGACTAAAAGTTCAGATTTTCAGGAAATTGTATATATGGACATGACAATTGTTTCGACAACAACAATGTTTGATCAAACATTTGATAAAGACATGATAATTTCCTGAAAATCTGAACTTTTAGTTCTGCAACAAACCTACAAAGTTAATCAAAGTCGCTCCGTATAGTTAATTAAAATTCCACGTAACAGCCTCTCGCCGTCTTTACTCGTTCACACCTTAGACTTACGTCCCGCCATTGTACTTTTCAAAAGGTGAAGAAGAAGAAGCGCGACAAAAACGACAAACACAAGAAGAGGAAAAAGTCGGAGGCGAACGTCCAAATCATATCGGACGACACGTCGCCGTCGACGAAACTGATCATCCGGTTCGGTAAACCGAAACAGCCTCCCGGTGCTAGTGGTGAAGTGCGGACCGTCAACGACGCGGACAACGCGCGGACGAGACAAAGTGCCGACGCGAACGAACCCCCCCATCCCAATCATCCTAAACTGACCCCGATCAAATTAAAACTGGCCCGGTGCCAGGAAGGTTCCGGTTACGTGATGAAGCCGTCATCCGCGACCGCCACCGGATCGACCGAGACGAAGGAGGACCGAGCGACCCAGCCGGGCCAACCTCCGCCCCTCCTCGCAGAACCGGACCCGTTGGAAGGCCTGCCCGACGCGTTGCAGCAGGCTCCCCCTCCCCTGCCGTTGAACAAAGACTGCGAGGTTAGGTGATAACTGTGTAACTCTCTTGTAATATATATGTAGGTTACCGATGGAGGGTGTGTCAGGTCGTGCACTAGTTGACACATACACACACATCACGTCCGTCCGCGGGGTTCGGCACTTTTTGAACTGGAAGCGAGCCAGACAGGCGGGGGATAACGGCCGGTTTCAGTTTTGAGGTTAGGTGCGACAGTCTTCGATGACGTGGTAAGCACGTTGCATCGCTCCATCCTACGGAATTTCTTAGAACGATTTACGGCCGACAGTAAAATCAAACGATAAAAAACATATTTTTTACAAGAAGAAGATATCCGACAGTTACTCAAATCGATTTGAATCGCAATTTTTTTTCTATCTATTTTTTATCTATCTTTATCTATTTCAGTCACAATTGAATTTAATGGGCGCTGAATGAAAGCAAACACAATCCCGAAAATACATTTTGTTTGAAATTTTAATTTGACTTTGATGCAAATTTGTTTGAATATGTTTGGTTAGAACGTTCTTATCAAATTTAATAAATGGTCATCGGCCCGTCAACTCCATAGCTGTAGAGCTTTATCTAGGCTCGTCTCTCTGATTAGACTCCACCATATAGCTACTAACTGTCTATGGTTATAATGCAGGAATTTATGAAGACCGGTTTCAGTCTAGATGCAGTATTTTTATGGCAGTGTTTTCTCAAAATATGCCCAGATGTTAAATGCCCTGGGAAAACGAGTTAAGTGTGTGTAGATCGTTGTTTAAATGAGAATGACTCAAAGTGCGGGTTAGTTGCAAAATTTGGCATTGTATGTGGGTGGCTACTTCCTGCTCCTCCGAAATAACTTCAGCAAGTTCATTTCTCGAGTTATGGTTATGTACGGAATTAAAAACTCACTTTTAATAAAATTTGATTATGCGCTTTAGGTATGTACTTATAACTGTATAGTAAAGAATCTGAGGAAGGGATACACTGTTGTGATGTGTGCATGAAAAAAGCAAAATTGATTTGATGGGTTGACATTTTTACGTCATACTAAATATAATTTACTTTGATTAGTTTAAATTTTAGCAGTAACAATAGGCAATGGCTTCGAAGTTTGACTGTGGATTCTCCGAAATTTTTTATTTTGGTACTCAATGAAATTCTGCGGTGAACAAACCGTAGGGTAGTTTTGTGCGCTAACGAGATAAGAAATGCATTGTGGATAATTCTACTCAAGTTGTAAAACGTGAGAAAAAGTTAAAAAGTTCAATATTTCATTTATTGACATCACATCATAACAAATAAATATGGAATCACGTGACAACTTCGGTAAATTTAATTATTAATAGTAAAATCTTTTCGGGGTGATTATTCACTTTTGACGCAAACATAAATTACAAGCACATCGGTGACGTTGCAGCAAGTCTCGTGACGTCATGCCTATAAATTAAAACAATGCACGTATATATATTTGCCCCATTGTTAAATTAATTAATCAATTGTCAAATTATTAATTCTGAAACACTAGAAGTTGTGGTTAGATCAAAATCAAGGGAAAAAAAGTAGCGCGTAACCTCAAAACTAGCGTTAACCTTAACCTCAAAACTGTCTGCGAAAAAATGAGATTATGTAAATATATATTTAAAAAAGTAATAATTAAGGACGCTATACAAGGTAGTGGGGTGTCCGAAGCCCCGCGGACTAAGAGTTATTGCGTAACGAACAGTATGCGTTAAGGGCGCGATCCGTTGTACAAAGTCAATTCGGCGAAGACCCGCGCAATCATATTTTTGTACATAGCGTATAAGTTTACGGTAATTGTGAATATATGCAAACATAAATTAATATTAGGGCTAATTTATATATTTCATTTAAAATGATTATCTCGTGTTGACAATTTTTGATATAGATAGAAATCGTTGAAATAAATTTACGTCGGATATTGTACAGGACAAATGGCTCGCGGTGCAATTTTTTTTCTCTGTCGACGATTACGTTCGTTTTGCTTCCGGTGTGCGCGCGTATGTGTATGAAAGAGAGAGGGGGAGTGCGCCGTATTTTATCATTGGGGAGAATTATTTTTTGATCTGTGATCTTGTCGACTTTACTCCGCAATCGTCCAAAATTCAGTTATAATAGATGCTGTCCCACCGGGAATTAGTAAAAAAAATTGATAATTTGGAATGAAACTATTTTTAAGGTAGCGACACATCCGTATATACTGGAAGTGGGCGTGCACTTTTTATTTTAAATCGAACACGCTGTAGATTGTTGTTTGTTTTTGGATATTTCACCTTAACTTTATGTTAACAATGATGTTTGAAGATCCAACAGTATGTCTAAATTTGTGCCGTACATTAAAATTTTACTCTATTACCTTGCAAATATTTGAAAAAAAGTCCGATCGATTTTAGCATTCTAAGAAAATATTTTTTGTGATGTTTTATTTTATTTTAGCGGGTTTTTTCGTTGAATGTCCTTTTTTAAATGTTTAACGCGTTTTTAGTGATTCGAAAAAATTGTTCATTACTCTTTTTTTTTATTTTAATTATCTTAGCGACGTTTTAAAAATATTTATTTAATGGCAAATGTCTTCTCGATTTTTCTGAAACACTTTATTGAAGTATTGTTTTTTTTTTTTTTATTCTATTACGTATTTTTGTGGGCGTGTCCGTGGTGAGCTTGTCTGTGTGTGTGTGTGTGCGTAATAGAACGTGCACCCGTAGGTTGTAACATTTTACATTGATTTAAACGCGTCTGAAGTATTAGATAGCACGAGCCATTTGTTGAATTCATGTTAACAATACTTATATAATTATAAATAAGAAAACGAATCGATAAGTCGTACAGACGCCCTCCCTCCTTCCGGGTACGGAGCGTTTCCGGATATTGAGCGAGTAAAACCTTATCAACCTTTATAATTTTTTTATCACAATTGTTTATAATAAATGTTATCGTGCATTATTTATTTTCCAGACGAAGGTTTTATCGATCCAATTCAATGTTTGGGCCCACCCCGTACCGTTTAATATTTTTTAAGTCCTAACATTTTCTATTTACTGAGTGGTACTAGATGTTTTTTCAAGCCGACCACGGCCTTTTATTCGGTATTTGCTACCCCCCCCCCCCCCCCGTGTTGTTTCAATTTCGTACAACAGTTGTCCCCAAACACCCGACCACCATTATTCTGTACGCAAATTGTTATCTTCAATTCATTCTAAAAAAACTCTTTACTTTATATCGACAAAAGCTTTACATTTTAACATTAACTTAATTTTACGCGTTTTTAAGGTTATACTTTGTAAATAGAAATTGTGATTCGATTTTTTTTAAAGTTTTTTTTATTCGTCACTGTACAATGCGAAAGAGCACAATTTATTATTGTATAATGTTATTTAATTTGTATATTTTGTTTATAAACCGGACTGTAAGATTCATGTGTATTGTTTCAAAATGAACACATAGTTGATTCATAAATTATATCCAGTTTTATACAAAAATTGAACTTGTCGTTTTATTTCGGTTCTAGCCGTTAAAGGCCTTAACTCTCAAGCTTCCTAAACCTGTCTCCTCAGTCATTCGGCTAATGGAGGGGTTTCGATGTCATTGTAAAAGAACACTGTAAATATAACTCCCAACAAGTTTATTTTACTTTATATTTTTATTTTATTTACCTAATGGGGTATTAAAATATGCTTGTTTAAATCAATATTTAAACAGCAATTAACAAATATGAGAAGTTTATTCCATCTTTCGGGTGAGACTACTCATCTGATAGTCTGAGCAACAAAGTTTTCGGTCTCCGTAAGTAAAACCAAACGCTTTCGAAATTGCTAATTTATTAACATTTTTACTAACAAAATAATAAAAAAAAACCTTCGGGGAAAAGTCTCAAGGCGGGAGATAATACTGAAATTCAAAAAAAAGGAGACGATACAAACGAAAATAATGAACTTCGCAATGCAGTTTAGTTTCCCTTGCCGTTCGCTTCTAGCAGGGTAGATTCAGCGTCGTTTTCTCTTTCGTTCGGCCGATTCGTCACGGCAACAACGCTCACCTCCTTGCCGTTCTGCCTTTTCGGTTTTTTACCGAACGCCTCGCCTTCTTCCAGCGTTTCCGGCAATTTCCGGTTGAGGGTTTCCGGCAGCATCAGCGACAAGACGCCGCCTACCAACGCGAGCGATCCGAACACCAGAAGCGGGAACGGGTGCCAAATGTGCGACTAAACAAGAAAACTAGTCAGAGGGGGCGGGAAAAAAAAAAACGAACAAAATTACCCACCATCACATTTATGTACGGCGCGATTATGGAACCCACCCTTGCGAAGGTGGAACTAACCCCTAGGCCGGTATTCCTCACTACCGTCGGGAACTGCTCGGCCGAGAAGATGTAGATCGTTATGTAACTAACCGTGATTGATATTTTTCCTAACATCGCTAGGAATATTGTGAGCCACACTATACCTGCAACGTAATTCGTCATTTTTGGGGGGGAGGCCCGATAACGGAACGGTAGATTTGAACTACCGGACGGCAAACGCACCCAATTACGGCAACTCGTATTGGTAGTTCAAATGAACCGCGTCAATTCCCTCGCTCGTAGCTATTTGACGATAGCCGAGTGCTAAAGAGACCAACCTCGTTCTAAAATACTACGCGCTCTAACTGGACATATATCTTATTCTATGATATGATGATTTGGTACACCGACGATACAAATACTCAAGGAGTAGTATCCTAAATATGTGAACACAGGACGAAAATATAAACAAAATTTTAAAAAGAAGCAGAGATCACCGCACCAGCACACACTGCAAGAGAAAAGAGTGTCATAAGACAATCAACGAGATAGCAAGCGAGAACAAAGGGACCCTATCATGAAAACCCTTTTGAAGAAGCTATAACAAAGTTTTGAGCTTCAGAGAGATCGTTTTTTTTTTATCATTGTTCAATAAATACTATCGATGGACAATTTGGTTAAAAAAAAAACAAAAGCAAAACTACACCTACTCGTCGGGGTGCCCGTGGTGACCAACAGGGCCAGGCCCGCGACGATCATGCTTCCGCACAGGATCTTTTTCCTCCCCCACCGGTTCAGCGTGAGGTAGACGAATATGTTGGCGGGCGTTTCGACCGCCCCCGAAATAATAAAATTTATGTAAGGGTTGCCGCCCAAATTGTTCGTGTTCCAAGACAAGCCGTAGTAGGTGATGTTGTTGGCGCACCTGAAAAACGAGTCGAAGCTCAGTTAGAGGAAACGCGGACGGAGGACTGAGCGTCGTTTTCGATACGGACCAATCGAAGAATATGATGAGCGAGCGTTTCCTGAGGTTGGAGTGCTTCATCAGGTCCACGACGGACGCCGTCATCTGACCGACGTCCTTCTTCTTGCCGTCGTCGTCGTACTTCAGCAGCTGGTCGAGGGTCTCGTCGGCGATGATGACTTTGTTGGTTTCGGCGGCGGCGCGGATCACTTTTTTCGCCTCCTCGTAACGATGTTTGGACAACAGCCACCGGACCGACTCCGGAATAAGCCTAAAACGTACTCGGCGATCAATCGCGAGAAAAGCAAAAAACGGACGTTTGTTTACGCTCCGTGTTATAACCCGTAGGGGAAATCGAAATTTACTCTGGCAGATTTGCAGTTGGAAAGGTTTGATTCGGGCCGATTTTCATCGTCCTAAAAATAACTTTATAGTAATGAGCAATTTTTTAGGAACGGGTAAAAGGTACATGGATCCTTTAATATAAAAGAGATGTTATCTTTGGTACCATACATATTTATTTATTTTATTGGACCTTTTTGACTCATATCTTTTTTATTTATTTTATTAGGAGTTATATCTTGTAGTTATATAAATTCAAAATATAAAAAAATGGTTTCTGTGATTTATTTGTATAAGTGATTTTGTCAATTTTTCCCTTTTTGAATAGGCGTCTTTTACAGTAATACTGGCTAGTTTTTCATATCGATAATAAGATCTGACATTTTTATATGTCTGACGATATCATTGCAGGTGGATAGTTATAGTGTTTGTTGTATTACCAACATTGAACCTCGGCCTCTGAGAGAACGGTACACATTTTTCAATTTATTATGTATAGCCCGTTTCTCAATTGACTTGACTTAACTTTGTGAGAATACTAGACATAAACCTTATTTTCCAGGCAATTAATGGTTCCCGTTGCTTTGATTTTTAGTGGTTATGTTTTGCATGGTAATGCGCAAGTCACTAGGTTTTACCTAGTAGACCACTCCTCAAGACAACAAGAATGAAAAATTATAACATAGCCGAAACTTTGAAGTTGTCATTTCGAAGGCTGCGCGAAAAACCGAGGCTGCAGGTCGTCGAGGGAACCGTACTCACCACCAGTAGAACAGGAACACCGTTCCGGGAAGAGTGAGCGCGAGCTGTAGATGGCGCCAGTTGGGAAACACGTAAGCGAGTAGCGCGATCAACACGTAGCCGCCGGAAAAGAATATAAAAACAACCATCCCGGCCACCAGACGTTTCGAGGGGCCCACCATTTCCAATCCTGCGCAAAGTTTGACCATAGTAATTCCAAAACAGTTTAGGTCGGGGGGGAGGGGGGAGGGGGAGGAACTAACCCATCACGTAAGCGACCAGGAACACTCCGGAAGCGGCGGCACCAACGACGGTCCGTGCCATGGTAAAAGTCCAAAATTCCGGGGCAAAGGCACACACTACTCCGGCGAGAACCTTGAGAAGCGATGCAACCAGGAAGGTGATTTTCCTACCCCATCTAAAATTCGGAAAGTTATGTTCTGGTCGCCTCCTGACGTTTATTTGTAAACTAATTAACCAAACTCATACCAAATCGATGGCCTAATACAATACCGGGTGACTGATGGTCGAGCCGTTTCTATGAAACTAAAATACTTCGAAAGACGCCACTTTGCCGGTTCTAAGAATAACATACGGCAACGTCGTTGTCTTAAATAGCATACCGTATATTTAATAAAACTTTTCTATCTATACACACCTATGAATTTTTTTTTCCCCAAAATACAACACCGAAACTTTGTACAGAATCTTTTACATTTGGTGGCACACAAAAAAGATCGAACTTATTTTATCAAATATACGTGAAAATTTTGAAAAATCTTGAGGTTTTCGATATAATCGCAACAATTTATTTGGACGACATTCTTTTGAGATAGTTGGGTGGTTTAATGGAAATTGGTCAATAATGATGTTTATGTTTCTTTTGTACAAGAATATGCCTCTATTAATTGATGATGATTGATAAGTTTTATTAATAGTCAAAAATAAATTAAAATTTTTCATGAATCTGTTATTACCTATATTCAAAAAAAAAAACAACAACATATGATTTAAGCATGTCCAACACTTGAAATAATAATTTACCAATTATTCTCAAACTACATGGCTAATGACTAAAAACTCTTTATGGAAAAATTTGGCAAAGCTCAAAATAATAGACAGGAAGAAAATGAACACGTAAATATATCAAATTACTGTATGAAGATATGACTGGCTACCGATTTAAATTGATATTAGAAAGGCGCTAATAAAGAAGATATTAATGTGACCCACTCAACTCAATTGCTAGATTAAAACGACCTCTTAATTGATAATCAAGAAGTACTGGGATTTCATATTGATCGAAATCTTACTTAACAGGCTTATCGGACATTCTATGGAATAGCTTCACAAAAACTGTATATGTGATTCGCAATAGGGCCATGTTACAACACTGAAAACCAATTCTTTTCAATGCACATGTCAGATAATGTTTCACAAAAATGACTATTCAATTTTAGGGGCAGTCAGGGCGGTACGAAGGGGTATCCATAAAAAACCGGAATTGAATTGCCGCGCGCAGAGCTTGTACAGTACACCTTTCTGCCGCTAGGTTGTGGATAGTACAACTTATTGCGAGTTCAACGCCACCTTCGTTTTAAATTTAACTTGTTTTGTTCACTTGCAGTGCTATTTTTTGACAAATGACAACGTGCAGCTGTGAAATTTTGTTTTCTGCTCGGTAAAAGTGCCGCTGAAACTGTTTCAATGTTAAAAACGGCTTATAAAGACGATCAGATGGGAAAAACTCAAGTGTACCAGTGGTTTGTTCGCGTCAAAAATGGCGACGAGTCAATTGATGACCGACCTCGTCAACTGCTCGAATCGACGAAAATATTGAAAAGATTCGAGAGTTTGTGCTCACAGACCGCCGACAGACAATTGAACAAACAAACAACTGGTTCTTTCACCACGATAATGCACCTGCACACACAGCCATTTCTGTTAAGCAGTTTTTGGCTAAAAATGGCATAGTTCCTCTGCCCCATGCACCTTACTCGCCCGATCTCGCTCCGTGTGACTTCTCCTTATTCCCACGTATGAAATGGGACATGAAAGGACAGCGATTTGACAACATTGAAGAGGTCAAGAAAAAAACGAGGGATGAGCTGTCGGCTATAGCCAAAGATGAATATAAAAAATGTTTCGAACAGTGGAAGCACCGCTGGGACGAATGTATTAGTTGTAATAGATTTTCAAAACAATATTTAGTTTATAAAAAACGATTCCGGTTTTTTTTGGGTACCCCCCATATATTCCTAATCAGACAACCGGATTTCTGATCTAATAAGAATCCAAAAACTTTCATATTTAAAAAATATCTTATCTTTGCATGTAAATACTCAAAGAACAACAACTAACCTATTTGGTATATTCATTTGTTCTGGATTTGTTTTTTTTTACCGGGCATTAATTGGTTTAAAAAAGAATCGTGTAATTTACTCATTCGGTATGAGTCGGACAATCTTGGTTCCAAAGGGACGGACTATAATCACCAAACTTGCCTGTCTGAAGTCTCGCCGAAAACTAACGAGCCAAGCATCACGCCCACCATAAACAGAGAGTTACTGATGGCGACAAGGTACGCCTTTTCGCAAGTTAGATTCCACTAAAACATTTCTTTTTTGTTTATTTTCGACAAAATTTACACAAGTCGCCAAGTACCTCAATAACAGTCGTGTAGCCGTACTCTTCGTGGCTAAATATAAACTCGGTACATTTAGTGGTTTGATTGTTAATTAAGATGTCGCATTGGGAATATTTGAAGTGTAAGGAATCGTACGGATACCATTTTTCCATTACCGTGTTGGGCAGCTCATAGCTACTGTTGGCTGGTTCATCTGGTAGCCGGCACCTGCGAAATACCGAGAACACAAGGTTGCAGATATCTTTTTTTTTTAAGCGCAAGATTTAGTTTGCTGACATAGAGATCAACTGTCAACGGAAAAAATTAGAACCTTTTACTTGTAGTAGTACCCTATCTGTCAAAAAAAAAAATTTTTTTTTGGCAAGGAATTTAATTATCACATAACTTATAAAACTTTTCTTCGAATATTATTTGAGCAGGGAAAAATATTTATTGATATCACTGATACTGTCACAATTATTGCTATAATAATTAACCCTTTGGTTATAATAACTGCATAGAGAATTTAGGTAATATGTCGATGTGGGTGATTCGGTTTTAAGTGTGATTTTTTGTTTTGTATTGTTTATTCTCAATGGTGATTAATAATGAAGATTTTGTATTAATTAGATGATAATGAACATACTTCTTCATATTTTTTATACAATATAATTTGTCATTCAGAGAGAATGTACAATATATCGGCTAAATGTCATGTTCAGTTCAAAAAATTATCTATAAATTATCTATAAATCTATAAAAAACAAAATTTAGATCTGCTTTTTCTATCCTTGGATGATTTTTCTTCCAATTACAGTCTATTTCTATAAATAAACTACTTAATGATCAATTGTAAAAGTTAAATAAACAAAATAACGTTTTAAACTTGTGTTTATTCTCATATATATATGACATATCCAAGTCTACTTGTACTCAAATGACGTCATATTGAAAGTACGTCATTTGAGTACTGTTTACAAACATAAAGTTGATGAAATGGTGCAAAGAATTAATATGATTTTGGAACTGGAATTTATTTGATGTCAGTACCGTGGATAAATGAGTTAGTACCGTGGAGTGGAAAAATTGACATTTGTTTCTCGCGCTTGAAGCTTTGGAGCTGTGGTGAAATCTTCTCAGGCTTTTAATTTTACAGTTAAATAGATGAATAATATGCACAAAATTTAAAATCTTAGAAATTTGAAGTAAAAAAGTAAAAATTAGAACGGAATCATTCATATGTGATCAAATAAAGCTAAATCCCCAATAAATCAGCGCAAATCGATTCGAATCGTGAGATAGTCGGTCGACAATAACAACTCAACAAATATTCTTTTTAAATGTGTTTCGGCGTTTATCCAATTCACAAACACAACGGCGCGTCTAATTAACCAAAATTTTCTGACCCCGATGCCCTGGCAATTACCACAGTACAAAATTAAATAAAGTCGAAAATATTTTCGGTGTTCCGCTCACCTGTACCGGGGTTCCGCCAGCAGAAATACATTCCCCAATTTGTGGAACGCCGATATAATTGCCGGCAAACACAGAAGAAAGTACACCCGTTTCTGGTAGGTGCCAAAGTCGCCCAGTAGGGTGATAACCTCGTCGAAACCCATCTTAATTGTCACTTCAAATCAAATAATGAAGCCGCAGCAAATGCTCTGCAAATGAAAACAAAATTAGTGTCGTCCCCATTTTCGCTAATAAAAAATGATAGTATTATCTGTATTCTTAAAGTGAATGAAAGAAGAAAAAAAGTTCTGGAAGTATTAAGATAAAATTACTTCCGTTAAATTGGTGGGCTTTTGCGACAATGCGTAATCACTTAACGACGTTTTTATCTAGGAGATGTCACGATAATCTTATTAAATGCGGAATTTAGTTATCATGGACGCGCATTTAAATGGTAATTTTTTTTTATTAACGCTGGATAAGTATATTTGTTCAACAAATATGTTGCGGCTGCATTCCGAGGCCAATTTCTAATTTTATAAGCAATTTTATAAAACGTTCCCTTGAAACTGCGCTTCGTCCAATTTCGAAAAAAAAAACTCTTTTAATTAATCACTTACTGGTTTATTTATATTTCGCTTAAGTGGTCCACTTTAAGTTATATAGGTGCCAATATTTTTTTAAGATATCCCCGGGTTTGGCATCAATAACACAACTATGATAAATTGTTTTAGAATCGCACCAATACTAATTTGCATTTATGTATTGCAAAGTAACTCGTTTTTCCTAATATAGAAGTCGCTATTCGTCGAACGATACAGTTATAACACGGGTATCGAGGGGGGAGTAAGTTTCATTTTTTTTTTACTTAATAAAAAATGATTTTACATACTTTTTAAAACATAGCTCGCACTTACAAACCGACTTACCAAGCTCTAGGGAGAACTCGACTCGAATGTTAAACAATCAAAAGCGAAACGTGCCGTCACACTTAATTAAACGGAATATATTGCGATCCAGTTTCGAGCTTGGCAAACAGAACATGAACAAAATTTACTCACCTGGTTTATTTCTTCTTTTTCATCGTCTTTAAGGAAGAGAGAAACAATTAGCACCCGTTTTTCTAATTAATAATTTCTGAATTTAAATATTTTGCAATTACGCCCGTTACTCGTTTCTTTAAAATAGCGGCATTAACCTCAAAGACTCGTTCAGAGAATCAAGCAATCACGTTAGCAAACAAGTGCGGCATTAGCCGGCCACGCAGATGCACTTTTGAACGCTCTTTATCTGTGTGACCGGCTACTAAAATTCCTTAAAAATAATGAATATTTTTGTGAGGAAATGGATTGATAAAATCAAAAATAGGTAATAACGCGTTTACAGTCGTAAAAAATTAGCTCTTCACTCATGTGGCAGAGAAAAGAAAAGTGAATGACGCAGAGTCCATATCGCTGCCCACAAAAATTACCTTACCAATGTTTGTTCTTTGGTTAAAATTAAGGTTAAATATGTGACATAATTGTCATTAATATTATTTATGTAGTGAATGTTATCTTGTTTTGTGGCAAACCACAACAGCAAAAAACAGTGCTCATTTGCCGCTGGTACTAGCTTATATTCGTAATCATTAAGACTCGTATTCCATCGAAGCATTATTTTACAAAAACTACAACATTAAAATTTGTGGATTTGGAAAACGCCCAAGTTTTATTTTTAGTTCATAACTTTTAACTTCAAGAATGGAAGATATATTTCAGTGGTGCAAAGAAGGTAATGCTCTCCAGGTCCGAGTTTGGTTGGATGAACCGGAGCATGATCTCAATCAAGGGTAAGAATCACCTTGAAGTGAATGAAATCAGAACACATCTCCTTATATGGCAAGTGCAAACACTTGTTTGTTTTTTTCGAATCTTTCGGCCTTGTGCTTAAATACATACCAATATTTTTAAATGTTTTCCGTGTAATTTGACAGTGATGACCATGGATTCAGTCCTTTACATTGGGCGGCTATGAAAGGGCACAACAAAATTGTAGAAATGCTTTTACTAAGGGGCGCGCGGGTGAACGCCACCAACCGTGGGGATGATACACCACTACACTTGGCAGCGGCGCACGGGCATAGGGAAATAGTTGGGATGGTAGACTTAACCAAACCAACCAATGACATATTCAGATTCAACGTATTTTTCCAGCTTTTACGCCAAAAAGCTGATCTTAACTTTACAAACGAACACGGCAACTCTCCCCTGCATTATGCTTGTTTCTGGGGTTATGCAGATATAGCGGAGGACTTGGTTCATCATGGCGCCAAAGTGTCAATCGCAAATAAATACGGAGACACAGCATTGGATAAAACTAGAGGCAATTTGGCAAAGGTGCTTCACGACGTTGCGGTTGAATCAGGACAGGATCTGAAAAAAATTAAATTTAAAGACCAAAGTTGGCTAGGTAAATGTTCTAAATTTTCCCGACAGAATGATGACAATATAACAGGCAGGGTACATAAGTTTGCCTTTGTGATTTAATTAATCTGAATGTAAAATAATAGATTAATTATCCAAAAACTAGTAAAATATATTTTCCTAGTGGGCTAAAGGTTAAAGGTTTACTCAGTATTACTCTACGTTTATAATTTTGAAATTAAACCAAAACTAAATAAATATAAAATGGCGGTTATTAAAAACAAAATTTTTTCCTCAAATCTCAACTTCCCCTTGAATGGGTTTAACTAAAGTATAGCAAAAATGTCCTCATTGTTAATCTAGAGAAATTGATGGGAAAGTTTAAAATTATTTTTAAACAAATAGCAATAACCCCGGGTTTGCTCAATAAAATTTTACAAACTAGGGCTTGTTGAGAAGCTTGACTTGTGCTCTGTAATATGCTTCATAATTTAATTTTCAGATTTTGCCTTTTTCACTACTCTTCGCGCTTTTTTTTTCTTGTTTTTTTTTTAATGAAATAAAAAAATAAAAAAGTCGACGGAAAACCGCAAGTCGCTTTTTTTTAATGGAAGATATTTACAAACGTATAAAGTTATTATGTAATCTACATTTATAAACTATGGCTTGTTTTCGTGCCATCTTAACACTTTATCCATACTTAAGGCTAGTCCAAACTATTTCGATATAGAAAATTTGCGGCATGTTTAAATGCTAAAGGGCCACAACAATAATAAAAAAACAACACAATAACAATAGGAGCAACAACGCAAAGGACAAACAATTATAACTTCGAAGACAAATGAATAGTTTTATCATAGGTCTTCGGTCTAGCGGTAGACTTACAAGTAATTTTCTCTCATTTCTTCACTTTTATTATGAATGTTTGTTTCCCAAATCTATATAAGAAATATTTGTTGAGATATATGAAACTTAAAATATTGACATCAGACTGGAGCCTTTAAGACGCATAAAAAGGCAAGCGCATAATTGTAGGGTTAAAAACGCGCTCCCGAGACGCGACCCTGTCGCGTCACAAGGGCATCAATCACAAAGAACTCGATCTGAAAACGGTAATCGCGGAAACCCACAGTGGAACAACATACAAGGGCCGTTGGCAAAACAACGACATAGTGGCCAAGTTCTTAAACGTCCGCGAGGTGACGCCACGCGTTTCCAGAGATTTCAACGAGGAGTTTCCCAAGCTGAGAATATTCTCGCATCCCAATATCTTGCCCGTTATTGGGTGCTGCAACAGCCCGCCCAACCTGATCGTTATCAGTCAGTACTTATCTTTGGGTGGGTATGTTGTGAATTCAATGCAGGTGTGAACATAGATTTTCTTTTCTAATGCAGGTTCATTGTATAATGTACTCCACGAGAGTAGGGGGGGTATAGTGGTAGACAATTCTCAGGCATTGAGATTCGCTATGGATGTCGCCCGCGGTATGGCCTTCCTCCACAGTTTGGAGCGTACCATTCCCGAATACTACTTAAACAGCCGTCACGTTGTCATCGAGGAAGACCTGACGGCTAGGATAAACATGGCGGACGCGAAATTCTCCTTTCAAGAAAAAGGCAGGATTTACTATCCCGCGTGGATGTCGCCGGAAGCTTTACAGAAAAAAGTGTCAGACAGGTAATAGAGTGGGCGCGGGGGCAGCGATGCGGGGTGAACGCACGCATGCTTTTAGGAATTGGGAGGCTTCCGATATGTGGAGCTTTGCGATTTTGCTTTGGGAGCTCGCGACGAGGGAGGTACCATTCCCGGACCAAAGCCCCATGGAAGTGGGCATGCGCATAGCCCTCGAAGGGTTGCGGGTTAGCCTAAAGCCGGGCATTTCGCCTCACATGTCAAAACTGATCAAGATATGCATGAACGAGGACCCGGGAAAAAGGCCCAAGTTCGATATGATTGTACCGATACTCGACAAAATGGCGCGCTGACGCACGAACGTTCAGAAGACACGACGCCTCTCACCATCGATTCAGTGTGTTCAAATCGCGGAAGCTTTAATTTTTCTTTTTAGGTTAGGTTCTGTCGACCCTGTTTAACCCCCGTAACTTCCCCTCAAAATGTGAGTGCCTTAGGTGTGGCCTTGACATGTAATACGAAATGTGCTATTTTTTTTTATATATGTACTCGCTAACTGTTGTTAGATTTATTTTGTTAATATTTATTAATTCATTAACTTTTACGCCGCTAGAGCGACTGGAGGTTATTTTTTATTAATAAAGTGTAATAATTTCGTAGGTGTCGAGTTTCATTTGGGTTTTGGAAGGGTATGAAGGCATAAATAAAAAATCCACACCATCCATCCATCCAGTGCGATAAAATTGATAGATTAAACGAACTTACCTAAAGTGAAGTTCGATCCTAAATATTTTGGGCCTCGTTGAAGTAAATAACAATACCTGTAGTTACCCCATCCCTATGCCACAATTTTAACCTTGAATCACAAAAATCACAATAACCTCAAATTGTTAGATGTTCTTATCATCTTATCACGTCATTATCCAGACCAAAAATCATCGGTTATCAACGCTTTTGTTCACAGGGTCGTAGCACTATGTCTATAGATATTAAGCGTGCCATCACAAAATAAACTTCATCACAACGTTCCAAAGATAATGATGAGACTGACATTACTGACCACGTATCAAAAGTTCTTAAGAAACATAATGTCAAAACCGGGTTTACTGTTTGTCCAAAAATTTCCCGAGATCTTCGATTTGCCATATACTGAAAAGAGTACATTAGAGAGACCGGACGAAAAATATAAACTAGGCTCAAAGAATATGAAAAAGCCTTAAGACAACAACTAATAAACTGATCAGCTGTTGCCGGACACAGTCACATAAAATTTTATTCGATAAAACTCAAATTCTTGCACGTAATCAATTCTTCTCCCAACGAAAAATCCGAGAACCTGTAGAAATCTATAAGCAACCCCGAGCTTTGACGAATATGGAAATCAGAATCCGGAAGTTTTGGAAATAATAATTTGATCATTATTAGAAAAATATCTTCCAGACCAGCATTTTTCAATTAAAATGAGAAGGTTTGGTTAGTTTGAATTTAAATATATTTGAAACAATGTTGAGAGTTTCACGAATAAGGACTTCGGTAAAGAGGGATTCTACGTCGAAACTAATCAGAATATCCTGTGGATCGAATGTAATGGTTTTTGATTGTTTAATAAAAAGAAAGCAATTAAGTACGAAACTATCAGGATTTTTATGTAGAAGTAAAATATTTTGGAGAACTAGGTGTGACAGACTTTTTCACGGATTCTGATAGAGAGTGAACAAATTTAAGGTTCTATTATTTTATCTACTCGTCTGTCTACTAGGATTTTTTGTATTGATTTTTTTTTAATTAATCCTAATTAATTTAAAAAAATCGCTTAATAAAAACTATGGGATTTTTTAAAAATATTGTATAATTTATTACAAACATAACATGAAAAATAACTAAATAAAAAAAAACTTGGAAAACACTAAATAAAAATAAAAAGTAATGACATAAAAATAATAAAGCTTGAGGATAGAGGAACACAAATAAAACCTAACATTATCATAATCACTACCATTATCATGAAATAAATTATAATGTTTTAGTGTATGGTACCGTAATCACCAATGTGTAGTCTAGGCTTACGGGTGCAAGTGTCCCAAATATACCTAATTTCCCGAATGCCGCCTTGTACATTACGGTTAGAAAATATCGCACAGTCTTTTTCCTTTCCATCATTTTGGCGTAAAATATGTAATTTCTCATTTAGCTGCTCTCATCTACAGAAGATAGTCTGCAGAATTTTTTTTTTTTGCCATCTCGTCAACCAATTCCAACCAATTTTGGCCCCGTTGCGCAATTATGTATAATAAATATGCATTGACACTAAACATCTCTAATCTCCAGAAAAATGACTTTCGCCACCATTTGAAAAACCTCCTCAGGAAACAGATGACGTTGAATAAGAGTCTGCGCGGTCGACACCTCCCATATATTTATTGTAATTGACCATTACATTTGGCTTATTTACAACTTGTAAGTTACCTCCACGTACTTTTCTGTTTCTGAAATATGCCAATAACATCAAATTACCTGCTCTGCATGCAAATGTGTTATCTTCCGCAAATATCGTTTTTTTTTTATAGATTCAGGCATATAAATTTGCGGTTGATTTGAATAGTGCCTGTCAAATGAACATTCAGTTTTAACAATTCTTCTGCAAGTGGCAAGCTCGTATAGTATCTATCGGTGTAAAAATGATATCATCTACATCCTGGGCTAATGATTAATAATTTTTTTCTACTCCCGTCTGTAAAATACCTAATTACACACCGATCAAGCGTGCAGGAAGCGTCACTTTACCACGTCAGTTTCGTTTCCCAGGAATCCGAGCCACTTCGGGCATTTCCGGGAGCGATCGGATGTTTTCGGAGATATTTCCCACGCTTTGAATTTTGACGTTTGTCAATTCTGAGGGTCATATCAGTGGATGTATTCGTGTTGTTTTGCGAAAATGTATCCAAAAACTAACGGTCGTAGAAAAAGTATAGTATGCAACACGTTCCGTAAACTTTTTAACTCACTCGTGATGATGATTTGTAAAAATCGCTCTCTTCTAAATATGCTGCTAAAAAAAGGCATTTTGGCGTTAAACTGTGGCGACCAATACTCTAGGATATTAGATAATTGTACCCATATTTAGGACAACCCCAATAATTGTAATAATAATAATAACGGCGACATTCGAGTGTAAATGGTTAGATTTGGGAAAGCCGAATTATCGTTCATCATCGATCAATTGGTTACCCTCTCGTACTTTCCCCAAATCTTCTTCAAACTCGGGACCGCGGCCGCAACGCCGCCCCACCAACCCCACCGCCGCCACTACGACCACCCCTGTCAGTTCACCAACGGCTGTTGGTCGGTGCGCACGACGCGATGCTCGAATTCCAGGGGGCGTCGGGACGCCGCTAGTCGGGCGCCACGCGTCCCGTCGGCATGGCCCATTTATTGGTGACGGCGTCTCGCCAACATCGTCATGGAGGCCACCAGCTCGACGCAGGCGGACGTGACGGCACCGTCGCCGCCGGCTTCCGCGACGGCAGCGTCGCCTCCGTCGAAAAACACGCAGGCGACGCCGGGAAATGCAGATTCGACCTTTGCCAGGTGAGCTGCCCCGATTCGCATATTTGTTGCGCGCGCGGTTGCCGAATCTGTAGCTGTCAAAATTTTTCACGCGTAGATACCCAAACGCGGAAGGAAAACGAGACGCGGGGAGCCGGGTTTCAAAAATTTCGAAAAATGCGAGGAGAACGAAAATATATAAACTTCACTCGGGTGCAGCCGGCTACACGGGACGATCGATGTGACAACGCCGCCGCGGATGGGCTTCATCGATTCGCCACGGAAACACAAAATTGCCGTTCCGATACTCCACATTTTCGCACCACCGTTCATACCAAATTGTTCGGCTTTTTCGCATTCGACTGCATCCCAGCAAACGATTATACATTTCCATTTGAAAAATAATTTGTTACTTATTTCTAAGTAAGCTAGAAAAAATGCCATTGATAAATGGGTGTCAAAATGTGACCCTTTCGGAAAATAAAATAACACCGAATTCTAACCTAACAGACCAATCATAATATAGCCACCGAGTTATCAATTCCTGCCTTCGCTCGCGACAGAATCCGTTGCGATTGTCCCCAAAAACTTTGAAATCGGTTTCCACTGTGTGGATTAAGTGTTTTTAGTATTTTAAAGTTGTTTTTTCCTGTTCACTCCCGTTTTTTGCTATCGGGCAAAAAAAACCTTTTTTTTTGTTGAAACTCCATTTTGTGTATGTTAATTAACCTGGTGGATGATGGATTGTTCCAGATCCTTCCCTTGGCAAGGCATCCTTTAAGATTTTTGAATTATTTTCACACTTGTCGTAAGCTGGCCGAATCGTGGGCATTCGAAGTAAATCCAATCCAAGCGAAGCCTACTTGATCTTTGCGTTTGACATGTGATACGTATTTACTGTCTTTGACGTCACCGAATGGCGATTACGATTTTCGCGGCCTTATGGAATAGAATTATCAGCTCCATAAATATAACCAAACAGTCCGAGATCCCCAGTGTTATTGGTAACTTGAGACCTCTGACGGAAAAAATATTTATCGTTCTGTTTGAAATATAGCCATTTAACATATACAGGGTTTTTCACTTAAAACTCCGCACGCCAATAAGTCCAAAACGAAAAGAAATATGTAATTTATGTAAAAAGTAGTCAAAGCGTGGGGTCAAGTAGATATTTCCTAAAGTTTAAAAAATTCGACGCCTGCAAAGAGCTGGGCGTCGCGACGCGTCGAAAAATTATTCGATTGCAGAGACTTTGGAAATACGCGCATACAAAAGTACATATTATTTAAAAACTTTTTTGTTATTTACTCAAACTTTCTAAGTTATACCGATTTAAAATAAACATTTCTTGATTAATAAAAAATGTGATTAACGATTATTTTTACAAGTATGCCATGAATGTTAGTAACTATGGCAACTATTGTTATCGCAGTTGTTTTAAGTGCAATTACAAACAATAGATTTCAACTATTTTAGTATGATTTTATTTATTATTTTTTATCGATTTAGTTCTGATAACATGATAAATACAGTAAAATATCTACAAGTTAATAACCAAAATTATTATTGCAATTAACTACATAATAAGATATTTCAAAAATTTTGTTCAAAATTATGTCCATCTGCTCGAACACAACTATCAAAAACTTTTAACAGATGAGCTTGGGTCACTTGTAGGAGAGTCCTTCTTGTGATAGCGGCAAACGCTGCACTAATTTTGTTAATGATATCGGCCATATCTTCGATAGGTTCTTCATAGATAACGTTTTTTAGGTAGCCCCAAAGAAAATAATATGGTGGTGTAATGTCCGGGGACCTCGCCGGCCACCTTAGCGGTCCATTAGTACCAAACCATCTATTGGGATATTCTCGGTTCAAATACCTCGTTACTTTGAATTACGTTGAATTGCTATTTCTCCTGACGAAATGTTACTTTGTTTTATTAATATTAGTGAATAAATATCTAGTTTTCTCTACTCTACTTTACTCTTTATGTACGAGGTCAGCGCCAAAATTTCCTGGCCTGACATAGATGCAGCTCCAGTATGACGATAAAACTTTGTTTTTTTATTGATAGCATTTTAAACAAGCCGAGTCCGAAAAAATGTCGCAAATAACGCTAATTGAGTGTAGATCAGTCATAAAGTTTTTGACAAGAGAAGGGTTAGCACCTAAAATTATTAAAGAAAGGCTGTACTGCCAAAGTTTTCCTTCGTATTCTGTTCTGAGTCCCTTGAAGATGATTCAAGAACTGGTCGACCAGTGGAGGTCATAACGGAAGATATTGTTGCGATTGTGGAAGGGGTGGTATTGAGTGATCGACGTTTAAAGGTCAAGGATATCTCAGAAATTACTAAGCTTTCTGAACAAGTGTTCGCCGAATCCTGCATGATCATCTAGGTGTGCATAAGGTTAGTGCAAGATGGGTTCCTAAAAACCTTTCGGCTATTCAAAAACAACGCCGTGTCGAGTGTGCGCGGTCTTTTTTGGAACTCTGTGGGTCGGAACCGAAGCCTGTAATAGAACCTATTGGGACGGGAGATGAAACTATGGTTCTCTATTATGACCCTCTATCGAAAAAAGAATCAACGGAGTGGCGTCGTAAGGGTGTAGCACCTCCAAGAAAATTCAGAGTCTGCCAGTCAACAAAAAAGGTGATGGCCACGATCTTTTGGGATTGTGAAGGAATTCTTTTGAGAGATAAAAATTTAAATTTTACGCAACATTATTACATAAATTGCGAGACTGCGTGTAAAACGTCGAGGAAAACTGACCAGAGGCGCGCGTCTTTAGCATGATAATGCACCTGTCCATACTGCTGGTGTCGCACAAGCTGCCATTTTAGAGTGTGGGTTCCAACAGATAGGTCATCCTCCCTATAGTCCAGATATTGCCCCCAGCGACTATTATTTGTTTGGATATTTGAAAGAGGACTTACGTGGACGACGATTTAACGACGAAGTTGAGTTAAAAGAGGCTGTTTTAGCTCATTTTGCAGAGAAACCAAAAGAATATATGTGTTTTTAAAGGGATTGAGGTGTTAATAAAGAGATAAAGCGAAGTGTTAAGTGAGTTAAGGGGGATTATATTGAAAAATTATAAAAAATGTTACTCTACTTTGTTTCTTTCATATTCAGGCCGGGATTTTTTTTTTAAACACATTACTTCGCATAATTTTTTCACTATTGTTGATTTTTGCTATCAATTGTAGGTCTAAATTTTCAAGTACAAAAATTAGGCCATTTTCATTAAATTTTAAAGCAAGAACAACTTTAAATATCTGAAAAGCACGTTGTTCCATGTTTATTCCTTTTGTTAAAAATTAATAATACTAATAATAATAGCAAAAATTTGTTTTTTTGTTTTTTTTTGGTAAATTATGACCTTTTATAAAACATATGATTGTGTTCAGGTTTCAATAACTGTTCTCCATTGCTCTCTAGTGACTGTGGATATTAGTTTGTTTCTCATATGAATTTTTACGTGTGAGTATTTCAAATAGGTATGTATATGCCACTGTTAATATTTTACACTGTTAGGATCGTCTCTGAGGGGTTTAAAAATTGACTTAAGCCGCCTCTTTGCTGCGGAATCATTAGCTTGTCCCTGGTTTCCAATATTATATGAAACAGTAGTATTTTTACCGGTCGGTATTTGTCCGTAGTCTCGCGACAAGCGCACCAGGCGCAAATTGTAAAAAAATGTTTAACGACGCACTTAACGAAGAACTTGCCAAAGTTCTTTTTAACTCTTTCACTTGTTATTGCACATAAAAAAGTGTTCACAACCTGAAACGACCTCGACGTCTTTTTGACGTATATCGAACGTTATTTTTCCACGTGCCATTATTAAATTGAAGCTCCGCGGAAAAGCGCCATCGATCATCATCGGGTTCCTCACCAATAGCGAGCTTTCGTATAAGTTGATGCGGCGTATTTAATAATCGATCCCCAGGAAGAATTAAACTTTCAGATTCGGTAATGGGCTTGAAATCACTTCGCTGTTATCTATTTTCGGAGACAATCTGAAACGGCAACAACTGGAGCAAGGAAAATGGCAGCTCCATTTCCAGCTGCCCGCTAATGGGATACCGTTCTATATTTGGGTACATACGCCTATAAAATTGGGTCAATGCGAAATTGAAATTGTTATACCCCGTAGAGCCGAAAATCTCCGGATTTCGATTCACAATTAGCGAATTAACTGACTTTGGCGAAAACCGACGTTAAAATCGAATTTTTGATTAATTGGACACAAATCGCACGTGTCATGCGAGAAACTAAAAGTACTAAGGAATATTTATCTAGTCGAATTTTGTATACTTTTGCAAAGCATCAAGACTACATTTACTGAGTGACGTCAGAACTGACAAACGTCAATATGCCGTCAGTCTTTTGAATCTATTGCAATAAGCTCTGAGATGTTTTACAATACACATTATTCAATACTTTTTTCAATAATACTGAAAGAATAATTTATGGTTTTAGTATATCACAAAAATAAATGAATTGGTATAGATACGTGGATGATGTATTTGCTTGTTTTGTTGGAACGGACGCCACGGGGTTGTCGAAACAATTATGTCCAAATACATAATTTCGTGAAAATCTGAACTTTTAGTTCTTATTTATTTTGACATCGTATTTTTCTTTCAGAGTTAATGCTTTTCGTTTTTGCTTCTCCATTTGAAGGTCCGCTATCAATATTCTCCAATAAGAGTAAGTTATTAGGGCAAGAGGGGGTCATACTCATTATTAAAAAGTAAGTGTTGAGTTGCTAATTGTCAATAACCCTATTTGTTTTTGGTAATAAAACAAGTTAATTTAAGGCCGAAATAAATTTTAATCAATTTAAATTCGTATTAAAGCACATGAAATTGAAGTCAAAAGTTCAAAGTAGACCGATTTTTATGCACGTTTGTATATTTTTTTGAGGTTTTAAAGAAAGTTGTATTTTCGTAAAACAAAAAAATGAAAGCTTCGCACTTTTATATGGTAATAAAGCAGTGCACAGTCGGTATTCATTAACTTCTAAAGTCTGCATCAAGCGGGTATATAAAAAAATAACTAATTAAGACTAAAAAATGAATTTGCTCATCGCAAATTAAAAATCCTGTCTATGTTTCTTAAAATAATTTATTACGCTGATAATATTAAAATCTCAAAACTCAATGAAACGCAGTTACTTTTATTACTTTACTTAAGTTCCCTAAAGAATAATGACTTTTTCGGAGTTTGTTAAATAAATAGTTCACTGGTTGTTATACGCATATCAATGTAAATATTACAGACCATTTATTCTCTTTTTTCAGCGTGAAAGCGGAACCAGAATCCAATCCCGACAGTCCCTTGGAAGCCACAAGTCCCAGTTCGATAGCAATAAGAGGTAAGTCTGCAAAGCAAAAGTCACTTTAACAACTTTTTTCAAAGAAGCTTCCACAGGCTACTGTAATACTTTTTACAAAACTTCTGCGTCGGTTTTTGCTGAGTCGTGTGATGTGTGTGTGTGACATTAAGCGTTCCATCAAAAAATACACTTCACCGCAACCTTCCAATAGCAGTGAGGTCAAAAGCAGTCCCGCACTTGCCACTGTGGTCCTTCCTTACATTCCGAACATCACTGACCATATATCAAAAGTTCTAAAGAAGTATAAGGAGTTTACAGCATTCCATGCATATGCGGCAAAGAATACATTGGAGAGACCAGACGGAAAATGTCAACTAGGCTCACAGAACATGAAAGAGCTTTAAGACTAAGACAAATAAACTCATCAGCTGTTGCAGAACACACTCATGAAACCGGACATAAAATGTTATTCGATAAAAGTAAAATTCTAGCATGTAATCAGTTCTTCTACCATCCGAGAGTCTATAGAAATCTATAAACAACTTACGTCCCTCAAACAATATATAAGCAGGTGCAGAATAAAATGCGAGCCAATTTCAGTCAAGCTCCGAAGAAGCCAACAGGATGATTGGCGAAACGTCGGCAAGTTCGACTCAGCAAAAACCGACGCAGGAGTTTTGTGAAAAGTATCACTTTAACAGTGTTTTTTTATATTACTTATATCGCGATTGGACGCTACGTTGTCAAAATAGAATAAAAGATCTTTTAAAGAATTCTTGTATTATTGAGATGAAACGAATTAACATTTATTTTCGTTTTAAATATTGTAAAGTCTTAACGATAACGTTTTTTTATTAGTGTTATCGAAGAACTAAGAGGAAGTTTCTATAAACATAAATGTATTTATTTGTTCATTTGTTATATCTTTATTATGCATAAAGCAAGAACTATATAATATAAAAAAAATCAGGAAATATTCGGCGTCCTTATTTTTAAATTTTTTTGGTAATTAAGTAAGGATGAGTGGATAATATTTTAGAATAGCCACGAGTATCTAACGTGAGTGAAACTTGAAGACAAATATCGATAACCATAATCAACAAATGATCGAATGATTTTGGGTTATCCTTATTTTTTTACGTCTTCAAATGTTAAATCAAAATCGCATCCTTATATTTTTAATCTAACCTGAAACGTGAATAAAACAATTTAAAAATAAAAAAAAGTTGAATTTTTGCAAACTTTTACACCTTACAGGTTGTTATAGAAATAAATCGTCGGTATATAAGAGAAAGTGACCAAGTCCAAAATTCACGATTTTTAGGTTATAATGCTCATGTACCTGAAATTCAATATTATTTTTAAGGAAAAAATGAGCAAGTCCAAAAATGCCATAATAATGCTTATAACTTCAAATTCCATAATGACCAAGTCCATTAAGTGGACTTAGTCATGTTTTCCTGTTAATATTTTTATCTCTCTAGGATTCTTGAGTTGTCAAATTAATTGACGTTTTCAGTTGAAATAGTTTATCATAATATTATTACTTAAAGTAAGATATAATTGTGTTGTATGTTTTTAGACAACATCTTTGGTAAGTACCTACGCGTATTATAATAATTTAGGTTTTCGTATATTTAGTTGTAAAAAATAATAGGCTAATATTATAACAACGTACAAGAGATTATTAATGATCTTATGGACGTTCCGGTAGAATTTGCTACTAATTCTCGTAATACAATCCCTACCACTTCAATAATAAATGAACCACTATTAAATCCTACACAAGTTATAGAAAAACGCAGATGGGTAATCAAAAATCCTCAAGGAACAAAACGTGAGCAAAACAAAAAAAATCCTGTCTGCTAACAATTGCCTCTATAAATGTACAGAAGTATTTCCTGCAGATCTTCGACAAGATATCTGTAAAGAGTAATCACAGTCTATCCCATGACAGACAAAAGGACTTCATAATTAATACTGTTGCAACTTCTGAATGCCAAAGAATACGAACCAGGGACTCTAGTAGACCTTCAAAAAAAGTTTCTAGAATTTATACATTTGGAAAAAATGGAACAAAGCAAAGGGTTTGTAAAAATTCTTACGGAAGTATCTTGATTCTACCTTATCCATTCTCAAAATGTAGGAATTGTACAAAGATTTACAGATGAGCAATGAAAAGGATTTCGTTTCTCTCCAATAACATATAGGAGGGTGTTTTGTACACAGTATAACTTATCTTTCTTCAAACCCAAGAAAGATCAATGTTTGCTGTGTGTTAAAGAAGCTAGATCTATTGAAAGATCTGAAGAATTTCTTTCTCACATCAAGCGAAGAGATGATGCTAATAGAGCAAAAGGTTTAGATAAACAAAGAGCAATTCATAACGAAACTTTTGTATCGGTAAGTTTTGAATTACAGAGTGTCCTGCAAATTCCATGCTCCGGGGTATCACCTCTTTACTATAGTCGAAGGCTCTGTGCATACAATAACAATTTATGAAGCAGCTCCACCAAATAAAGAATATTGTTATCTTATTAAGTGTCACTCTTTAGCGCCACGTGTGGTGGGCAAAACCGAAACAAATACATTGCGGCTCTTTTGTTGTTTATAGTCAACCAGTTACCTATTGAGATTATTACTGATAACTTTTTAGAAAAAGGTCACTCTCACATGGAGGCTGATTCGATGCATGGTACAATTGAAAGTCCAAAAAGGTACATTCCTGTATTTGGCTTAATGATTGGAAGACAATTACGACACTAGCAAGATCCAAGAGAGGCAAAAATAAAGCTTCTGGTGCCTAAATTATGGAGCAAATGACCAACCGCGACATTCTGACTTGAAAGAACTCGGTACATCTATACTACAAAATACAATTCGGGATGAAGGGGGAGCAAAAATAGAATGGTTAAAGATCAAACAATTAAGGTACGAAAAAGAGAAAAAAAATTATAATGTCCGATACAACTATGACGAAAAGTATAAAATGTTTAATGTTAAAGGCAAAGCAAAAGGTAGGCCCAGTAATATTGCAAAAGAAACTGAGTTAAAGACATGTTATACTGAACTCTTGCCTATATCGGCCGAAAAGAAAAAAGATTTAATTAAACTTTGCCGCAAGGAGGTAATCCCAGTCGAATACCATGGTTGGTACTTTAACATACCGAGTGACAATTCGTTAACAGACAGGTGTCCAGAGCCCTCAGACATAGAAGATTGTGATGAGGACATATGAAGTTGCAACTAGTTACTACTATTTGTTTAATTATAGTCGTTTTTAAGCTTAAATACATATTCTAGAATCTGCATTGTTCATAAAAACCATTACAAACCTATTAAGTTGAAATTAATTACTAATTTAGTATTTGTTTAAGTTAGGTATAGGCTTTTTTAATTTAAAATACATATTCTAAAAACTGCATTGTTTATAAAAATCGTTATAAACTAATCTGACGCAAAATAATTGATTTGATGAATGATAACTCAAAAGTACTATCTGTGGACTTGGTCACTTTTTCTTGATCACCGACGAAATTTTCTTTATTAATCTTTATTACCTTAGATAGATAGATAGATGGATAAATATTTATTTCACACCGTGTCTTTATCAAATGTCGGTGTTGTCGAAACAATTGTCATATCATAATATATAATTTCGTGAAAATCTGAACTTTTAGTTCTTATTTATTTTGATAAATGGATTTTCGTCAAGTGAAAGCCATCTCAGTTCAAATACTGTAGTCCTTTTATTGATAAATACATTACGCACATTATAAATTGCTGCATTGAAACAAGACATTTTCCAGTCCAACGGAAAATTTCTGTTTTTAAACCGCTCTCTAAAACATCAAATTCCTTTTTAATTATAGTGACATTCGTATCATAAGTATTCTCCATGCTTTGTCAAATATATTCGAAAAAATTCTTTATGAACAACTTTTTGTACAAAAAATACTACAATACTCAGTGTGGTTTTCGTTATGAGTTTGGTGCGTCGATAGCTTTGACTAAAAATGTATTGGATGACATCCTTCAAGCTTGGCATAAAAAAATAAGTTGTGTTTTAGTGCTTTTAGACTTTTCGAAGGCATTCGATACAAGTAGTTACGGGCTATTGGTGGGTAAACTACGATACTACGGTTTCAATGTAAGGGGTGTTTTTTTTTCGATGTATAGAACTTTAAGTTGCAATAAAACGACGATGGATTATTCGATTGACATGAATTTTATTTATCCGAAAGATAATCTTGTGGCATTACATTTTAAATATGATTTCTGGCATATGACCGCCACGGCTGGCGCGGATCCACTGAAGGCATAGTTGTCAATGGGAATCATATAAACAACATGGAAAATCTTCAAAACCTAATAGATAGAGTCATATATTATAGTAGAGAGTCTGGATTGACACTAAATGTTAAGGAAGACTAAATGAATGTTAATAACAAAAAAGGAAACATCTTAAAGTTGGAGAGAATGTCATAGAACGGGTATACACATTTGAATATTTGGGTACCGACTTAAATGAAAAGTGGGACGCAAGGAAAGAGGTAAACTCCAGAATTGCGCAGACCCGCATGACATATGAATAAATAAGAATAGATTCTTCCATAAAAGTAGACATAATCTGGAACTCAGAATGAGAATGGCGAGAGGTGTTCTCTGTGCTTTTATATGGATGTGATCCTTGCTCCGAAAAAAACTTGGATGGATACACGGAGTTCCAAAATGTTATAAAACCAATTAATTCTCCTAACCTAAAAGTTAGGTACTTAAATATATATAATTTTCTTTTTCAGTAACTTATTTCCAAAGTGAATAATTTTGTCATATATTGTTCAAATAAAGTTATTATTATTATTATTATTTATATCTTCAATTTAGCCCTCCGTTGTCAGTTGTCAAATTTTAAGTATCGTCAGCCACAATTTAACATTTGCCTCGATCAAACGAACCTCTAAACACAACAAAAACATTAGCAGCAATTTTAAATAATAACTCCGTATATATGAGACCGGACTGGTTCCACCCGTCTA